TGTTAACTAACTTTGTAGGTATAATTTTCAATACTCTGAGTATGTCAGGGTAGCTGAGTGAGGCTGATAAGTTACAATGTTTGCCTTTGTTTTTTATCTTTAACAAGGTCATAACATGAAGCAATTTTGTCTTCATTCTTTAACTCCCAAGATCTGTTTTCTAATTCTCCCCACTTGTTTCTAGACGTTTCCTTGTACATTTGTTACAGGAATTTGTTGATAGATCAAGATAACTTTTTTCATTACCCTTTTGTTGGATATTGTAGAGATATTTTAGGGAGAAGTTACATGTTAATTACATCTGGGAGTTTAAGGGTTGAACAGTGTGATGTGATATACTGCTACCTAAATTTCACTCAACATTGAAATATCCAGGACTTAAGCATTCCCTACAAATTTGTTCAAACTGCAGTTTACTAATTCTGCAGAGCAGTTGCAATATACAACTCTAATGCCTGTTTCACAATTTTGACAAGTACTAGGTAATCTTTCATTTACTCAGACTGTAGGGAAAATGAAATTGTTGATTAACTTGAAAGGTAATTGATAAAGAAACATTGAGACTTCACCTTACTCAGGCTATTAATTATTTTTCTCCACAAGCCTGGTGTAACCAACATGCCAGCAATAAATTTTAGATAAGTTTAATTTCCTGATGACTGGACTGAACTCTTCTATTTACATGCCATTGCCAGTGGTTTCTACATAAAGTATTACGAACATAATACATCAAGAACAGAATGAATAAAATGAGATGGGAAATAACACAGGAAATACAAGTAACAAGAAATATGTATAACATAAGCAATACTAAAAATATATAAAACATGGGTCACTTGAGGAAAGAGCAATTTACTTGACAATTTGGGAATATGGCTGGCGTAACAATGTACTTGCAACTGCCTTTTAACTCAAGCTCACACCTTTTTTATTTGCATGATCTGTGCAAAAGTCAAACTTGCGGACTGGGGCCAGGAGGGGGATTGGTTTCTACACCTGGTGTCTTCTCTCAATTTTCTGAGCTGGAAGAAAATGTCTTGTAAGAAAGTTGTGCTCCAAGGAACAACACCCCCTTCATCTTATCCAGTTGTTGTTGTTAGGTCAAAAGAAGCGAATTTATCTCATGTTGTGTGAATAAAAATATGTAATTGTTAATTTGCTGGGCAGAGTTTATCAAGAAGTGAAAGTGATGACATTGCCTGAAAACAAAAACCAAAAGAAAATCAGAAGAGGAGGAAGAAAGGAAAAAACATTATTGACTATTGTTAAGGATGAACACGAACAGTTTCAAAAGGAACAGATGTTGAGACTCTACACAAACTGTTATACCTCTGTATTAGTATTAATTGTGCATTGTGCTGTACAGTGTCCTTGTCAATTCCAAATGCAATTTGCATTATTACAAAAACATGATATAAAAAGATTCACTTAATTATACGTACAACATCGCAATGATGTCTTGACCCTATTACTAAATTAATTTTACGTCTAATTTAGATTCTGATGAAGATCCTCTTCGTCCAAAAATCAGGTATGTGATTTGTTTTTTCAATTTCATTCCATTTCATACAGTTGTAGTTAAACTCTTTGACCCTAATATCAGCCCTGAATCAAGAGTCAAGGAAATGATCACCAACTATAGAAGTTCTTGATTATTAAACAAATTCTCCTTGTCAGCACCTTAGAAAATGCATAGAGAACAGTATGGAGAATATGCATACTGATGTCAGGTTGTATTCAGAACCTGGTTCTCTTTCATGCACTTTCAGAAAAGCCACATCAGTAAAGAAGGAGGAGAGTTTAAAAGCTAAGAAAAGTAGAGGAGCAATCAGCTTGGACTCAGGTAAGGAAATTATGTCAACTTATTGAGGGTACGCAATACTTTTTATGTGAAAGGTGATGTAGAGACTTTATCTTCATGGGAATTGTGATTTTATCTTTTTTTTACATAAATATGTTTAATTTTCATAGGATTAACAGTTTTATTAACAGGTTAGAAAGAGTGAAAATATGAATTTAGTTTAATTTTTTTCCTTGGTTTTATTTATCTTCAAAATGTGATCGTCTTGAATTTCATGTGAATGTCAAAACGTTTTGGATACTTTTCATTATAAATAAGATTGCCAAATATCTTTACGTGACTGAGTTCGACACAAGGGTTTTTTTTAGTAGACTCTGCTTATTGATGGAGTGGGAGGGCTGGATAGGGAAATATTTAGTGTGAGGTGAGCTTGAGGTACAGTAAGATGATGTCAGTTTTTTTAACATTGCGTGACCTTTAACATTGCTTATGTATTAGCTTGTTAAAGAAAACAAAGCCATCTGCTTCATTCAGGGTTCAGCACACTTACCATTAGACCACTCTGCATCAAATAGAATTTGAATATTGTAGCACTTGAGTTATATTTTGATGCATTTTCTACAGATGAGGAAGAAGTTGTGCCCAGCAAATTAAAAAAGTCTGCAAAACAGACAGACAATGTAGCTTCTAAAGAGGTCCAGTAAGTTAAAGAGAGGTAACTTTCGTCATTCTCTTTCATTATATTTGACATTTCAGCACCAAACCATGGTGTTCATTTAGATCATAAGATATTGGTCTGGAGAAGTATCTGGCTTCTCCTAAAAAATAATATCGTGCTAAATTTTGTTTCTCTGTTTGTTTGTTTTGTTTCTTTCCTTTCTTCCATCAAGCATTGCAAATGTTAGACCTGTCATAGGACATTGCTCTTATGCTAATACATTTAACCCTTTGACTGTGAAGAATTACCAGCATCTAATTTCTCTTTACAATATCCCTCCAGAATCAAACATTAATGTGCATCAATCCCTATTTTTTGTTGAAAGTAAGTTATTTAAATGGTCTTCTTTCACTGGAACGTCTTTTCGGGGAAAGATGATTTATTAAAACTTACTGTGAATTGTGTTTGCTTTTCTGGTTTCTCCAAAATTTTAACTTTTGGATAGGCACATGTTACACACAGGTGTCAAGGTTAAGGGCACAAGAATAAAGGAAATGATCACCAACTAAGCTCTTGTTTGTTAAATAAATTCTCCTTGTCAGTAACCTCAGAAACACATAGAGAACAGTTTAGAGAATTTGCATACTGATATTAACGTGTTCAGGGTTGAAAATGAAAAACAAACAAACCAAAAAAACAACAGCAAAATAATAAAGACAGTGTCATCAAAGGTGAATTTAATACAATGTTGTTGTGGTACTGAAATATTTAACACATGGATTGTTATTCTTGCTTCAGTCCAGTCAAACCTAAAGAGGAAAAAGCAACTTCTGCACTTGATTTCTTTGGTTCTACTCCAGTTGAAAGGGAATCCAGGAAAACATTTGCTAATAAAAGAAAACAGGTGAATAACTAACTACACTCTTTCCACCCACAATTTTTTTTGTAAAGAAAAATTCAGGCATCCAGTGTATTTTTAACAGTATTTCATGCATCATGCATTGAATAGGGAAAGCTTCAAACCTCACCATACCTTGCCTTTCTATAAAATTCATGCATCACACGTTAATTTTTGGGTGTAATCATGCATCCCTTGTAAAACCCTCTGCCAATCTGTTATAGTTATATTAGGATGGTCTACAGTGAACACATACCATGTCACAAAATCAATGGGTACCAGTAGTGACCAATTGAGGAATAGTTTTGGCAGAAACAACGCCATGGGCTGCCTTAAAGGAATAAGTCCTTTCACCTCCAAGATATTAAAATCAATTCTCTTCACTGTCTGTCACACAAGTTTTATGAAAATATCTTTGAGAATATGGTGTTCAATCAAGTGATATCCTCTTGTCTGATGATTTTCTTTCTTTTCATCACATTGCTGCTCAGTTGACTGTGAATTGATATTATTGTGAGAAATTAGAAAATTGATCACTCTTAAGAGTGCAAATTTTAAGCTTGATCCAGAGCTTTACTAAGCCCACTAAATGATCATCCCATAATTCCCTGTTGAACAATCAATCATTTTTTTCATTTTCATTTCCCACAGAGATCTGACCCAAAGTGAATAGAAAAGAAGAGTATAAAAATGGGAGAGAAAAAGAAGGAAGAGAAAATGGGAATGTCAGCCGTCACACAACAGAGCAACCATCAAAGAAAAGAAAGGAAGACTTCTCAGAATCAAAGTATGAGGTTACAAAGCCTTCCCCTGAGAAGAAAAAGGTTTGTAAGCCTTTTGATTACCATACTTTATTGTTGCAAAATTAATCATAACTATTAATACTTAATTGAACCAGCTACCCTGATACTAGAATGGATTGGATCTGATATGATTGCATGTGTAAGGTATGTGTCATTAAGCACTTACATAAGTTACTTTTAGATGAAACAGTAACATTTTATGACTAAATTTGGCTTTGTTTAAGATCCAAAAGCTTACTCAAATTTGTTAACTGGTGTTACATTTTGTATATGTAAACCTGTCCTACTAATGACACATTACTAACAATACTTGCAACAAAACATTACTTACAATACTAACACTACTCAAAATACTACCATTACTGTACCTAGAATTTATACAAAAACAGTAACAATAGTGACAAAACTTTTAGGTACGTTTTTGGTGATTTTAACTTTGACAATCCAGGAGGATGTTACCGCCTTGTCTCCATTTTTCAAAGCAGCAGTGTCTTTCACCATCAACATTCCTATTTGGAACAACTCTTGCCTTGTGAGGACAACTCTTTGCTGCTAGAATATTTGATATACATGTAACTTTTATTCACTTCAAATTTTATCCATGGACTTTTCAGTAAGTACCAAAGACAACTCCTGCTTGCAAACTGGCTGCCAAAGCTGCCACAGTTCCAGAAACTCCATTTAGAGACTCAAAACCAAGTCCAAAGAAAACTGTTACTCTGAAAAAGGAAAAAAAGATGTTAGTAAGGAAACTCCAACCCAAGGAACACCAAAAGGTGTCAAAATCAGAGGAAGTGGTTGAAGTTCCACCCTCATTGGAAAAGAAAAAATCTGGCTACCATGGTTTTTATGTCGAGAGATGGTCCCAAGGCTCTTGGTTCAAAGGAAATCCCTCAGGTAGGTTTTAAAGACCAAGATCTGATTGTTAATTCTCCCCTCTAGCTGCTGCACATTTTTCTGTAAATTAATAATGAGAGTTTGTTGTTAGATCATTATAATGACAACATGTACCTGATAAGTTTTAGTATCCTCATAATGTGTTTGCTGGATAATCTATGGATATTCTTGGGAGAAGTTACATGTTAATATCTTCTGGTAGTTAAATTATTATTATCTCTCAAAGCTCTTTATGGTTTGTTTTCCATCCTTTCAAATTTTAATGAGAGATGCAAGACAGAGGAAAATGAAGATTATTAGAATTAAGGCTTATTTGGAAAATCTGCAGATACAGTTTACGCAAAAAAATTGTAAAATGCATGCTTTGATTAACCCTTTTACTTCTGAGATGTCAATAGTAATTCTCCTTACTGTCTGTCATACAATTCTTGTAATGTTAGTTTGGAGAATTTGGTCTTGGATCAACTAATAATCCCCTGGTTGATATTTGTATATATTCTCATCACTTGTCTGCATGATATTGTATTGATATTGTAAGGAGAAGTTCTGTCTTGGTCACTCATGGGAGTTAAAGGGTTAAACAAAAAAATGTATTTTATCCTTTTACTCTCAGTTGTTGTTCAAATGTTGGTTCAATGTCAGTATCTGAGAAACTGCCTACCTACCCCGCCCCTAAGCCAACATTAACCCTTACTTGTAAGCAGTTGATGGTTGTTGGGTTAGGGGAGGGGTGGGTGTGCAGATGCTGACAATGATCTGAAATGTTTATGGTGTATCTACAGAGGTTTTTTTCATTTTTCACCATTTATAACTTTTCAGTTTGGACAGTGTTAAGAGGCCTTCAAGGGAAGAATTAATTATTTGTCGCATATCTTAAATTATGCATGCACTTGATAATATAATATTTAGGAAGCGGAAAACTGTTTGAATGGACTGACATTTGTTATTACAGGAATCTTGGAAAGTATTGAGAGAGAGGAGGCAGCAGATCTGATTCAAAGATATGGTGGAAAAGTTACCCAATCAGTGAGCAAGAAAAAGAGTCAAGTTGTTGTGGGACAGGATCCTGGGAAGAGTAAACTTTCCAAGGTACATTGTAATGCACAGCTCAAAAAGAGGAAAAAAAAGAACTCTGAACATAAACATATACACTGCACCTTTTCCTAAATTTTTATAACAAATCCGGGTGCAGCTTACTGCAAATACACCTGGGAAACTTGTCGCAAATTTGCATAAATTAACATGATTCATTGAACAGCAAACTAACAAGAACTGAAAAATTTTCTTTTTTTGTTGTTGTCTTCTAAAAGTTTTTTTTTTTCCATGAGCATAAAATTATACTGTGGAGTTCATTAAATGTTTCTTTGTTAAAAGACCTTTTAACTGGTTTAAGGTTGTATTTCCTTCCTTGAATAGCTAAACATTACTTGGCAAGAAACCTGTGATTTCTTTTTTGTTGTTGTTTTTTTTGTTGTTTTTTTTTTGTGCAACTGATCACATAATTTGTTAATCCTCATTTCCCTTCTTCCATCTACTTAATTTACGGTGTCACTCAGTTTGTCTGTCTGTCTGTCTGCTCTTTTGTGTACACTTAGTGAATATAATTTTCCTTGTGTGCATACAAGTACTGTACATGACTTTGCATTAAAGTTACTGATGACATAAATACATGTGCATGTGTGTGATATACATGTACCAGTAAAATGTCATAGGAGCCATTGGCTAGTGTGCAACTGATAACATAATTTGTTCATCCTTATTTCCCTTCTTCCATCTACTTAATTTATGGTGTCACTCAGTTTGTCTGTCTGTCTGTCTGTCTGTCTATCTGTCTGTCTGTCTGTCTATCTGTCTGTCTGTCTGTCTGTCTGTCTGTCTGTCTGCTCTTTTGTGTATGTTCATTCTTCCAATGACTGTCTTTCTATCTGTCACTTATTCTCCTTGTTCTCCTCTGTCCAGTCACCCACACGTCAGTTTTACCACAACTCTAAATTCCACCTTTAGGTTCATCTGTTGGATCATTTTACTGTACTTCCACCTGTAGACTTGTTTGTGTTACTTAAATTGAGTTACAAGAAAGTACAGTTTTTTTGTTTTTTGTTGCTTTATTTTTTTAATCTACATAAGATTTTGACAGTAAAGGTAATTTTTTTTGTGCAGAAGATCCAAGTCTGTTATCAGTAGACAAATATCAGCCTTGGGCAGTGAAGCAGATTATTGGTCAACATGGTGATAAGAGCAACATGAGAAAGCTGATGAACTGGCTGAGAGACTGGGAAAAGAATAGAAAGAAACCAGCCTCTAAATGTGAGATGCTTTTTCCCTCAAATACATGTACAAACTTCTCTTCAGGCAAGTATGCAAATGGTTCAGGCAAACTTTCGGAGAAAGCAGATGAAAGAGTTTGGGTTGTAATCAGATAGGGGAACCTTTCTAGAGGGGGAGTAGCAATTCTCCTGGTCACCTGATGCTACTGAAATTAATTTAAGCTTTGGCGAGATTAGTCCTGGCTCTTGTGCTGACTTTACTTCTAACCCTTTAACTCCTATGAGTGATCAAGACAGGATTTCTCCTTACAATATCAATAAAATATCAAGCAGACAGGTGATGAGAATAAAGAAAAATATCAATCAGGGGATGATTAGTTGATCCAATACCAAATTATCCAAATCATAAGAATTTTATGGCAGACAGTAAGAAGTACAAGTGAGCTGTTTGAAGTAAAAGGGTTCAGTGGATGAACCTAGCCTTAATCAACAGATATTTTACATAAGACCTTAAATTGAGTTGTAATGCAAATGTCGTCTAGCTGTTGGCTAAATACCTTTCACACTGAATCCAGATTGTTTCTTAATTCCCACATTCAGAGATACAATTTTTTAAACAGCTGTAACTTATGAACTTTTATGAATTTATTTTACTCGACAGTCACTTATACATGTAGTTAGTATGTTAGTAGTGGAATCACAGTTTTAAACCTTTTTATTTTGCACAGCTTTCTTTTACAACAAAGACCAAGATGGGTCGTCCTTTATGGCAGCTCTTCTGTCCGGTTCCCCAGGAGTTGGAAAAACAACAACAGCTACATGTACCCTGGTTTGTGAAGAGCTGGGTTTTACGTACATTGAAATGAATGCCAGTGACACACGAAGAAAAAAGACCTTGGAAGAACACATTTCTCAGTCACTGAACAATAAAACCATGGATGGCTTTCTGACAGGTCGTCAAATTTCTGTAATATTTGGAATGACTTTGATATTATTAAAGATACTTCATGAATTCTCCAGTCTTGCTAAACTGATTTTCCTCTTTAGTTAATTTATTAGATTTCAGATGTCATTTTTCCTTGTATTTTTGGTCGTATTCGCTATACAATAACTTTTTGCTAAATTTCGCCTTAGGTCATTTCTTTTCACTCACCCGTCGAATTAAAGCTCTATTGGTCAACGTTTCCTAAAACATTTGTCAAGTTTCCAGGCCGACAAATCGCCTGCATCTTTAATAAGAGAATTTCCTTCACTATGCGTTCAGTATGTGTGTGTCTCATTTTTCCCTGTCCTGTCAAGACCTCTCGTATGGCAGTCCAGCGCCCTTCGATCACCCTAAGCAGGCGATGGTTTAACGACCATCACATCAGCAAAAAATAAGTATATTAAAAAAAAAATAGCATGTTTATATCATTGTGCTACACTCCGAATTAATGAAAATGAAAAGTTAAAAAATGTAATATGAGGTCCTGTCCAAACTTGGCGTATAAATAGTGAAACAGCATCGCTACAAAATAGAATCATGGATCACGAAATAAGCAATGACACGATTTTCTGTTTCGAGTTCGATGAGCTCATATTCAGCTTCTTCAATACTGCTCGTGTTACCAAGTGCACCGTTTTGTTACACACTTCTGGGGCAAATCACATTTTCACAGGAGTTAAGGTGAGGACAGAATAAGTTAATAGCGACCGAATGCAGTGAATGAGATAAACGGATATTGACTAAAGATACAAATAGAAATAATTTGAAACATGAGACAAAAGAATGAAAAAAATATCGATCTTATTTACTCGTCACGAACGCAGGATCGAATCTTAGACCATCGGATTTTACGATCTGAAGTTCTCACACAGCTATAGATTTCTCGTTAATGATCCATGACATACAATGGATACATAAAAGGATCATCCTGCATACTGCTTAGATCATCAATGTCGAAAGTTTCATGTCTTCAAATACATAATGATAGAAAGGAAATTTCAAGCTCTTGCGTGACAAAGGAAAAAATCATTTTTAACCGACGACCGAAAAGAAAAACCCTATCCGTCAGATCAGGTTAAACGACAGATTAAATATCAATGCTGACATGTAGATAAACATACCAGACCTTGAGGTAGCTTATTTATCTTCCCATGAGGGATTTACGAAGCTGCGGCATTTCTGATTCCAGTATCATGTGCGTCACTTGTCTGTACGAACTGTTAGACATTTATTTATGGCCTCGCTTACTGCATCCAAACTCGGCTGACAATTCTAGAGCTCAAAGAGACAGAGAGCTACGGCCTCAGATTTCTCTTCCAACTTAAAGACAACTGGTTCAGTAACAATTTATTCATAAAATTCTTATAAGATACACAGAGGGTTTCTGCACACAAAGATGCATGGAGTACACAGATTTAAAAAAATTTTGAATATCTTCCTCGGATATTTTTTTTAAGAAGAGTACATATGGTATTCGCTTTAATTCTTTCCAAGACGCGAAACGATTTAACTATGCTTTTCTCTAGATACAACGAGAAGTCAAGTATTTTTCTTGCAAAAGAACTTTATTGGAGTTAAATTTATTGCAAGTAATCTTCAGGTGAGGAAAGATAATGAAGAAATATGTAGCATATTATAATCGAAAGACAAGAAAATTGGAAAAAATTTACATAAAGAATACATATTATTGATGTGGTTTCTTTAGCTTTGTATCTCCCTCTAGTGATTACACCGGACACCTACGCTTTTGACTGTAAAAATATTTAGGGCGCAATTGGCGGGAGTTATTTACAAGAAAAAAGCTTACCGTTATTATTTTTAGAAACTTTTTGAAGTTGTCACGGTGAGAGCGGAAGATGAAAATTTGAGAGAACTGTAACGCTAATGGGAAGATGACCAAAAACAAATGTGTATCATATTGAACGAGGGATATATTGAGTTGATCACTTGAAGAGAAATTGTATTGGTACAATATAACTCACGGTGTAAATTCATCCTTATCGATTCAGTTATGGCAGGGTGTAACATGTCCTGCTCAGAGAAGAAAAGGGTTTTGCGGATGCGAGTGTTTTGCACTGAAAGAGAAAGAGCTGAATTTAAATCACAGAAATAATTAATCGCCATGGAGAAACATGTAAACAAGTAATAATCATAAAAAGAATAAAAAAAAACAAACAGACAAAAATACAAGCACAATACTGGGCATTAGATGAGGTTACATCTTTCAAACTCGTTAATATGTTACCTTCATTTTTTCATCGAATTGTTGTAAAGCAAAATATTATTTTTGATATTTTCAGGCATGTAGAATTAACAAATGACATCGTCTGGAGAATAGAAGGATTCAGAGGATAACAGTTTAACAGGTACAAATCAATTTTCATTCTGCAACTGATTAGTGCTGTAGAGCTCATGTTATTTATAATGAAAGATCACAATCTTATTTTTCTTGCGGCTGACAACAATCAAGGTTAATTTCAGTCGAATTTCCCGGTTTATTGTTATCAGATGTGAAGATATTTCAATGGTTTCTCTCATTTGACTGGTTTAATAGTCTGCACGCGATGCAATTTCCTAAAGCCTTAAACTCCAAGAAGTGATATAACTTGTAACTTATCCTTGTAATATCAATACATTATCCAGCAAACAGGCAATGAGAATACTCAAAGTTTTATCAGGTAGAATTCGTTATCTTTGAACTAACACCAAATTTCTGTATCTACTTTGAAATGAAACATGTAGCAGCTAGAGGGGAGAATTAACAATTAGATCTCGGGAGTTAAAGGTTTAACTGTGCGTGATGATTATGCGGCAGAAGCGCGTGACGAGCATGTGACAGAGCTAGATAACGTGACGTATATAATTAGAGCTCTCGTCAATATCAAAATCAGCAAATATCTCTTTGTAAGTTTGTAACAAAGCTCGAGGTTGAAAAAAAATTACACAATCCCTACGTTTCTTTTGATATGGTAACATTCGCGATATATAGTAATAATAACGGTAATATGGTTGTCGGTGAAATACCAGAATTTTTTTCCGTTTCCAAAACGTGACATCTCCACCGCACGCTGTAAATGTACCATTTATATCTTCACATATCTAGGTACCACTGTCGTCATTACAATCGGATTTATCAACATGAAAGTTTTACCTTCCATGTGGGCTGTTTTTTTTTTCAATTGCATTTTTTACCTGAAGCTGAATTCAATTCTCTCTTTAAGGAAATAGTTCTTGTAATGAGAAATTGTTGTATTACAATATCCGAAATTGAATTAATTTTTCGGCGGGCTGAGTTTCGGCGCAGCAGATCTCTGTAATCGATGCTCCTATTTAAAAAAGTGTATGTGATTCAAATTTTCAACCAATATCTTTTGAATAAAATGGATGATACATGCCTATCGATACGAATTTATCTGCTTGAATTGAATTATCTGTTTGAAGGAGTTAAAAGATGTCATGAACACTCGATGGTAAAATTCGTATCCACGCGCGGTTATCTAATACCTCATATATGCGTTTATAAAATAATTAAAATAGTACACGCGCTCTGATTGGCCATAAAACCATTTTACATGAGCGTATGTAAACACGGTTTTCGTTCCTCTTTCATTAGTTATTTTATAAAGAAATGTAAAATGGTTTCCGTGTTTACATAGCTTGATGCTAGAAACCACTCCGCTTCGCGTCGTGGTTTCCTACGCTTATCGAGTGTTCTCCCAACCTCCCGCGTGTTTACATCAGGCTATGTAAATACGGAAACCATTTTACATTTCTTCATTGTATTACTGGAAAAGTGTGAGCTTAAAAAAGTAGACCACCTCAGCAGCTTCAGGGAAATGTTCCAGATTTCCCATCCGCTATAATATTGCAAAAGATTCTCTTTTGATCAGCAATTCGTTCAAAAATAATTTTTCAGTCTCATTTCGCTTTCAGTCTACTTCCTCCGCCAAATGCTCATGGCCTGGCAGTGAATTCACTCGATGGCCTACAAGATTAAGCTATGCAGGAGTCTGTGTGTTGCGCTTGGCTTTCAATTTGTTGTGGATGAAGTTTCTTGATAACAAGAGTTTTGTTGAAAAGGACACTTTCCAGTGCCATCTTCTCCATTCCCTCAAAATAACCTCGTATTCAGCGCCTTTTCTGAATTCGAAATGAAAAAATCGAGTACTTCCCCATAATTTGGAGAGGGACCAGCTTTAAATTTAGTATCTAAATTTCCTGGTTCCTTCAAAAAATAATTAATGAAGGAGTTTATTGACCAGAACTTATAATTCTGTTGGTAAAAAAAAAAAAGCCTTTGTCCAGCAATTTTTCGATAGCTTTGAGGGACATTTTACACATGCACTTTGTAGGAGAACAGGTTCGATAAACGTGTTTCTTCACGCAATAGGCTCGCGGGGTGTTGGTAGAATTCGTGACTGTAACGCAAGCCCTCAAAGGTGTTTCGGTTTCGTTTGTTGCATAATTTTTGATCCATGCTTATCCATGCCTACCGGGTATAACTAGATTGTTTATTGCAACTCACGCTTTTTGATAAGGGACAGCCTTGAACGACGTTTCATCAGATGAGACTACGAAAACAAATTAACAAACAAACAATTGAAAAAACAAACATGACACAACCCGCAGAACTTGACTGTCACGCAATCACAATAGCGTGACGGAGGAAACTTTGAGATTCTCATTCATCCTCTATGATTAAGTATAAGATGTTTTCTCTGGGTTACTTTCATCTGAGTCTCCTCTTTTGATTTTAAACAATGTAGCGCAGTACAATCGATTCAATTTTATTTCTAGCTATGGCAGAAAGCAACCTCCCAACAACGGGAGAAGAACTGGAGGTGAAAAATGAGTTTCCGGCCACAGGTGAGAAAAAGCAACAGGGAAAGACTTCGTTGTGGTGATTTTGAACTTTTTGTTTATTAAGTATATCTTAATTCTGGTGCACAATTTTTTGGATCAATTCGACTCGAGGGTTTTTAAGGAATCCACTAAATACGCCAGTATTAGAACGCTAGTTGTAATTGCACATAGTTGTGATCACTGACAAAGTTGAAATATCTTCTCGGTAATTTCAGCGACAGAGGAAAGTCAAGTTACGTCAAGTGACGCTGAACTGGATGTATACAATGACCCTTTAAGAGGTAAGAAAACCGTTTTGAAAGACGTCCCAGTGAAGTTTTTGTCACATTTACATCAAAATTTGCGTATGTTCTGTGGATAAGTTTTTGAAACAGCAAAAGATTTTTTTTCAATTTTAAACTTTATTATCAGAAAAATTAAAAAAAACAAAGGGAAAAACAATTTATTGCTCGATCCGATCGAGAAGAATGCGTAGATATCATTAATTTTTTCATTAGCAATAAAGCGGCAAATTTGAACGCGACTACGCTTTGAAAAGCCTTAAATTAAAGAAGAATGAGCCAAAATTGGCCTACTAGGCTTGGTAAAACTCGGTTTTCTGAGTTTTAGAAGTGCTTATCTGTAAATCAACGCACAATATTTTGGAGATAAAAGATGTATCTACAATTTGCACCTAAAATGAACGATATTTATGCAGTAAAAAGTATTTTCCTTTTGCACTTAAAAATATAGTAAATTTGGTCATTTTTAGTATGAAAGTCATTTTCGGTAAGAGAGAACTGTTGGTACCCGTAGACCTGTCAAAGTCCAGTTTTGAAAAATTTGCAAACGGGTAACTTTTTTTAGGCCGCCAAAAGGAAAGTATTCACGTGAACACCTTTTTGTCCTTATTGTTCAATACCTGTTCGGAGGAGCTTTCACGCAATTTGAGAATTGTACAGAGAAGAGGAGGCATTTTGTCTCGGCCGTATCGTCTGTTTTGGTCCTCTAAGTATTTTACACCTTTTCGGCCAGTTATGTCAACACCAGGCTCACGCTGTAAACCACCGGCTGACAAAATAGTAGAACCCCTGACTTTCACAACAGGCAAAATGGAAATTCGCGAGAAAGTAGTATTTTCCCAATAATATTTTTTTTCCAGTGAGCCTCTACGAGCATGTTTTCAATAGACAATTACATGAATGTACTAAACCAAAAAGAGAAAAAGAAAAAAAGCATGTTTTTCTGACGCACTTGTCACTCTCAGCACGAGGTTTCTTTTCTTTATCAGAACATTCACAAGTTTTAACCTTTTTGGGTCCTGGCTTTGCTTTGCTTTATACATTTTTCCTCAACAACTCATGGGGTTTTATATTCCAATTTGACATTTTGTAAAACGCAACCCAGGTGTAAAAGGAATTTTAGAAAGTCTTTCGACCTAAATGTAAACCAAACAAACTTGATCTGGTTATAGCCAAGCTATAGCTGAAACTCCAGATAGCTTGCATATTTTAAAGTAAACAAAATGCACAGCTAAAGTCTCCTGAAATGTAATTGCAAACAAAGTTGAGTTGAAATAGGGTCTCCCGGTGAAATTTGGGATACTTTGGAAAACGTAACCCAGGTGAAAAAGGGTTTTTGGTGAGTCTATTGACCCAAATGTAAACCGAGAAACTTGAACTGGTGATAGCCAATTAAGGTACAGTCCAGACTCCCAACACCTTACACATTTTACTTGAACAAAATGTACAAATACTAAACTTTTCTGATTTTTTTTTTCATAGCGCTAAGCTCCTTTAACCTAACAGTTCGTTTGGAATTATAAAGTTGGCATCATCCGCCAAGGGTCGTGTAACTCATTACTAAATCATTAACACTAACATGGTGTGTTTTCAGGGATAGCGAAAGTATGTCTCGAGGAAGGTAACAAAGAATACACACAAGGAGAAGCTAATGACGCAATAAACTCCTACACGGAAGGACTTCAAGTGAACTGCAAAGATAAACGACTGAACGCCAAGCTTTACAGCAACAGGGCAACAGCTCATTTCCGTTTGGGTAACAATTTCATTTCTAAATATATAAATCTCTCATGCAGCGTTAAAAGATATCGGAATAAACAATCTGCATCAAGAAAAGAAAGAAGTTGAGCAACAGCAGAGGAAAAGCACAAATACATGAATCCCATTTAGTGGATGAAAATTAAGAAAAGAAATGATTCTCGTTATTAGACTGCAATTTAAGCAGTTGTAATTTTTCAGGCTTTTTTGCTGCAATTTCATTGGATGACCATTTTTTTAAACCTCATTTCCTGAATCTCATAGCAAACTACGTGGAATGTCTGGATGATGCAACAGTTGCTGTTCAATTGGAACCCACTTTAATCAAAGCTATTAAGAAAGGTGGGTTTTTCAGACATAAGCCATCAACATTCTGTTCTCTGATTTCGTCAAAAGAGGATTGGGTGGTTTGTGGCAAGCGACTACACCCCAAGTGTCAATTGTATCTGGTGTGTCAATGTCAATGTCTGTTATGTGGGTAAAAAGCATAAGAAAATGTCAATAAGCTCTCAAATACCGCTGCCTGTTTAGTTCACGTTGTAGAGCGCGCGCCGGAGGTCGAGGGTTCAAGCCTTAGACCGGACCAACACTCAGAGTCGTAAAATATCTGAGGAGAATGTGCTGCCGCCTAAGCTGTCACATCTGCAAATGGTTTGATATTCTTGTCTCGGATAAGAACAGAAAACCGTAAACCCCGTTTCTTGCATCTTCTCTGTAACTCAAGGAGGCACATGAAAAATTCCCTTTCAAAAGTTGTGAACTGCTCAATGCAGTCTGCCCAAAAATTTCCCCGAAAAGTGCTGAAAAGCGTATAAGAGCACATTAAAAAGAAGAATTCTTAATATAAATTCATCGTTATCATCAATTGAAACTTAATTGGTGGCCGCTTTGCATTAGCTTCTTATTGTTCATCTTCAGTTCTTCTACAAGTTCAAATTTCCTTCATTATCACAATTTTTGTTCCCAGCTAAATGGGAAATTAAGTCCATTTTATTAATACGTTTATACTTTAACAGTGATTAGTTAACTCGTACCACTAATTATTCTCTCCTTTTCAGGAGCCAGAGCTTGTGTCGAACTTTGCTTGTATAAAGAAGCAAGGAGCTGGTTGCATATGGGATTGGCCGTATCCTTTAACGAATGTTTCAAAGGTGATACGAGATGAAATGCGAGTAATATTTCAAGGAAATCAATACGTTCCGGAGAGATTCTGCAACACATAATGCAAGCAATGTTCTCTTATACTGCACTGAGCAGTTTTAAAAAACAAAAATATTCTTAAAGAAGAGGTCATATTAATTAACCCTTTAACTCCCATGAGTGACCAAGACAGAATTTCTCCTCACGACATCAGTACAATATCAACCAGATAAGTGATGAGAATAAAGAAAAATATTAATTCTAGGATAATTGGTTGATCCAAACCCAAATTCTTCGAGCTTATGTAATAAGAATTATATGGTTGGAAGCGAAGAGAATTACAAATTTGATCTGGGAGTTAAAGGGTTAATTCCCAGAGTTTGAGCTGAATGCCCCTCATATTTGTCTTCAGACGAGCATCACCATGACCACCGAACCTAAACCAGTAAATGTGCTTCAGAGCTAGTTAAAACTCTCCAATAACTTGAATTCAAATCTCTAAAAAAAACCCACGTTCGAATTATCATTCCAGTTTTAAGGTTCTATCTAATACTCTCGCTGTTTTTTTTTTAAATACACATTTCCACTGCATTTTCGCAAATCTACTCATGATTTATCGACCCTTGACACGTTTTAAGATTGAAAATAACAACAAACGTCTGCTTCAATTACTAAGGAAAACTAATGGTGAACTAATAGTCACAGAAAACAGTTCTACCAATCTCGGCAACGCTTATCAAGGACTAGGGAAGTTTCAAACAGCTATCAAGTACCATCAGCGTCAACTAGAAATTGCTAAAGAATCGGGAGATAAGACCAAAGAGGGAAGAAACTATTGCAATCTCGGCAACGCTTATGGCAATCTAGGACAGTTCAAAACAGCCATCCAGTACCATCAACGTGATCTAGAAATTGCTAAAGAAGTGGGAGACAAGGCCGGAGAGGGCAGAAGTTATGGCAATCTCGGCAACGCTTATTGCAGTCTAGGACAGTTCAAAACAGCCATCCAGTACCATCAACGTCATCTAGAAATTGCTAAAGAGGTGGGAGAGAAGGACGGAGAGGGCGGAAGTTATTGCAATCTCGGCAACGCTTATTGCAGTCTAGGACAGTTCAAAACAGCCATCCACTACCATCAACGTGATCTAGAAATTGCTAAAGAAATGGGAGACAAGGCCAGAGAAGGCAGAGCTTATTGCAATCTCGGCAACGCTTATAAAGGTCTAGGAAAGTTCAAAACAGCCATCCAGTACTATCAACGTCATCTAGAAACTGCTAAAGAAATGGGAGACAAGACCGGAGAGGGAATCAGTTATGGCAATTTCGGTAACGCTTATAGCAGTCTAGGACAGTTCAAAACAGCCATCCAGTACCATCAACGTCATCTAGAAATTGCTAAAGAAGTGGGAGACAAGGCCGAAGAGGGAATCAGTAATGGCAATCTCGGCAATGCTTATCGCAGTCTAGGACAGTTCAAAACAGTCATCCAGTACCATCAACGTCATCTAGAGATTGCTAAAGAAGTGGGAGACAAGGCCGAAGAGGGCAGAAGTTATTGCAATCTCGGCAACGCTTATAAAGGTCTAGGACAGTTCAAAACAGCCATCCAGTACCATCAACGTGATCTAGAAATTGCTAAAGAAGTGGGAGACAAGGCCGGAGAGTGCAGAAGTTATTGCAATCTCGGCAATGCTTATCAAGGTCTAGGACAGTTCAAAACAGCCATCCAGTACCATCAACGTGATCTAGAAATTGCTAAAGAAGTGGGAGACAAGGCTGGAGAGGGCAGAAGTTATGGCAATCTCGGCAACACTTATGGCAGTCTAGGACAGTTCGAAACAGCCATCCAGTACCATCAACGTCATCTAGAAATTGCTAAAGAAGTGGGAGACAAGGTAGGAGAGGGCAGAAGTTATGGCAATCTCGGCAACGCTTATCAAGGTCAAGGACAGTTCAAAACAGCCATCCAGTACCATCAACGTCATTTAGAAATTGCTAAAGAGGTGGAAGACAAGGCCGGAGAGGGCAGAAGTTATGGCCATCTCGGCAACGCTTATCAAGGTCTAGGACAGTTCAAAACAGCCATGCAGTACCATCAACGTAATCTGGTAATTGCTAAAGAAGTGGGAGACAAGGCCGGAGAGGGTAGAAGTTATGGCAGTCTCGGCAACGCTTATCAAGGTCTAGGAAAGTTCAAAACAGCCATCCAGTACCATCAACATCATCTAGAAATTGCTAAAGATGTGGGAGACAAGGCCGGAGAGGGAATCAGTTATAGCAATCTCGGCAACGCTTATGACAGGCTAGGACAGTTCAAAACAGCCATCCACTACCATCAACGTGATCTAGAAATTGCTAAAGAAGTGGGAAACAAGGCCGGAGAGGGCGGAAGTTATTGCAATCTCGGCAACGCCTATCAAGGTCTAGGACAGTTCAAAACGGCCATGCAGTACTATCAACGTCATCTAGAAATAGCTAAAGAAGTGAGAGACAAGGCCGGAGAAGGCAGAAGTTATGGTAATCTCGGCAACGCTTATCACAGTCTAGGACAGTTCAAAACAGCCATCAAGTACCATCAACGTGATCTAGAAATTGCTAAAGAAGTGGGAGACAAGGCTGGAGAGGGAATCAGTTATGGCAATCTCGGCAACGCTTATCGCAGTCTAGGACAGTTCAAAACAGCCATCCAGTACCATCAACGTAATCTAGAAATAGCAAAAGAAGTGGGAGACAAGGCCGGAGAGGGCAGAAGTTATGGCAATCTCGGCAACGCTTATCGCAGTCTAGGACTGTTCAAAACAGCCATCAAGTACCATCAACGTCATCTAGAAATTGCTAAAGAAGTGGGAGACAAGGCCGGAGAGGGAATCAGTTATGGCAATCTCGGCAACGCTTATGGCAGTCTAGGACAGTTCAAAACAGTCATCCAGTACCATCAACGTCATCTAGAAATTGCTAAAGAGGTGGGAGACAAGGCCGGAGAGGGAACAGGCTATGGAAATCTCGGCAACGCTTATTGCAGTCTAGGACAGTTCAAAACAGCCATGCAGTACCATCAACATCATCTAGAAATTGCTAAAGAGGTGGGAGACAAGGCTGGAGAGGGCAGAAGTTATAGCAATCTCGGCAACGCTTATAAAGGTCTAGGACTGTTCAAAACAGCCATCCAGTACCATCAACGTGATCTAGAAATTGCTAAAGAGGTTGGAGACAAGGCCGGAGAGGGCAGAAGTTATGGCCATCTCGGCAACGCTTATCAAGGTCTAGGACAGTTCAAAACAGCCATCAAGTACCATCAACGTGATCTAGAAATTGCTAAAGAAGTGGAAGACAAGGCCGGAGAGGGCAGAAGTTATTGCAATCTCGGCAACGCTTATTGCAGTCTAGGACAGTTCAAAACAGCCATCCAGTACCATCAACGTCATCTAGAAATTGCTAAAGAAGTGGGAGAAAAGGCCGGAGAGGGCGGAAGTTATTGCAATCTCGGTAACGCTTATCAAGGTCTAGGACAGTTCAAAACAGCCATCCAGTACCATCAACGTGATCTAGAAATTGCTAAAGAGGTGGGAGACAAGGCCGGAGAGGGCAGAAGTTATTGCAATCTCGGCAATGCTTATTTCAGTCTAGGACAGTTCAAAACAGCCATCCAGTACCATCAAAGTCATCTAGAAATTTCTAAAGAAGTGGGAGACAAGGCCGGAGAGGGCAGAAGTTATTGCAATGTCGGCAACGCTTATCAAGGTCTAGGACAGTTCAAAACAGCCATGCAGTACCATCAACGTCATCTAGAAATTGTTAAAGAAGTGGGAGACAAGGCCGGAGAGGGCAAAAGTTATGGCAGTCTCGGCAACGCTTATTGCAGTCTACGACAGTTCAAAACAGCCATCCAGTACCATCAACGTCATCTAGAAATTGCTAAAGAGGTGGGAGACAAGGCCGGAGAGGGAACCAGTTATGGCAATCTCGGCATCGCTTATGGCAGTCTAAGACAGTTCGAAACAGCCATCCAGTACTTTCAACGTAATTTAGAAATTGTTAAAGAAGTGGGAGACAAGGCCGGAGAGGGAATCAGTTATAGCAATCTCGGCAACGCCTATCGCCATCTAGGACAGTTCAAAACAGCAATCGAGTACCATCAACCTGGTCTAGAAATTGCAAAAGAAGTGGGAGACAGGACTGCAGAGGCGTGCTCACTCTGGTCCCTTGGAAACAGTTTTGAGTGCCAAGGAAATCTTATGAGAGCCTTTGACTGTTATTATTCGAGTGTAGAATTGTATGATGATATCAGGGCCAGTCTTCAACTCAACGATCAGTGGAAGATTTCTTATCGTAATCAGCACCAAGTAGCATACAAAGGTTTGTGGCGTATAAATGTCAGTCGAGGTCAAGTTGTGAAGGCTCTTCTTGCCACAGAGAAAGGACGTGCTCAAGCTCTGAGAGATCTCATGGTCACAAGATATCAGCCTGGAGATTCTTCAACGCCCAGCGCATCCCGCATTTCTCTGAGGTGGGTTCCACTGAGCACAGTTTTCATAGCTATTAATGGACCATGCATTTACTTCTGGGCTTGCCTCAGTGAAAATAATATCCAGATGAGAGAAGTACACGTGAACAATTACAAGTATGAGAATGAGTTGAAATTTTTCATCCAGCTACTGAACAGAACTGCTCTTAAGGAGATTGGCGCAAGAGATACTGTTACCATCGAAAGTCCTCCGCTAGACTCGCGGACAGAAGAGGAAATGGCCAATGATGTGATCCGAGTTGATGTCAGGCACTCCCAATCAAGTGCTTTAAAGAAGCTGCATAACATCATCGTTACTCCTATTGCTGACCTGATCGAAGGCAACGACGAGATCACATTCGTTCCTGAGGGGCCATTTTGCCTTGTACCTTATGCAGCGTTGCAAGACTCCAACTCATCATATCTAAGTGATTCTTTCAGAATTCGTGTGCTTCCCTCTCTGACCACCTTGCAACTAATTCATGATTGTCCAGCTGACTTTCACATGAAGACTGGTGCATTGCTTGTCGGCGACCCATGTTTCAAACATCTCATCTATGAGGAAACACTTTTGGTGCAACTTCCAGGAGCAAAGAAAGAAGTGGAGATGATCGGACGTATTCTCAATGTCTCCCCTCTCACTAGAGAAATGGCAACAAAAGATGAAGTGTTAAAACGAATATCATCAGTGGCCTTAGTTCATATAGCAGCGCACGGCAAAATGGAAACTGGAGAAGTTATCCTGGCACCAAACGCCACTAGAGAAAACCCTCAGCCGCAAGAGAAAGACTATCTACTGACGATGAAAGATGTGATAGAAGCTGGGTTGCGAGCACGTTTGGTTGTACTTAGCTGCTGTCACACTGCTCGTGGGGAGGTCATGGCCGAGGGTGTGGTCGGTATGGCGCGTGCACTTTTGGGTGCCGGTGCCAGATCTGTTGTGGTAACCTTGTGGGCGATTGGTGACGAGGGAACCCTGGAGTTCATGAGTTTCTTCTACGATGCACTTGCCAAAGGCAAGAAGGCCAGTGAAGCTCTCAATCAGGCCATGAAGTGTATGAGAGATATTGAAAAGTTTAAGGAGGTTTGGCACTGGGCACCATTTGTACTCATTGGTGACGACGTCAACCTGGATTTCAAGGAGATTTAAAAGGTGGAACAAGTAGTAATTCTGTTGATACATTCTATTCAATGCAAAGTTACATTAAATCATAATCTTTGCTCATATACGAGCAGTGATACTTGCGTGTTAGTTTCCTTTCAGTTGGGTTACGAATTTATTTTTCTCTCTGCAAACTGAGATGCAGTACAATCAAGTGGAAACGTTTACGATGATAACATTCGTTTTTGGAAACATGATAGGAGTAAAATAGCAAATTTCTTTTAAAGCAATCCTGTTGTGCAATGTATCGTTTCATGTGCTGAGAAATGTTTCATGGCAACTTAACTATCCTCCCTAAACTGAGATTCTTTTATGTTTCAGTTAAGGCAGTGAGCATTGGAATCCCAGGGAGTTTTCGGATACCTACAAATGCTGATATTTGGACCAGAAACCTGTAAGCTACCGATGAAACCTTGGTCAAGATTCTTCTTTTCATCAAAGCAGGAAGAACCAAAAGACGGCCAAAGTCAAGTTTAACAAGAGAACAGATTTCCATTGATTCAAAAGTTGCCTTTTTGCTTGTCTGAACTGCTTTTACGAGCTTAATCTTTGATATCCTTCTCAAACTACTGTTTGTTTGTTTTTTTCATATGATGTCTTAAAATTATCGTGACTAGGTATGTGAGAAGTTATTTTTAATGTAAGTATTTTCTACTGAGAGGATTTGGGCGTTACATTTACGTCGAAGTTGAAACGTCTTGAAAACGTTTTCCAGAGTTTTTTACAGATTTTTTCTCAATCGGTTTAGTCTCATGAGCGATATGAAGCTATTACAGCTATGTGCGTGTGTAGAGAATTTCCATAGGAATTGGAGAATAATCAGTTGTCCGATTTCTCGATTATCTTTGTCTATGTCAGATGGAAATTGTGATGAACTTTTCGAGGATTTATACTCAGTCATTGGTACTTAAAGTTAGTTTCTGCCGATCAGAATTTGGTTTATCTGGACTTAAAATGAAAGATTTTGGCCGTAATGGCAAGGATTTATTCTTGGTATTAGTTAATTTCTCTGAGATTTCTCCTTTAATTTTGAATGAGATAAATTGTGTTATTTTTTACAAGCAGAACGATGCATTTTAAGTATATTGTGTAATCTAATCGCCCAAAGGCAAAACGAGAACTTTTATTTTATCATTTTAGTTATGGTTTACAAAGCATTGAAGGAAGCTCAGAACGAGCTGGAAAGTTGGAGCCAAATGATTTTATTTAGTTTCTCCGATTAGATTGTTTACCTATTATCTAAGTACAATAAACTAATATTTAAATGTTAAACAATGAAACAAGTCGCTTGATATTTTGTTAGAATGGAAGAGGAAATCAATAACAAAGGAAGGAAAATTTCTTCATCAGCTTGCATAAGCCATTTCGTGTCGTTTGAAGTAGTATTCGCTTATTAAACTTTCGCCCATTTCTTTGAATAGGTTTACTGAATGAGAGATAAACTTCGATATTTTCTGACTCTAAAACTGCTAACATCGAGCATTGGCAACCGTTTCTTAGGATGTCACGCGACGAATTTCTTTAGCACGTTATGTGACAGATATGATGTTTTGTCACATCTTTTCGTTTGGAGTAATGAGCGCACCTATGTCTTATTCGCTCAACCTCTTCCCATTTCCTTGGATAGAGTTATTAAATGAGATATTAACTTCGATATTTTTTAGATTTTATGGCTGCCAGTCTCATTGGCAGCCGTTCCTTAGGATGTCACGCGACGCGCTTTTTTAGCATGGAAAGCGACATGATGTTTAGTCACACATTGTTGAAGAGGCAAGAAAAAAGAAATAACCTTTCACTTTGGGAGATGGTGCTTTATTCTGTTTATAGAAAGCGTCCTCATCATGGGAGGTACCCTAGGTCGGTATGGTTCGTCGAGTGTAGAAAATATTGATGATTTTTTTTTTCCACGATAGCAAACTTAACTAAAACAGCCTGTTAAAAAAACCGAAACTTTCTTAAAACTGAGGGTCGAACGATAAGAACTTTTTATGGCTAACGGTTAAAATTGGGGCCATTTTTCTGCCGCGGCTAATCCAGAATAACACTAAATAACTCATTGTAGGAAGGAAAGATTTTTAAAGTTAATTTTTTCTACAGCTAAGGGTTAAAACTGTTCAATTTTTGCGCCTAACAGCTAGTTTTTTTTACCGATATACGGCTAACGGTTAACCCCATGGAGACCCTCGACTGGGTGACATGCAAGATGTAAAACGGTTTTAGAAGGTGGCATTTGCAACTCGAGTTAAGAGTGCTGGTTTTTGAGGAGTAAGAAAAACCGGGAAAAACAAGCCGTGGAAAAATCCTGGAAATAAGGATCAACCTGGGAGAGACGGGCATGGGAAGAGCGTTGTCGCTACGCATTCCTGTTATGTGCAATCTGAGATGCTTAATGAAGCTAACGCGAGAAATTCACTTCAGGGCGAGCAGGGATAAATTTCCTTCCTCCTTTAAAGACCTTGTACTAGATCCGAAAAGTCAATAAGCCCTGATATTCTGACTTCACCCCAGATCTAAAAAACTGCGACAACGTAGATGTTTTCGCAGGAGTTCTCTACTGACCATGGCATATATTACAATCATTTACGAAAGAGCCATGCGAAGGGGGGAGGGGTGGGTCGAGGTTCCGTTTACCCCGTCGGGTTGGGAGTGTGAATAGCTACGTGTTTTCAAGGGTAGCGTCACAAGTGGGGTTCTCAAATATCTTAGAGGTACGATTTCAGAAGGTAAAGATAAGAATTTTCCTGAGTAATTGCTGGACTTGGACTTATTTCTTCTTAGATTTTCTCTTCGTGCTTCATAACTGTACTCCATCTACCCACCTTACAGCGGTTTTTTATAATATACCACACAGCTGGATAGAGCTCTTAGTGTGGGCTGATTGGCTAATTTGGAATTCATAGTCGAACCTGTATTAAGCGGTCGGTTGTCAAATTCCCGAATTTTTTTCCTCTTATGCATTGTCACTTTCACCACTTTTCAGCGGTGGTCTCTATTAAGCGGTTGTTGTCATCCTTGACTGAGTCCCATCGGCCTGTTCGGGTTGTATGGTACAGTCACTTAGGGAGGAATCACTCGAATAAAACGACGAATTGTCTCTAGGATATTGGAAGCCGAAACAAGTAAATATTCTGTTTATACATTCTATTCAATACAAAGTTACCTTAAATCATAATTATAGCTTATGTATGAGCAGTGATACTTGCGTGTTATTTTCCTTTCAGTTGGCTTACGAATTTAGTTTTTGCTCCTGCAAATTGAGATGCATTATAATCAAGTGGACACGTTTACGATGATGACATTCTTGTTAGGAAACATAATAGGAATAAAAAAGCAAATTTCTTTTAAAACAATGCTGTTGTGCAATGTATCGTTTCCGCATGTGCTAGGAAATATTTCATGGAAACTCAACCATCCTCCCTAAACTTAGCTTTTCTTATTTTTCAGTTAAGGCAGGGAGCATTGGAATCCCAGAGTGTTTTCGGATACCTGCAAACGCTGATATTTGAACCAGAAACCAGTAAGCTACTTATGAATCTTTCTCAAGAGTCTTCTTTTCAAACCAAGAAGAACCAAAAGACGGCCAAAGTCAAGTTTAACAAGAGAACGGATTTCCTTTGATTCAAAAGTTGACTTTTTGCTTGACTGAACTGCTCTTTAGAGCTTAATCTTTGATGTTCTGCTGAAACTACTGTTTTTTTTTCCATATGATATCTTGAAATTATCATGACCAGTTATGTAAAAAGTTAATTTTTAATCTAAGTATTACTTACCAGGCCGATTGAGGCGTTGCATTTACGTCGAAGTTGAAACGTCTTGGAAACGTTTTCCACAGTTTTTTCTAGACTTTTTTTCAATCGGTTTCTTTCTCATGAGTGATGTAAAGCTGTTATAGCCATGTGCATGTGTGGAGAATTTCTATGGAAATTGGAGAATAACTAGTTGTCCGATTGCTCGATTATCTTAGTTTATATCAGATGGAAATTGTGATTAACTTTTCGAGGATTTGTACCCAGCCATTGGTACTTAAAGTTAGTTTCTGCCGATCAGAATTTGGTATATCTGGACTTAAAATGACAGATTTTGGCCGTAATGGCCAGGATTTAGTCTTGGTATCAGTTAAGTTTCTGAGATTTCTCCCTTAAGTGACGATCTCTCTAATAGCGTCCAGGGCATTTCGCATCGGAACAAAGTTTTCCCTCAAACTTTGTCCAATAATCTATCTTTGAAGGAAAGTGTGCGCTGTTATCGCCGGTTACACCAAATAAAATCCTGTAGTTTGGTTCTGGAATATTCATACAGGTTTAATAGCATAAGCTGTCAGAACTCAAATATGAAATAACAGAAGCTAATTTCTTAAAAAAGAGATTACCATTAAAAGGTTGACTGAACGCCAATCAAATTATGATATTCGATACGTTGTTGTTGAAGTCTTTCGACACAAGATAGTAAAAATTTGTCAAATTTTGGCCTTTTAAAATGTTAAGAGTATCAATCAGTGTGGTCTTAAAGCTCTGTCCTATTATATTTTCAACTTAAAATGGTTAAAATCTAAGATTTATTGAGCTACTTATATAAAACGGTCGGAGAACTAATTTGCATAATCGGCTGTCACGGTAGCAAAATAGCTAAAAGTTTGAAGTCACCACGGCGAAGAAAATTATTAAGTGCAAGATGTTTTTATATTTTTCTGCTGCCAAACATCTTATAAGAAGAAATCAAGCGGAGTTTTCAATGGTCTGGTCTGGACTTGAGCAATATCAACCAAGAAAGAAAGAGTACTTTTGACCAATTTCAGAAAGCTGTCTAACGAGTGTTTTTAAGTAAATTATGACGAACCTCTGAATAAGCGAATATCAAAATTGAAATGCTCTTTTTAAACATTACATATCACAAAGCTTAAGAACACAAAAGATCTTTTGCTGCATGCGGTGTGATACGAGGACCAGGCTTTTTAACTTTAATTTTCGATGTCGCAAGCGTTCAGAAAAGGGCCTTTTGCAGCTTTGACTATTGAGAGCTCTAAAAATTTTATTTTAACTTATTTCCAGAAACCAATGTGGTTTTATTTACTTGCTACAAAGGATAGATTATTAGGCAAAGTTTGAGGGAAAACTTTGTTCCGATGCGAAATGCCCTGGACCGCTCTCACAGAGATCGCCACTTAATTTTGAATGCGATTAATTGTGTTATTTTTTACAAGAAGAGCGATGCATTTTAAGTATATTGCGTAATCTAATCTCCAAAGGCAAAACGAGAAGTTTTATTTCATAGTTTTAGTCACTGGCCTACAAAGCATTGAAGGAAGCTCAGAACGAGCTGGAAAGTTGGAGCCAAACGATTTTATTTAGTTTCTCGGATTAGATTGTTTACTTATTATATCAGTGAAATAAACTAACATTTGAATGTCAAACAATGATTAACTTTTCGAGGATTTGTACCCAGTCATTGGTACTTAAAGTTAGTTTCTGCCGATCAGAATTTGATTTATCTGGAGTTAAATGACAGATTTTAGTGGTAATGGCCAGGATTTAGTCTTGGTATTAGTTAATTTTCTGAGATTTCTCCTTTAATTTTGAATGCGATAAATTGTGTTATTTTTTTACAAGCAGAAGGATGCATTTTAAGTATATTGTTGAAACTAATCGCCCAAAAGTAAAACGAAAAGTTTTATTTTATAATTTTAGTTATGGCTTACAAAGAATTGAAGGAAGCTCAGAACGAGCTGGAAAGTTGGAGCCAAATGATTTTATTTAGTTTCTCGGATTAGATTGTTTACTTATTATCTCAGTACAATAAACTAACATTTGAATGTCAAACAATGAAACAAGTCGCTTGGTATTTTGTCAGAATGGAAGAGGAAATTAATAACATAGGGAAGAAAATTTCTGTATCAACCTGCATAAGCCATTTCTTGTCGTTTGAAGTAGTATTCGCTTAATAACTTTTGCCCATTTCTTTGAATAAGTTTACTGAATGAGAGATAAACTTCGATATTTTCTGACTCTATAACTGCTAATATCGATCACTGGCAACCGTTTCTTAGGATGTCACGCGACGCACTTCTTTAGCACGTTATGTGACAGCTATGATGTTTCGTCACATCTTTTCGTTTGGAGTAGTGAGCGCACCTATGTCTTATTCGCTCAACCTCTTCCCATTTCCTTGGATAGAGTAATTAAATGAGATATAAACCTCGATATTTCCAGATTTTATATCTGCCAGTTTCATTGGCAGCCGTTTCTTAGGATGTCACGCAACGCGTTTTTTTAGCGTATAAAGCGATATAATGTTTAGTCAGATATCGTTGAAGAGGCAAGAAAAATTAAATTACCTTTCACTTTGGGATATGGTGCTTTATTCTACTTATAGAAAGCGTCCTCATCATGGGAGGTACCCAAGGTCGGTACGGTTCCACTAGTGTAGAAAATATTGATGAATTTTTTTTCCACGATTGCAAACTTAACTAAAACGGCCTGTACAAAAAAAACCAAAACTTTCCTAAAACTGAGGAGGGCCGACCGAGGAGAACTTTTTATGGCTAACTGTTAAAATTGTGGCCATTTTTCTGCTGCGGTTAACCCATAATAACACAAAATAACACATTGTAGAAAGGAAAGATACAACTAAGGGTTGAAATTGTTCAATTTTTTACGCCTGACAGCTAGTTTTTTGACCGATACACGGCGAACGGTTAACCCCATGGAGACCCTCGACTAGGTGACATGCAAAATGTGAAATCATAACGTTTTAAGAAGGTGGCATTTGCACCTCGAATTTAGAGTGCTGGTTTATGAGGGGTGAGGAAAACCGGGAAAAACGAGCCGTGGAAAAATCCTGGAGGTAAGGATCAACCTGGGAGAGACGGTCATGGGGAGAGCGTTGTCGCTCCGCATTCCATTCCATTCCATTCCATTCCGCATTCCTGTTATGTTCAATCTGAGATGCTTAATGAAGCCAACGGGAGATATTCACCGAAGTGAAGGCGAGCAATGATAAATTTCCTTCCCCCTTAAAGACCTTGTACCGGATCCAAAAACTCAGTAAACCCTGATATTTTGACCTCCCCAGATCTAAAAAACTGCGACAACGTAAATGTTTCAGCAGAACATCTCTGCTGACGATAGCATATATCACAATCATTTTTGAAAAAAGAACCATGGAAAAGGGGGAAGGGTGGGTCGAGGTTCCGTTTTTCCCCCCAGGTTGGGAGTGTAAACGGCAACGTGGTTAGAGGAAGGATTCTCAAGAATCTTAGAGCTACGATTTCAGAAGGTAAAGGTAAGAATTTCCCTGAGTAATTGGTGGACTTAGACTTCTTTCGTTTTCTTAGATTTTCTCTTCGTGTTTCATAACTCTACTCCATCTACCCACCTTAGAGCGGTTTTTTATAATATACCACACAGGCGGATGAAGCTCTTCGCGTGGGCTGATTGGCTAATTTGGAATTCATAGTCGAACCTGTATTAAGCGGTCGGTTGTCCAATTCCCGAATTTTTTTCCTCTTAAGCATTATCACTTTCACCACTTTTCAGCGGTGGTCCTTGCCTGAGTCCTATCGGCCTGTTCGGGTTGTATGGAACGGTCACTTTGGGAGGAATCACTCGAATATGGCTGTGTTGGGAGTTGAGGGTTCAAGCCCCAGACCACAACGACACTCAGGGTTTTGAAATAACTAAGGAAAATGTGCTGTCTTTGCTGTAACATCTGAAATGGTTAGACGTTCTAGTCTTCTTGGCTAAGTGATAAACCATAGGCCCCATACTCTCCTACATCTTCTCTGTACTGGTTATAAGCAGGGGACATTAACCCTTTAACTCCCAGAAATGATTAACAGGTAACTTCTCCCTATAATATCCTTACATTATCCTGCAAACAGGTGATGAGAATACCCAGACTTCTCAGGTAGAGGAGCTGCAACCACACCCCATGGTGCTAGAACACCCGACTGGCCTACCCAATCTTGTTCCAAGCCCCCCCTGAGCACCCATCACTCTAAAGACAGATGGCTCAGTGGAGGAAACATAAATAAATAGATGAATGAATGAATAAAACAAATAAATAGAAATAAACCTTGCAGTTAGGGTTGGGGAGAAGGAAATGCCAAGAACCGCTACCTTCAAGAAAAACAATGCCACACTATAGAACAGCGAACACCACACAGGCACATGGTAGAATAATGCATGCACTGATAAGGTATACCGCTAAACGAGGACGGCCCCAGGGCCCCAATGATCACAGCACTGCTGTATTTAACTCTGTAGAATGCAACAAATGCTGCACAGACGCTAACAGCCAGCTCAAACGCGAACCGAATACTTGAAATACTACTAACCATAATTGCTCCTAGTCGTTAAATATATTAAATTCCATTTATCTGTATTGAATTTTTTTCATAAACTAATTCTGCCCCATGGCAACTGAGTTGATTTACTCAACTCAGTTGCAATTTGCTAAAATAAATTCAAGCAAAAGTATCAAAACTGCAAAAAAATTCGATCAAAACCAAAAACCGCATGCAAAACCGTCAAAACCTATAAATGTTCACATCTCAGTTCTCAAAACCCTAATCGATCCCATACAGTGTTGACAAGTGGAGCATACAGAGGTTTTGCGGCTATTCGAGATCAGTGGAGGCGCATAATGGCCGCTTGTCGGGATCGAAGAGAAACCGGAATCCAAATAGAAAAATCCGAAAACCACATTGGAGATCAAATCCGAAGCTCAATAGACAAGTATTTTTGACGAAAATCGGAAACCAAATGCTAAAAGACGGAAAATCCGTAAACCTCAATGAATACCGAATCCCAAAAACCGAAATTTTTTGGCACAAAAACCGATCTAAAAAATACTGAAAATTCCAATGCCCTGGCCCCCAAGGATGAATAGGACAGTTTAGTCCACAAATCACACAAATGATAACAAAAAAAGCCATTATTATTGTTGAAACCTTAACGAAAACTTTTTTTAAATTTTTTTTATTTTTCAATCAGAAACATGCTGCAAAACAACTTTAGTCACGCGATATTTTTCAGGGAAGGTGTCATGTCACGCAATCAAATTTTTCATCGACTAAGAACACCGATGCTTGACACTTTGTAAATTGCACAGCTGCAGCCTCACGGAATGTGTCTTTTTTTAAATTAGAGATTTGCATTATATGGCTAAATGGCACAGTCCTTCCTTTAAATACGGAAGAGGATTTGATCTCATCGCGAACGGAGTGAAGATTCAGCAAGGGATAAATCGGCGGATCTATTTGCCATTTTCAAAGCAATCTATTGAGGCAACTGCATGTGATTCAACCTCCCTCGTCTGACAGCTCCTTTTATAAGAGGAACTCTATTTGGTTCGGCGAACTCGAATGAGATTATGGTTATCTTCTGACCTATTGTCTTAGCGGAAGAGAAATAGCAGGAGTCTGGAAGCTAGCTAGGTTGGTGACCGCTGACTGAAGTACAGGAGATTTTCAAAGATGGCGCGAAATGTCGGAGAGTGATGTGAACACATCACTATACTAAAATGGTCTGTTAGTCGTTTTCGTTCTCAGTGATAGTCTTTTAACCGGTATTTCAATTATAATTACATATTTTTCTACAGGATATTCGATCGTTCTTCAGCCCTACTGGAAAGACAGCGAAGCAAGGCGCTTCGAAAGTAGAAAATAAGCGCGGCAAAGATTCTACTGCGAAGTCATTAACGAAACAAGATGTACGAAAGCTCCGAACGAAAACCAAGGTAAGTAATGGATTACGTAGCATTTGAGAGAGAGAGTTATTTGTGTTATCAGGGAATTCGACTTCAGAAGCGACGGAGAAAAGATCTGCCCATATCACAGCCCCTGTCTGACTGAATCGATCATTGTTTGTGTCTATACACTCGGGTGCAATTCAAAATCCCAACTATCCTCTCCTGGGGGTGGGGGAGGGGGAGGGGGTGGACACCTTATTTGGCCAAAATTGGTATTTATTGCCATACATGGTAAAATTTTCTTTGTCATGAATCTTTAATTTTGCACATGGTAGGTAATTTTACGACATGTTTTAACCAAGAGTTTCATTCCACTTCATACATCTAACCCAAGGTATCTTTCTGGACTGGAATGTGAGAAATGGTAGATGGTATTGTGTGTTAAGTAACTTTGTTGGTATAGTTTTCAATAGTTTATCTGAGTATGTCAGGGTAGCTAAGTGAGGCTGATAAGTTACAATGTTTTGCCTTTTTTTTTCATCCTAAACAGGATTGTAAAATGAAACAATTTTGTATTCATCCTTTAACTCCTAAGATCTGTTTGCTAATTCTCTCCTCTAGTTGCTTCACATTTCCTTTTACATTTGTTATAGGAATTTGTTCTTAGATCAAGATAACAATTTTTTTTTTTAAATAACCATTTTGTTGGACATTATATACTAGATAGTCTTGGGAGAATTTACATGTTAATCACATCTGGGAGTTTAAGGGTTGAAACAGCATGATGTGATACACTGCCACCTAAATTTCACTCAAGTTCGAAATATCTTGGACATTAGCATTCCCTACAAATTTGTTCAAACTGCAGCTTACTAACTCTGCAGAGTAGTTGCAGTATGTAATACTAATGCTTATTTCACAATTTTGACAAGTACTGGTTAATTTTCATTTATTCAGACTGAAGGGAAAATGAAATTGTTGATTAACTTGAAAGGTGACTGATAAAGAAACCTGGATACTTCACATAACCCAGACTTTTTTTTCCACAAGCCTGGTGTCTTTTTTTGATTTTTTTTGTAAGAAAGTTGTGCTGCGAGGAACAACACACCCCTTGATGTTCTCCAATTCTGTTTGGTCTTTGTTGTTATTATTAGGTCCAAAGAACCATTATAATCTCACATTTGTATGAATATGTTATTGTTTATTGGCTGGGCAGGGTTTATCAAGTAGTGAAGATGATGACATTGCCCGGAAACAAAAACCAAAAGAAAATCAGAAGAAGAAGAAGAAGAAAGGAAAAAACATTATTGACTCAGGTAATTTTTAGGATGAACACCAACAGTTTCAAAAGGAACAGATGTTGAGACTCTACACAAACTGTTATACATTAATTTGTATTAGTTTTAATGGTTTCAATGTACATGTAAGCTTGGTAGTTGTGCTATACAGTGTCCTTGTCAATTCCACTGCAATTTGCTCTGTTACGGAAACATGGTGTAAAAAGATTCACACAGTTATACATAGAACATCACAGTGATCTCCTGACCCTATTTCTAAATTAATCCTTACATCTCTGTTAGATTCTGATGAAGATCCTCTTCCCCCAAGAATCAGGTATGTGATTTGTTTCTTGAATTTCTTTTCCCTCTCATACAGTTGTAGTAAAACTTTTGGACTCTAATATCAGCCCTGAATCAAGAGTCAAGGATATGATCACCAACTATAAAAGCTCTTGATTATTAAACAAATTCTCCTTGTCAGCACCTTAGAAAATGCATAAAGAACAGTATGGAGAATATGCATACTGATGTCAAGGTGTCTTCAGTACCATGTTCTCTTTCATGCACTTTCAGAAAAGCCACATCAGTAAAGAAGGAGGAGAGCTCAAAAGCTAAGAAAAATAGAAGACCAATCAGCTTGGACTCAGGTAAGGAAATGATGTGCACTTATTGAGGGTATGCCATACTTTTTATGTGAAAGGCAATTGGGAGATTTTATCTTCACAGGAATCATGATAACATCTTTTTAAATTTTTTTTTAAAATTTTATAAGATTAACAACTTTATTAACAGGTTAGAAAGAGTGAAAATATGAATTTGGTATAATTGTTTAATTTCTTTGGTTTTATTTATCTTTAAAATGTGACCATCTTAAATTTCATGTGAATGTGAAAGAATTTTGGATATCGATTTTTTTCATGATGCATGAAAAGGCCTTATAATTATTTTTATGCAACTGAGTTCTACAAAAGGGTTTAGGGGACTCTCCTTATTGATGGAGTGTGAGGGCTGGATAGGGAAAATACTTTGTGTGAGGTGAGCTTGAGGTAAGATGAGGTCAGTTTTTTTACATCACCTGACCTTTAACCTTGCCTATGTATTTACTTGCCGAAGAAAACAAAGCCATCCAGGGTTCAGCACACTTACCATTAGACCACTCTGCCTTGAATAGGTTTGAATATTACAGCACTTGAGTTATATTTTGATGTGGTTTCTACAGATGAGGAAGAAGCTGTGCCAAGAAAATTAAAAAAGTCTGCCAAACAGACAGAAAATGTAGCATCTAAAGGGGTCCAGCAAGTTGAAGAGAGGTATCATCCATCATTCTCTTTCATTATATTTCACATTTCAGCACCAAACCATGTTGTTCATTTGGAACATAAGATATTGCTCTGGAAAATCATCTGGCTTCTTCTAAAAATATCCAGCTAAATGTTGTTTGTCTGTTTGTTTGTTTTTTTTTTCCTTTCTTCCTTCCATCAGGCATTGAGAATGTTAGATCTGTCATAGGACACTGCTCTTATGCTGATACATTTAACCCTTTGACCCCTAAGAGTGACCAGCATCTAATTTCTCCTTACAATATCATCCCTGAATCAAACATTAAGGTTATGAGAGTAAAGGAAATGATCACCAACTAAGCTTTTGTTTGTTAAACAAATTCTCCTTGTCAGCACCTTAGCAAATGTATAGAGAACAGTATGGAGAATATGCATACTGAGTTTTAGGTGTTAAGGGTTAAAAATGAAAAACAAACAAACAAGCAAACAACAGCAAAATGATAAAGACAGTGTTACACAGCCATTAAGGGTGCATTTAACACAGCATTGTTTTGTTACTGAAATATTTAACACATAAATTGTTATTCTTGCTTCAGTCCAGTCAAACCTAAAGAGAAAAAAGCAACTTCTGCACTTGATTTCTTTGGTTCTACTCCAGTTGAAAGGGAATCCAGGAAAACATTTGCCAACAAGAGAAAACAGGTGAATAACTAACTACACTTGTTTCACAAACAATTTTTTTTAAAGAAAAAATCAGGCATCCTGTGTATTTTAAACAGTACTTCACGCATTGTGCATTATTTGAACAGGGAAAACTTTAAACCTCACCATACCTTGCCTTTCTATAAAAATTCATGCATCACATGTTAATTTTGGGCTCAATCACACATCCCTTGTAAACCCTCTGCCAATCTCTTATTCAGTAGTTATATCAGGATGTACCACAGTTAACACATTCCATGCCACAAAATTAATGGGTATAATGGCCAGTGTTTGAGTCACGCATTATGTAATCATATGCAAGAAACTTTGTGGATGGGGAGAAGAAATGTTGAAGAATAGTTTTGGCAAAAACAACACCATGGGGACCCCCCCTTAAAGGGATAAGTCCTTTTACTCCTAAGATCTTAAAATCAACTCTCTTTACTGCCCTCACACAAATGTTATGACAATATCTTTGAGAATATGGTGTTCAATCAATCGATATCCTCTTGTTTGTGATTTCTTTCTTCTCATTTCATTGCTGCTTGACAGTGAATTGGTATTGTTAAGAGACATTAGAAAATTGATCACTTTTGAGAGTGCAAATTTTAAGCTGATCCAGAGCTCAACCCACCTAATGATCATCCCTAAATTCCTTTTAAAACCATCAATAGTAATTTTTTGTTTTCATTTCCAACAGAGATCTGACGAGTCTGAAGAAAATGAAGACTCCAAAGTGAATAGAAAAGAAGAGTATAAAAATGGGAGAGAAAAAGAAGGAAGAGAAAATAGGAATGTCAACCGTCACACAACAGAGCAACCATCAAAGAAAAGAAAGGAAGACTTCTCAGAATCAAAGTCTGAGGTTAAAAAGCCTTCCCCTGAGAAGAAAAAGGTTTGTAAGCCTTTTGATTACCATACTTTACTGTTGCAAAATTAATCATTACTATTTATGCATAAACTTGCCATCCTGAAACTAGAATGGATTGGATTTGATATGATTTCATGTGTATGGTAACTGTTATTAAGTACTTGAATAAGGTACTTGTAGATGAAACAGTAACATTTTATGAGTAAATTTGGCTCTGTATGAGATCCAAAAGCTTACTCAAACTTGTTAACTGGTGGTACATGTGCATGTTGTATATACATTAACCTGTCCTACTATGACAGTAGATGGTTTTTACTCAGATGCACATAACTAACAATACTTGCAACAAAACATTACTTACAATACTAACACTACTCAAAATACTACCATTACTGTACCTGGAATTTATACTAAAAACAGTAACAATGGTGACAAAAACTTTCAGGTACATTCTTGTTGATTTTAACTTTGACAATCCAGGAGATGTTACCACCTTGTCTCCATTTTTCAAAGCAGCAGTGTCTTTCACAATCAACATTCAACTCTTGCCTTGTGAGGACAACTCTAAGCTGTTAGAATGTTTAATATACATGTAACTTTTGTTCACTTATCCATGGACTTTTCAGGAAATACCAAAGACAACTCCTGCCAGCAAACTGGCTGCCAAAGCTGCTACAGTTCCAGAAACTCCAGTTAGAGACTCAAAACCAAGTCCAAAGAAAACTGTTACTCCAAAAAAGGATAAAAAAGATGTCGATAAGGAAACTCCAATCAAAGGAACACCAAAGGTGTCAAAATCAGAGGAAGTGGCTGAAATTCCACCCTCACTGGAAAAGAAAAAGTCTGGCTACCGTAGTTTTATGGCAAGAGATGGTCCTAGGGCACTTGGTTCAAAGGAAATCCCTCAGGTTGGTTTCAAAGTCCAAGATCTGATTATTAATTCTCTCCTCTTGCTGCCAGACATTTTCCTGTAAATTAATAAAAAGAATTTGTTGTTAGATCATTATAACAACTACATGTACCTGATAAGTTTTAATGTTCTCATTACCTGTTTGTGAGATAATGTATTGGATATTCTTGGGAGAAGTTACATGTTAATTTCTTCTGGTAGTTAAATTATTGTTATCTCTCAAAGCTCTTAATGGTTTGCTTTCCATCCTTTCAAATTTTAATTAGAGATGCTAGACAAAAAATATCTACTGAGTCTTAATTTTTTGGCATGTATAACTTTTCAGTTTGGACAGTATTAAGAAGCCTTCAGGGGAAGAATTGATTATTTGTCTACACATCTTGAATCTTGCATGCACTTGATAATTTAATTTTTAGGGAGCAGAAAACTGTTTGGATGGATTGACATTTGTTATTACGGGAATCTTGGAAAGTATTGAGAGAGAGGAGGCAGCTGATTTGATTCAAAGATATGGTGGAAAAGTTACCCAATCAGTGAGCAAGAAAACAAGTTATGTCGTGGTGGGACGGGATCCTGGAGAGAGCAAACTTTCTAAGGTACAGCTCAAAAGTGGAAAAAAAAGAAAAGAACCATGAACACAAACATAATTATAAGCTGCACCTTTCTCCCTAGATTTTTATAACAAATCCAGGTGCAGCTTACTGCAAAAACACCTGGGAAACTTGCCACAAATTTGCATGAATTGACACACTTAATTGATGATTTGTAAGTCTGTATGGCAAACTCACAAGAATTGAAAAATTTACCAGCTGGAGGGTAGAAATTAATTAATTTCATTTTGATGTTGGCTTCTAAAGGAGGTTTTTTTTTTTTTTCAAAGTAGCATAAACTTGTATTTCTTGCTGTGGAGGTCACTATATGTTTCTTTGTTAAGAGAACTTTTAACTGGTTTAAGGTCGTATTTGCTTCCTCGAGTAGCTAAACATTACTTGACAAGAAACCCATGGTTTCTTTGTTGTTGTTGTTGTTTTTTTACTTTGGTGCTTATTTGTTAGGCTAAGCAATGTGGAACATCACAAATAGATGAAGATGGTCTGTTTGAGCTTGTCAGAACAAAACCAGGCAATGAGACCAGCTATGAACCACCAAGTGTGGAGAAGAAGACAAAGAAGAAGGAGAAAACTGAACCAGTGGAGTCTCTCAGCCAGGGAAAAGATCAGTTTGAGGGTGATTCATCGCAACTGAGTGAAAGGTCTGTGTCATCTCCAGCAACACAAACACCATCATCATCACCTGCACTGAAAGGTGGGTGTTGCAAACCTTTTCAACAATTAGCACAAGTGCATGACTTCACAGAAAATTTAATTCACACTTCTGTTATATCCCTTAAATTTCCTTACCAGTGAGCATCCTACATGTATTGTGGTGTGATCATACTTTGTGAATATAATCTCTCTTGTGTACATCCAGTTACGACTTGTATAAATACATGCACATGTATATAATATACATGTACCAATAAAATGTCATAGGAGCCATAGGCTTGTGTGCAACTGATAACATAATTTGTTCATCCTCATTTTCCTTCTTCTTCTGTCTACTTAATTTACAGTATCACTCAGATTGTCTGTCTGTCTGCTATTTCATGTATGTTCATTCTTCCAGTTACTGTCTCTCTCTATCTGTCACTTACTCTGCTTGTTCTCCTCTGTCCAGTCACCCACATGTCAGTTTTACCACTACCCTTCATTCCACCTGTAGACTTGTTTGTGTTACTTAACTTGAGTTACAAGAAAGGAAAGTTTTTTGTTTTGTTTGTTTGTTTGTTTGATTTTTAAATCTACATAGGATTTTGAAAGTAAAGGTAATTTTGTTTTTGTGCAGGAGAACCATGTCTGTTATGGGTAGACAAATATCGGCCTCGTGCAGTGAAGCAGATTATTGGTCAGCAGGGTGACAAGAGCAACATGAGAAAGCTGATGAACTGGCTGAGAGACTGGGAAAAGAATAGAAAGAAACCAGCCTCTAAATGTGAGTACATGTGTATTTGATTGTCAAGATGCTTTTCCCTCAAATACATGTACATGTAACTTCTCTTCAGGCAAGAATGCAAACGGTTCAGGCAAACTGTTGGAGAAAGCAGATGAAAAAGTTTGGGTTGTAACCAGATAGGGGGACCCTATTGTAAGGATTTCTCCTTACAATATCAATACAATATCAATACAATATCAATACAATATCAATACAATATCAATACAATATCAATACAATATCAATACAATATCAATACAATATCAATACAATATCAATACAATATCAATACAATATCAATACAATATCAATACAATATCAATCAGACAGGTGATGAGAATGAAGAAAAAAATTAATATCAATTAAGGGATTATTAATTGATCCAATACCAAATTATCCAAATCATAAGAATTTTATGGCAGACAGTGAGAAGTACAAGTGAGCTGTTATGAAATTGGTTGTTGTTCATTGTGGTAGCTGGATGATATTATAAGTTTGTTCTGTTGTCTCACGACAAAGTCACTTGATGTGGAACGCAACGTTTCGACTGCTTACTGTAAGTCTTCTTCAGGCGATGGGGTCGACTGGTTGTGGCACGCCATCATGTATCATCATGATGGTTTGTTGTAATTGGTGCATTGCCCAATCGAAATGCACCAATTACAACAAACCATCATGATGATACATAATGCCGTGCTACTAGTGAGCTGTTTGGAGTAAAAGGATTCAGTGCATGAACCTACGTAAGACTTTAAATTGAGTTGTGATGCAAATTTTGTCTAGCCTGGACTGAATACCTTTTACACTGAATCCAGATTGTTTCTTAATTCCCACATTCAGCGGTACATTTTTAAACAGGGGTAACTTATGAACTTTGATGAGTTTATTTCACTTGACAGTCACTTTCACATGTGGTTATGTAGTTATGTTAGTAATGGAATCACAATTGTAAGCATTTTATTTTGTACAGCTTCCTTTTTCAACAAAGATCAAGATGGGTCTTCCTGTAAGGCAGCTCTTCTGTCCGGTTCCCCAGGAGTTGGAAAAACAACAACAGCTACACTGGTTTGTGAAGAGCTTGGTTTTACGTACATTGAAATGAATGCCAGTGACACACGGAGCAAAAAGACCTTGGAAGAACACATTTCTCATTCACTGAGCAATAAAACCATGGATGGCTTTCTTACAGGTTGTCAAATTTCTGTAAGATTTGGAGTGACTTTGATGTTATTGAAGACGCTTCATTCATTCCCTTGTCTTACTAAACTGACTTTCCACTGTAGGGTAATTTTGTATTTTTAACTGACTTGGTGACGTAAATTGGCCACCGAAAAGAGTTTTAAAGCTGACGTTTCGTGCGCCAGCCCTTCGTCAGTGCGAATATATGAAGGACTCTGACGAAGGACTAACGCTCCAAACGTCAGCTTCCAAACTCTTTACGGTGGACAATTTACGTTGTTAACGCAGCTGATGGTACTAAATTACCCTGTTATACTCTCCCACCGATGCAGCACCACAGTTTCTTTAGAAACTTACCCACTTTTTTCATTTGACTTTCCACTGTATCATCCTCTCAATATCACTTTTTATCCTACACTGAACACAGCAGATTGATGCTTGATAGCAAACTTATTACCTCTAACAATGTTATTGTTCATATTCCTATTTTGCGGCAAAGGCGAAAGGTGTAGACTTAGCGGACTGTCAGAGCAAATATTTCCTCAGAGGTCCAAAAGAAAGTTTATTTTGATATCCCTGTCCTAGATATTCATCGTGAATCAAACTGAATTTATGATTCGTCGCGTTTATATACTGTTTATTGCGCCGCTGACAATATACCTTGGGCGCAGTTTCCTACGCTATATGCGTAGTTTGAGCGTTACTAACGGTGTTATTTTTTTGCCGTTTTTTACCGATTTAGTTTTAGCGAGGGATTTTAGGATAGACCCTCATTTGTTATTCGTTTTTATTATCCTGTTGCAAATTGTTGCGGTAACTGAAAACGCGTAAACCTATCTATGCATTTCTGATATGCTCGTTGTACCCTTTATTTAGAACTCCAAAGATCTGAGGCTAATTTTCTAAACTCATCAATATAGTGTATCCAAACGTTTCTGCTCAATTGCACTCTGCACTTGTGTACAATACCACTCAATCTCGACTCGAAACTCGATCCTCAATCCTCGAAACTATCGAGGATCGAGGCCCGCTTATGGAGTGTCGAATGTCGAGCATCGAAACGATTGAAGAACTTTTCGAGGATCATGATCCACAGTTTCAAGAAAATGATTTTATTGTTGCACGTAAAACAATAATGAAGGACAAAGCGCTTGACTCGCGGTTTCTCTTTTTGTTGTTGTGGCAGGTCAAAAAGCGGACCCCAGTAAACATGTTCTCTTAATGGATGAAGTTGATGGAATGGCGGGAAACGAGGACAGAGGAGGAATGCAGGTCAGAATAAAATATGATTACTGCCTCTTTTGTTTGTTTGTTTTATGTGTTTGTTTATTATGCTTTTTTGTTTTGTTTTGTTTTAGAGGGAATCCTGTTGTTTTTGTTTTCAAGTTATTTCGTATTGCTCTTTCGTGCTTTTATTCAGCGTTTAACTAGTATCTGACAGTATGTACTCTGTGATGATGTAGTATCTGTGCGCGATGATATAAGAGTTTAGGAGCTCGCTGGGCCTTCTGGGAGAGATCCAAAGGAAAAAAACGTGTTGTGTTCTTGTAGCCATCTTGATGATGACCTTTGGTGAATCTACGGAATCTTGTGCAATCCTTGAGAGGTTTTGACCCCTTGGAATGTTGTAACCTTTAGGAATCGAGCCTGACAATCCTTGAAATAAAATACAGTTAAAATTCGTCTACAGTATCAGTCGAAATGAAACAACTTCCTTCTTATTCAGTACTAAGATTAGTACATAATGATTATAACGTATTTTGATCATTTTGGAAAGTCATGAATTCAAGTCACTGTTTCAAAGTAAACTTTGACAAAAAGTTGTATCTCTTATCCGTATTTTTTTTTTCAACAGGAACTCATATCACTGATAAAGAGTTCAAAGATACCCGTCATCTGCATGTGTAATGACAGGAACAGTCCCAAAATGCGCAGCTTGGCAAATCACTGTTTTGATTTGAGATTTCAGAGACCTCGGGTTGAACAGATCAAGGTAACGCAATGGGTGTTTGTCTAGTCGATTTGATGATGAGATGCATATACATGTAATTTACTCTGAAAGAGATTTGAACACAGGAGTACAGTATGGGATGTATTACAAATGTGTGTTCAAGACCTTAACCCTAGCTTGCAGAACAGGCGTCAATTTTTTTTGCGTGTTTCAGTCGAACAGAGGCAAGCGTGAGGCGAGCGCGAAGTGCGAGTCACGCGCGCGAGGAGAGGAGCGCAAAAAGATCAACGTGTACATACCCTCGCGCCTGATTTGCGCTTTGTGCTTGCCTAGCACTTGTCTCTGGTCGCCCGTGAAACGCAACAAATTACACCGGTTCTGCACGTCACCAAAAGTCAAACCAGCGTTAAAGACTATAACAAATCACAAGGAGCCTTGGTATACGTTCGATTTCCGCCGCTTTTTCGTGTCAGGTCTTCGCTCCTCCCTAAAAAGAGACAGCGTAGGGGAGGAGTGCGGGCTCATATTCCCGAACAGCGGCTGGTAATCGAGCCAACCCTTGGGAACTCAAAGTAAAGAAGGTTGGTCGTTTTCAATTTCAGGGAGCCATGATGAGCATAGCATTTAAAGAAGGACTCAAGATACCACCCCAGGCCATGGAGCAGATTATTTTAGGGGCAAACCGGGATGTCCGACAGGTTAAGGAACAAAATTAGCATTCACTTAATATCATTCTTGCATTCAACTACCGCGCGCAATTAGCGAGCAATCCCCTGGGGGGGGGGGGGGAGAAGTATTTTTGATATTTGGGGCTAACAAATTGTGGGGCGATCATTGTGCGGGAACTTGTGTCTGGTTTTTGCCCAGATTGAATGACTTTTGTGACTTAACAGTATGCATTTCTCCGATTGAAAACCTCTCTTTTTAAAAGAGAACTTCATAAAGAGTCTCAGTAATGATTTATCATATACCGCATGCAAAGTTAGCCGGAACAAAGATCAATGTAACAACCATTGTAAAACTTTTGATGTGGAAGTGGGCGAGAAAAAAGGGCATGAGGGAGGTGTGAGCCTTTTGAAAACTTTAAGTTTTTTTAGTCGAAGGTGGGGGAGGGGGGGAAGGGGACATAAAAGAGAGGTCTCTCTAATGGGGAGCAAGGGGTTCTGGAGCGTTTACAAATAAAGAACATTGAATTCCCACCGATGAGATTAGATATCGGCGTCAGTTTTTATTTTTATTTTATTATTTTTTTTGCTTTTTCTTTTTTGCGACGTTATTGTTTTGTTGTTGTTGTTGTTGTTGTTGTTGGTATTGTTTTGCCTCTTGTGATTTTTTGTTGTTGTTTTTGGTGGTATGTTCATGTGGTTGCGTTGTTGTTGCGGTTTTATTTTGTTTTTCTTTCTTTTGGTTTTGTTTTGTTTAGTTTGTATGTTTGTATTTTTCTGCGGAGCTTTTTGAAACTAAGCTTTTGTCAAATTAACGGTAACTGTGAAATCTTTATGGGCGAAGATCAGAAGAGGAAAGTTGACGGAAAGGGAAATTTTAGGATGAAGAAGATTCACAAGGATAAAAAAGGGCAATTATTGTCACTTTATTGGGCATTGTGGCCCATTTTGCGGGCTTAAATGTTCGCACGCTCGTCTGATTGTTCAGACTTTTGGTTTGTTCTTTTGTTTTTTTGTTATTTTTTCAGTTCTTTTTAATTTCTCAGCGCCTTCAAAGTAATAATGATAATGATAGAGGTATAAATATTTTTGGAGCCTTTCTCTGCCGTGAGCTAGTTTTAACCCTCGACTCAGAGTGGGGTCCAAAAATACAGTTATGTCCGCAAACATAAACTCTATTGTTATATTTTCGCAGGTTCTTCACAACTTGTCGATGTGGACAGCTAAGGAAAAGTCGCTTAATTACGACCAGGCAAAGGAAGAGGCAGCCAAGGCACAAAAAGACATCAAAATGGTAATAAGTTTATCATCGACTGCTGATAAATTAGTTATTTTATCTGTTTGATATAATATTCCGTCACGAAACCTACGATCTGTTCCAAAAAGGTGCTCCATAGTTTGGTCAGTTATTTGTGCCCATTCCAGTCGTCAGGAAATAAAAAAAGTGCTATATGTTTAATGTTCCATTACCTACTAACCCGCTGACACGTCACCCATCTTCTATGGAGTGACCAACATGGCTGGGTCCGTCCTCGGAGATTCACGATTAACGATTTACGATCCACGATTCACAATCCACGATTCACAACTCACGACTCATGACTCACGACTCACGACTCACGACTCACGACTCACGACTCACGACTCACGACTCACGACTCACGACTCACGACTCACGACTCACGACTCACGACTCACGACTCACGACTCACGACTCACGACTCACGATTCAGAAAAAATGAGGCAAGTTTAAACAGAAGAAAACGATGGAGCAAGAAGTGTATTTTAGGATAGTATTCATTTTTTTTTGACCTTAGACGGTAAAAAATAATTTGTAAAAAAGCTTCAACTTCTTACATAACCCTCAAAGACAGTTCGCCAATTTGGCAGATTCATACGTAGTCGCCGTAATTTTTCACTAATCATCATGGTGACCCGAACGGTCGCAGTTTACAGCGCTGTAGAGTGGTTGTGATTCATACATAACAGTGCACGGTTCTGAGTAACTGATAGAAGGCCTTTTTATCGTCAGGGAGCTTTTGATGCTGTGAGGAGACTTCTCTCTGGAGCTGAGAGTTCGAAGATGAATTTGATCGAAAAATCCGACATGTTCTTTTGTGATTACTCCATGATGCCTCTTTTTATGCAAGAAAATTACCTCATGGTTGACCCAAGTCAGAGCCGGTGAGTTGAGAACTCAGTACTTTCCGAAAGTAATACTGGATATCCTGCTTTTTCTTCTCTTCACTTCACTTCGCTTCGTGATTGGTCCAGAAAACTCACACTATCCCCTCAACCAATCAGATTTAAAACTTAAACTTATCGCGACTTGGTCGCCCGCGTTTTCCCGCGCTTTGAGCGGGATAGTAGCGAAGGATTGAGAAAACGAGGAGGGTTTGGATGGGGTGTGGTCGGGACCCGGACCCGAACCCGACCCAAGCCTCACTCGTTTTTTCTCTAATCGCGCCGTTTTCTATTTCGCTCCGTTGTGCTAACTGAGCCTGGAGCAAGCTTGTTGTTCAGCTACACTGCGCTTAAACTGTTTAGATTAACTATTAGATTCATGTGGGATAGAGACACATGACCGTTTAAAATTACTTACGGAAGTGGATTAATTTGTCCGCTCGATGTTTCTGTTTTGTTTTGGTTTTGTTTTTGTTGTTTGTTTTGTTTTTGTGTACTTTTTGTTGTTTATTTTTTGTTTTTCCCTCTTTGTTTTTGTTTTTGTTTTTTATTGACTTGTTACCATGCGTGATTACCTCATATATCTAGTGGTGATATCAAGAAGACACTGTCACTCGTTAGTCAAACCGCCGACTCCATTTGTGACGGAGATCTGGTGGAAAAACTTATCAGGCAAGGAGGCAACTGGTCCATGTTACCCATGCAGGTACGACAATTACCGTGCAATGTGGAGCATATCTAACTTTGCCTTCGGGATATGGGTTTTATTACAATACCGCTGTTGTACATTTTACTAACTGTTGCGCACAGTAACAACCACTGGGAGCTAATCTGCATAGCAGGTGCAGGAGAAAGGCCAGTGATAGCGGAGCACGCAGAGCGTAGCCCCATAATTATACAAAATGGTAGTAGTATCCCGTCAAGCCGAAAAAATTTGGACTTGTGACCGTACGGGCGTCCGTACATGGTGCTACTTTTAACATGCGTGGTCAACTGTACCGTGGGCACGCCAACGCCACGGCTTTGTCCAGTAGTCCAGTAGTCAGTGCACTGGGCTCCGCGGCGGACGACCCGTGTTCTAGTCCTGGCCGGGGCAAGGCGTTGTGCCCTTGAGACGTGCGGGAAAAAAATGCGAGCTCCGCCTTTAGGCTTGGCTAAATCTATATATTACGAAAACGATCCCAGACGTCGGGCAAAGATTTGAAACATAGCGAAGATTATGAATTCCTTGGTTTATGTTGCCCGGTCAACCCTTTACATCCTAACATAAGGATTCATATTCTCCATACATTTCCTGAGATGCTGATGAGGAGAATTTGTGTAGCAATCAAAAGCTTTTTCGGTTGGGGTTATAATTTTCGTTATTCTCATGACCGTAATATTTGATTCAGGGCTGATATTGATAGGAGAAATTATATATTAAGCTCAGTTATTCACGCATTCTAATTGGTTCTCACTTATGATTTATTAGAGAACAGACGTATAGATGACGTCATCATTAAAACTTTTTTCCCGTAAATTTTAATTTTTATTACATGAAACAAATAGATTCTAAGTTACCGTGCGTCTGTTCAGTAATAGCTCACAGAGGACGTAAAAATGTGGAAAGAACATCAGTGACACACTCAGCTGCGCCTCGTGTGCCACTTTTTTGTTCTTACCACATTTTGACGTCATCTGTGATCTATTACAGAACAGACGCACGGTAACTTGGAATCTATTGGTTAAATAGATGCTAGTTACCCTTTGTGGTTAAAGGGTTGCAGCAGAGGAGAATAACTCAACATTCGCCGTCATACTTAGTCTTACTTAATAATTCTTTAAAGTGTTAAAATTAGCATCCAAGTGAAAGTCTCGTTTGACCTCAGTGTTGATTTTGCGTTGTTAAATTCTTTTTAGGCCATGTTTTCGTGTGTGATCCCATCGACCTTGATAAGCGGGGGAATGGGTCAGAGGATTGAGTTTCCTCAGTGGTTGGGTAAAAATTCCAAATATGGCAGGATGGACCGCATGCTACAAGAACTGAAGGGTCACATGAGATTAAGGTAAGGATGTTTTTGAATTGTGCTTGGGCCAAGGAAGCGTATGTCGATCGAGTTATCACAACAAACAGTCAGAATGAGAAGAAAATAAGAATCGAGGCAGCCAATTAGATTAGAAAGTGAGACCCGGCAAAATTACTGAAGTACGGGAAAACGCAAACAGCTAATATCCCTTCACACAAGCAAAATGTGTCGAAAAAACAGATTTGACTGAATGAGAATCGGCAACAGAAAACTGAAAAACTAAATTGTTCCTAGCGTTTAAGTGATCCTCAACTGCTATTCTCATTATGTTAAATTTGAGGGCGACAAATACTAGTTTAAGTATCTTCGATAAAGGAGACATGTTTGAATTGTTTTTCTTTTTTCTCTGTTTGTTTGTTTTGTTTTGTTTTATTTTAGCTTTAAAACGTGCTTTCGCGTCGGTGTGAACGGCAATTAAGATACGGCCTGATTGTATTGGGTGGAAATGATGTGGGTGGTTGGTGTTATGTTTGTTTGCTTGCTTTTTGACCAAAATACATTCAGCATCATGGCAAAGCTGTAATTCTGCATTACTTTAGTCATTCCACGAAATATTTTCATAGACGTTAATTTTCAATTTGACAGTTTTTGTGTCATGAACTTTTGATATAATGAATTTTAAATAAAAATGGTTAGTCTTAAATTTGTCTCGCTATTATCATCAGTGGTATCGTTATCATTATCATTATTATTATTGTCATTATTATATTTATGTTTAGATAGCACTATAGTAATATTATTAATTTCATGTGCATTAATATTTTGTAGCACATCTGGGAGCAAGTTGTCTATGAACATGGATTACATTCCTCATCTCAGGAAAGTCCTTACCAGGCCCCTTATGACTCAGGTATGTTCGACATAAGTTTGCATCTGGAGTGAGCTTGCTCGATCGATCCGGCAAATTATCGATGATTTTTTTAACACGTTATGTTTTAGTACTGTTATGTCATCACTGTTTATTAATATGAAGAGAACATACCAATTTGCATGTTGATTTGTAGACTCAAAAGGCTTATCTACTTGATCTGTATCTTTTAATTTTCTGCCAAAAGTTTTAGTCAGGTGATTATCAAGTCATTTTTGTGGAATTTGCCTCTTTTTTTCTCTTTATTTTTATTTTTTTCGCTTTTTATCATTGGCCATTGGCTGCTAACATGGGCTTCCTTGCTAAATTCAAATCCCGTTTCTACGCTTAGGAATCAGACCAGATTAACCCTGGCGTGTCCAGGGTCATGCAAGTAATGGAGAACTATGACTTAACCAAAGAAGATTGGGATTCTATCATTGAAGTTGGTCAATTTGAAGGACAAAGGGATCCCGTTGCGTCAATTCCATCAAAGGTATGGTGTACATTCTAGTTGTCCACAAGAGCATAGAAGATTTTGAGAAAGAAGGTGCAGGCTTGTTTTATTTTGGTTCGCGAACAAAACACTTGGGTCTAGATTTCAATTCTGGAGTCGTCCGTGATGTATTACATGCAAAAACGAGTAATTTCTTGCTTCCTTATTCGGCTTCCTGTGGAGAATCCCCTGTGTAAAACAGCTTCAGCTTCTTCTTTAGCTAGAGAAAATCATTTTGAATCGCTTTGATCCCTTTCATGAAATTTCTCTACAGGTGAAAGCTGCATTCACGCGCACCTACAACAAAGAAAGTTTCAAGACACCTTACGCCATCCGCGCAGCGCCAAAGAAGGGACGGAGAGGCGGCGCAGAGGACGAACAAATGATGGAGGAGGCGGGCGAGGGAGATGCGTCAGCGGTAGAACCACAGAATGACGACAATGATGAGCTGGAGAATAACCCCATGATAAAGGCGTCAAAGAAACCAGCCAAAGCAGCAGCAAGCGGTAGGAGTAAAGGCGGAAAATCAAAGGAGTCTGTTAAGAAAGAAGCGCCAACATCCAAGGGAAAAGGACGAGGGAAGAATAGGAAGTGATCAGTTTGTGCAGGGAAGCGCACCTTCATCGGGGAAATAATCGATGGGACTAGTATATCATAGAAATATAATAACATCTATGAGTGGATGAAAAATATGGAAAAGTTGAAAGAAAACATGACAAAGCCATGAGATATCCAATACGTTGTTGTACTCATACAAAAATAACATGGCTGAATTTTATAATCGTGTAAGAAACTTTCACTTGTGAAGGTGTTGTGACATATACTATCGCCAATCCTATAATTTTTTTTTTTTAATAAAACTGTGACCCGTACACAACGTTGTCTTGTTGGTCTAACATAATATTTAACCTTTGGACTCTTTATGGTGACTAGCATCTAATTTCTCCCTACAAATTTACCCCTGGCTCAAATACTAAGGTCATAAGAATAAAGGAAATGATCACCAACCGAAGAGCCTCTTGATAGTTAAATAAGTTCTCCTTTTCAACTCCTTAAGAATTGTGCAGAGAACAGTAAGGAGAATATACATACTGATGTCAAGGTGTGGAGGGTTGACAAGAGATTTACAGACCCGAAGAAAATGCAAGCTCACAGGATGGAAAACTTTAGTGCTACGCCTCTGACGGCCCATGTGTTTTATTTTTGTTAAACTCCCAACGTTCAAAAAACAGGGCATGTGATGAAATCTTAACACGTGATATTAATCCATGTTCTGTGACGAGAATCATGATTGACAATCAGGAGCAAAAGTTCAGACACTGCAGTGTTTCTGTATCAGTCCAACCGCTTGGTCTTCATAACTCGTAAGGATCAGCTGAAATTTAAATAAGAAAATAAATATAAACGAGAGCGATAACATTTACGTTTGTTCTCTTTTGTCTTAGTTTTGTTTTGTTTTTTTTCTGTTTAGCTCTGATGGTTGGTTTATTTGTTTCCGGTATTCGTTCTTTACTTTTTCCTCAGTTCCTTATGTTTTGTTTACATGCTGAGAAGGTTAGAGCGAAGCGAAGTAAGAGTCCTTGCCACTTTTTTTTTTTTGAGGATCTCCATGAATTGATGGCTTTGATGGCTAACGGTTAAAATTTTGGCCATTTACAGCTAACGGTAATTAGCCATTGCTTTTAAAAGGAAAAGTTTTACGGTGAACATTTTTTACGACTAACGGTAAAAGTTTGTCAATTTTCACGCCTAACGGCTAATTTTTTTGCCGTTTTACGGCTGACGTTTAACCCCATTGAGGAGACCTTTTCTTTTTTTTCTCTTAAACAATTTCCTGTCTAAGTCGCTGACGTCCAAATAAGGTCGTGGTGTAAAGATGGTGGAATGTGCAAGGCATTGCTCAATCCATCTTGCAGTTATACACCGCTGTGATGTTAAAAATCCACTGCTTTCTAACGACTTTGAGGTGAATATTTATGAGTCCATGTTCAAATACTGAAAGTCGTCCTTTTTCTTCTTTTTCTTCTTCGTCTTCACGAAGTTCTCTCTCGCTTGGAGAGGAGTATTACTTGCACATTGCCTCCAAGCTATCATATCAGCGGAAAACACGATAACTACTAAGCAAGTCACTTAGTCGAACAGAAATTTTCGTTAAGTTATGTATTTTTACCATTTCTAAGTGAACATCTGTACACCTCCACTCTGAGACAGGGTTTACCGTACCACTGGACTGGATTGATTCGTAAAAATCGAGCTGTCACAGAGGGTTCTATTGTATTAGGCTTGACTAGTAATGGATGAGAACCCCCTCTGAACACCTGAAATGAGGTCAAATGCAAGATTAGACAGGAGCGTACGATCTAGCTTAAAATTGGGTATTTTTGTCTCGGCGTAATAAAATCCAGAGCATAAAGCGTGCATACAGCAAACATAAAGCGCATTTTTTTTTTTTGCACGTCTCAAGGGCACAACGCCTTGCCCCATCCAGGACTAGAACCCGGGTCGTCCGACTCGGAGCCCAGTGCACTGACAACTGGACTACTGAAAAAGCCGTGGCGTTGGCGTGCCCGCGGTACAGTTGACCACGCATGTTAAAAGTAGCACCTTGTACGGTCGCACGGTCGTACATCCAAATTTTTCGGGATTGATGGGTTACTACTATTTTGTATAATTATGGGGCTCCGCGAGCTCCGCTATTAAACCTGCGAACATCAAAATAGTGGCGCGGCTCAGCTCTGATTTGTAGTAAGCGAGAACAATCATGGTTGCGTTTTCTCGCCTTTTATATCAGTCTTTCTGGTTTATATAATTACTTGGAGTTTTAGTCGCGCAATGATGATATCAACCTTGACCCTGATTGGCTGTTGTGATTACTTTGGTTTCGGTTTTTTGAAACTCAACCGAAAACTTTTCTATTCGAGTGTCAAAAATAATCCAGCATTCTAACAGTTTCACCTCAATTTCATACTGTAATTAGTTAATTAAACATGAATAATCTTTTCTACACCAAGCCATGCTACGTCAAAATCCTGAATCGTGACTCGGCACAGAAAGACGGCTATCTGTTTATCCGTATCTTCTTTAAGTTCTCAGATCAATGGCTGGTTGCAACTTTTACCTTAACATTGATAACCCGTTGTCTTTACTTTTGATTTGGTTTTACGATATTCAATCTAAGAATGCTCTATTCCCACAAAGGTCTTTGAAACGAGGTGTTTAATACACAGGTAGGGATCGCAGAATCGTTCAGATCACATCATTCCAACTACCTTAGTTCCTAGTCCATTCTCGGTGTAGTTAAACCACGTGATACCATCCAGGCTGAAACTCAGAGTAAACGTGCGCACGAACCAATACTTAGCCTCATGACCCTGAGTGGCCAAGCCTCTTATTTCGTCCACGTAACCTAAGTCTATTTGAAAATATGGGTCGTCGTCATCGCTGAAAGATGAGGAAGTATGCATGTTGTTGATACTCACCAATCGAGAAACAGTGTGAAAAGGGAGAATAAAAGCCTGCGGTTAACACGAAGAGATACCTACATGCAAAATTTCCCCCTTCAAGAAAGCAGCCAGAAAATAGAGGAATTTAAACAGCCTATTAAAATATTGGATCAATATCAGTATCTGGGCAACTGCCCACCTACCCCTCCCCTAACCCAACATTAACCCTAACTTGTTATCAATTGACTGTTGTTGAGTTAGGGGAGGGGTAGGTGGGCAATTGCCTAGATACTGATATTGATCCACATTTGTATGCGTTGTATGTATGGATTCACAGACGAAATTAAAATCTGCTTTGGTATCTTAGGGATAGTTGCAAGATCAACAAAAGCTAAATTTAAAACTGTACTTCGTTGAACGTTCAACTCGATATTTCATAAAAATAGTGTAAAAAAACGAGTTAGATATCGATAAGAACACGATATGAGAAATTATACATCTACAAACAACCAATTTATCATATTGTTTATCTTATGAAGACAACCGGTCTCAATCCGAAAAAATTTCGATTAAAGGCCTTGCATTGATAATGGTAAACGGTATGTCATTCATTCATCAACCTGAAAAAGTGTCACGAACGGCGACTGACGTGGAATGGTAGCTGATTGTCCATAACAAACACTCACACAAATTATAATAAATTTACGCGAGTGCCTTTACGGTTTTTCTCAGTGTTGGAGATCCTTGTAAAATATAGAAGTTTGTCAGTATTTAGTATTAGAATTTCTGAGAAATATCCCTGCCCTTCGAAAGAGAATGAACTTTAATCATACTCTTTTGGACACCAAGCACTTGTTCTGTTTCGAAGCCTTCCATATGATGCCGTATAACTGTCGCCCAGTACAGAGCTGCTGATGAGTCTAGAGTCGCTCAATAAACCGGTCTGTAAACCATAACTGCAGTCTAAAGGTTTAAGAAAAAGCTACGATATGAGTTTTTAACTGAATGCTTGTAACCAACGTACAACGCCGAATTTTCCACATCGCTCAAAGCGAGGAGGAGAAAAAGTTCTCAAAGGAAAGAAAGTTGGCAACTAGAGCAATCATTTGCCGCGACAAGGGACTAAAGCTCTAAAGGTCAGCTTTGGAAACACTTTCAGGTGGCCAATTCAGATTATCCACTCTGTAAACAAAACCAAATTACCTTGCTATCAGAGTGAGGACCGACAAATAACATTTTTTGATAGCGCTAATTTCCGCACTGCACCAAAAAAAAAAAAAAAAATTCCAGAATTGGTGTATAACAATTTCACTGGGAAAAGAACCGAAAATTTTTATAAGAGGACATTAAAAAGTTATACAATAAAGCAAACAAACAAAATGTTTTACCAGGATCTGGAAATGTGTAAACTCGTTTGAAGGCGTCAGATCCTTCGGCACATTTCCTGCCTAATGCCGCCACCTCTCCTTTCGCCGGTGCATTACCGCTGACAGACTGCAGGCACAATCCTCCAGGGCTGTACTTGATTGCTTTCCCATAAGCCATTCCACTGGTCTTTTGAAATCTATTCCGAAAACAAAGCTTAAATTATTATGATTCATCTCGGCTCTGCGAGAACTGCTGTTTACACTTGCCAGTTCTTTAAGGGAATCAACGGTAAGAGCATATTACTGGAGTGACGTCTATGCAGAGAATAAAGTGCCAAACAATAAAAAATCTTTCATCCTTTCTCTTTGGTTGGGTATTAAATCTTTTAAGCTGTTGCAGGATGAAGTATGAAAATTGCGAGAAGTAGTTACACGGGGGCGAAGTAACCTCACAGAGAACACAATCAAGAGATCTTGACCAAGTGCGGTAACAAATCTCACTGAACACGCTTCGGAGAAAAATAATTGACACTGTTGGTTTTTTACAGTTCACCTTAAAACGCTGCTTATATCGAGGAGTATGATCAAATCTGATAGGTTTTTCTTCCAAGCTAAAAATAATAACGCGTCAGTATCATTATCATTATTCGACCCCTATGACCGCTATGATTTGACTAACATCTAACTTCTCCGTACAATATCACCCCTGAATCACACTATAAGGTCGGGAGATTAAAGGAAATGGTCACTAATCAAAGAAGCTTTGATTTCTAATCAAATTCTCCTCGTCAGCATCTAAGGAAATGCATAGAGAACAGTATGGAGAATATGCATATTGATGATAGGGTGGAAAGGGTTAAGAAAAGAGTGCCAATAATCACCTGTGTATCTGACTATCGCAAGCACTAAACGACAACCCGACAGGGGTCCCCTGAGTTGGTGTGCTGTCATTTTTCAATGGTTTGACACACATCTCAGAGCACGCGTGCTGAAGGGAACCATCCTTGAGTAGAAGAAACCATGTCGAGCCACTTGTACAGTCTGTGTCGAATATTAGGATTTCTAATTCATTGACTGCACACGAGTGGGATCTGGGACTGATACACAATCCATTCGGGCTTCTAAGGGGACTGTGCTTTGGGACATCTGAGGAAACACAAGGTTAAAATAAACAATTTTTGGCTATGCACCATTAAACGACTTAACTATACATCATTCCAGCCAGGCAGCTGAAAGTCCATCCAACCCTCCCTCCTTCTCTACGACTATCCATTATTTTTTCTATTTGTCTGTCTATTAGTCCGTCTGTCTGTCTGTTCGTCTGCCTGTCTGCCTTTCTGTCTAGCTGCCTGTCTGCCTCTCTGTCCTTCTGTCTGTCTGCCTGCCTTTTTGTCTGTCTGTCTGTCTACCTTTCTGTCTGTCTGTCTGTCTACCTTTCTGTCTGTCTGTCTGTCTACCTTTCTGTCTGTCTGCCTGTCTGTATGTCTGGCTGTCTGTCTGCCTGGCTTTATGTTTGTCTGGCAGCCTGCCTGCCTGCCTGCCTGTCTGTTAGTCTGTAATTTTATCCTTCCGTCTACTAACAGTTTAGTCATGGGCTCAAGATTTCCATTACGTAATAGATGACGAGGGCGAGGCCCGAATCAACTATCATGCTTACTGAGAAATCAAGAGCCAATCATTCAATTGTCTTTGAAAAAATCTACTAGTCCTTCAAAACTTATCAACGAGACAGGCTCATGTAAACTGCATACTTTTAGGCTCCTCACCCTATTCACAGCCTATCACAGAATGGATGGCGAATACCCGAGCCAATCAGATTGCGTCTTTTGTGATACAACGGTCGTAACTTTATACAAATAATGATTCAGTGAAAATCTCGTACCACTTTAATAACGGACAGTGGAAGTTGCAAAGCTGAGCATCGAGCTAAATGAATACTTATCAGGTTGTTATTGTTGTTGTTGCTTTTTTCAATAACGTGATTATTTTCGAATTTTTTTAGCCCTGTAGTAAAGTTATAGAACGAGCGCGATCGATATATCATCAGCTAAGAGCAGGTCTAATTTAGGCAGAAAAATTCCAATAAGACAATGAACAACAGACCTTACCATCACACGGAGGCCATGGCCTGCACACGAGAGTTTCACGCGATGGCCCCAGCTCTGAGCAGTCTTTCCCACCATTTGCAGGCCGTGGGTTGTTGCAGTACCTCGCTCTGACTTTGTAACCGGTTGAACAACTTTTGCTACAAGCGCCCCATGCTGACCAAGTGCCGTAACCACCGTTCACTTAAATAACGATATAATATAAGAAAATAAAGAACTTTTATAACTCATAATTCTTTTACTTCAGTACGGTATATGGGTACCACTAATCATTTCTTCCAGGCGATAACACTTATACATGGGTGCAGTTTAAAAAAGTTCTTTTAGAAGAGAGTAAGACAACACTTGACTGATAAATAATAACTTAGCTTCCTTTACCTGGTAGCGGTGTCTCAATTGGGCAAATTTCATCTGGTTCCTTGTAATCTTAAGAGATATCAGATAAAAATTTAGTTCTGCATTGACGAAAACGCACCAACACATGTTTACTAATAAATCACCTATCTTATTATCTAGAGAAACGAATTTCCGCAATCACATCCACAGGACAACCAACCAGCTGAACATATATGAAGACCTTTTCCTCTAACGAAACAAAGATCATAATCACGAGTTTCCAGTTCCTTATTCACGTGTTTCCGGTTTCTCAGTGTAACGCAACAACAACAAGATGATTGTCTTCAGTTTCCGATATTCATAAACGAAAGAAATAACCTGTGTTCCTATTTGATATACAATAATCCTAATATGATATTAATATCAATACTTAAACAGAGTTTCTGTTTCCTTATTCTCGTGTTTCCGGTCACCTAGTGTAACGCAACAACAAGAAAATGATTGTCTACAGTTTCCGCATGCATAAACGTAAGAAATAACCTGTGTTCTCATCTGGTATACAACAATCCTAGTATAATATTGATATTAATTAATACTTAAACACTAAACCTGCCTTGTCTTAGCTCCTTCAGCCAGTACCACTTTCTTCTGGGAAAGGCCATTTTGCCATAAATCCAGGGAGAAGAAAGAAAAGGCCACTTTTGTTGTGCCACAAAAGTCCCCCAGGGTATATGAACAACAAACGAGTCACTTGTAGTAAGCAACGCCAATTTATTTCGCTTGGGCAGCCAAGGCATTCGGTTACTTATTGCAAACTCTCCACTGGACCATTCATTAAATCGTTTCACCATCATGACGTCTGTTTGATTGGGGAAGTTTCCAGTGAAGGTGTAGTGATTCGGAGCTTGCCAAACTCCACCCCAGCTTCCAGGCTGATTTGCATCGATACGATACAGAAACGGGCTGTTATTGGTCGAATCATGCTTGATGACGTCAGCCTTTCCTAATATGGAAAAGTCAGCCCATCTGAGCCTACTGGCCTTTGCGTATGCATTTCGTTGGAGGACTGTTCTTTTATTCCATCCCTTGTTGGTAAGCGCTTGTATCTATGTGTCGTAAAGTGTTAATAAAAAAGTAACATCCCTGTTATTTATTTTGATCTTCCGTTCTATTTTTGGCAGATATAGCAAATGTAAAAGAAGTTGCAAATCTGACAACAATCGAAAGCTCGTTCGATTAAGGTAAATTCGTGACGTGTTACCTTCAGGTAAAACAGATCACCAGGGTATAGTATGCAGGCACGTCCTTATTAATATTCCTGTAGGATGCGGGTTTCCTCACCCGCAGAAAATTAACAATAAGTTAGAGAGAGATTTGTTGCGGATCTGGCTCTAATTATATGCAAGACGCCTTGCACACCTCTCATTTGCTCGTGATGCTCACGGCCTGATATTCTCCGCTTGGAAAGAAACTCTCATGCTGAAGCACTAGTGATGAGGGTCTGCTCTCAGACGAATCAAAGAATCCCCGACACTAGTCCTGATCTGTGCATTGATCAAATTATTAAAATTAATAAAAATTGGAAAGTATAATTTTACCAATAATGTCCAACCCCCGCCAAACCTTCTGGATTGATCACAAATTGTTATGACCGGCTCCTTGCAGGGTCCATCCAAATACAACCGGTAGACTCCATCACGTTCAAAACCATCCTCAAAATACTGCTTACAGCTAACTGTGACCCAAAATCACGACAAATAGAGAGAAACATGAAAAAAAAAATTGAGACTTCCTTTAGAGACCTTGATATATAAAACCCAATTGATTGAGTCTCTTTCGTGAACTGTTTGACAGCAACCACTTTCTTAAAAGGCTTCTGTCATGGTCCAGCACAGGTTAAACGCCACCAATTTTTTTGTTTAAGGTTCGCCGATACTCATTTATACTCCTAGGTTGAGAGGGGAACTGTGTGAGTCAAGAATGTGACCCCAACAGCACACCAAAGTGTTTGAAACCGGGCCTCTCTATGCGGATTCCAACCCACTTGCGTTGAAGACACTGTATCGTTTGTTGGCCTCTTATGAGTGAAGCATTTCAATAAAAAGTTACACGAAGCGAAAATGGCTTAAAAAATGAAAGATGAAAAAGTAAAAGAAGAGAAGGATTGGCTACTTCCCTCGCCTGCAATGCAGGTGTCTTACTTGGGAGAGTTAACGCTAAGAAGCTCGCGATCATTTATTAAACTGGTCATGTTTGATTTAGACTTAGAGTCTACGGTGGGGGGATGGGGCGGGGGAAGGCGAAAAGAATGATTCCCACTGCTCCAGAGCCCTCCTCCCTCCTTCTTTTAGACCGTTGTTCACCCCAACCTTCCGCTGCAATCAAAATCAATGATGACAGCTGTAATTTTCACCAAGATAATACTAGACACTCGCCCGCCAAAATTACGCCTGCTCCTCAGGCAAATACTTCCCTGAAAGGAACTCGCGAAATCTGGCCATCTTACCCCCGCAGGTACTGAAATCTAAGAATACTTACCATAGCACTTGGTTTTATAGCAAGTTGACATCTCAATGGTTTGTCCTCGGCAGTCGCCATCACGAATACATGAACGAACGCGATACCGCATTCCCTCTCGTCCGCAGTATTGACTGCACGCTGACCAACGAGACCACGGGCCAAAATCCTGTTCACTACCTTCTGCAGGAAAGGGAAAACCTAGTGGGTTTCCTAGCCTCCTCATGAAAACGATTCCCTGTCTGCAGTGAATTATACGTATGGTGGTATTATTTTAGTCCTCTTTTTATTTTTTTTTAAATCATGCATTAATATTCTCAGTAATGAAGAACGAATTCATTTTTTTCAAAAGAGAAACGCGGAAACGAAATGTAATTCGGAATTTATTGGCCTAAATTCTATAAGATATTTTTTACTTAACTTCTTTTCCTTCAGCTGACACAATCACAACATGAGCAGCGTGTCATTTATGTATGACGCCAGAAACTAAATCAAGCTAAGTTCAGTTTGGTGGCTATAACACAACGGTCAAATGTCGGGCATATACGAGAGAATCAAGTTCTCTAGCCGCTGTGTCGCAAAACAAGTGAAAAAAAAAAAAAAACCTTAATAGAGGTCTAAGAAAGAAAGCAAAGAAGGAAGAAGCAAAGCTGGAGACCAGGACTAACTGAATTTTGTGTTTGTTTGTGACTAGCGTGAGACAACCTACTTCTGAAAGCCTGAAAGCACGCCACCCAGTCATTAAAATCTTTGACCGCTGTGTTGGTGGCTATAGCTTTTAACTTCCTCCAGTTCTTCTTCGTCTTTACAGATAAGCGAAGAAGAAAAACCTCTGGGCGACACATTGCAAACAACTGAATGCATAAACATCTTGCCTGTCACCATGAAATATCATAATTCTGAACAAACTTGCTCGCTCACCGTGGAAAAATTCGTATGGTAAACCTCAACTGTTAACATTCAAAGCAGGTTTTGCTATTAGAAATTTTTGGGTCATAGCTTCCTTACAAATGCTAACAAACAATGTGTACTTGACCTGAAACATAATCATAATTAACCTATTATCTTTTTTAAAAGACGAAATTATTTCCTGATTAAGCCAAAGAGTGTTTAGAAATAATCAAACAAACAAACAAACATTTTTACTTACCCGTTGTCGCTAAAATTGTGAGGATCCCGGACAATAAAACAGGTAACAAAACCTGTGACATATCTTTCGTCTTACGACAAGCTATCTCGAGTGTTTAGATGAAACTACGTGTTTATCATTGAAAGAAAGCTAAGTGAGCGTTAATTACAGAATGCCAAAGCGGCTTTTGCTAGAATTTTCGAGTAGGAAGTGATTCTCTGTAAAATAGTCCAATAGTTCCCTAGTACATGTTTTTTTTCCCACTGAATTCACCCCTTTATGACATCATTTCATTAGTGACTTGTTTTTGCAATTCAGTAGCAAAGTCAATGACTTTGACGTGACAATGACATGAACTCGACACTTCTTGTATCGTGTCACTGGCTGCTAAATTTTGCTGGTGGAAAAAGAAAAAACGTTTTCAAAATGTCTTTCTTAATTGCGTACTGATGACTAGCAGTACAGCGGTCGAAACGTCGCGGTCAATGAAATTGATAGCCTTACCCGACATCGTGAGACTGACGATTAAGCATTTATTTTTCTACAAAACCACGATAGACAAAAGAGACATTTTCCATGACACGATTTTAGTTTATTCTGTATTACTGTATGGCAAGGTATTCCTGAGGTAAATCTCAGTGTTCTAATCGGTTCTTACTCGGTTGGGATTTTGCCATATGGACCGTTTCCACGGAAAGGGTCATAAACCGTGTATTTTCTTCACAAAAGCTGCCAAATTTAAATATAAACAAGTTTGGTCCAAGTACCATATAATAAACTACTTACTAACCTTGTTTGCTCGAGCCGTATAAGGGAATGTTGGCCCTTGGTCGTTTTTGTACGGACTTAGCTCGTTCCTCACTGCCACGATATCGGACCTCGGGTGAACAACAATTGTAGTTGTTTTATCCCAGGGTATTGACAAAACGACTTCTTAGTACTTTTACCGTTTTGTATCACACGTTACGCAGACGTTTCCTCTGTACTACCTTTCAACCCGATAAGCTCCCAAGTTGTAAAAATTTACATAACTAGCATAACTTTTCTAACGACGCGCACAAAATCTGATACATGTACGCCTTGGCACGTCTACTACTTGCACAGCAGTAAAGCATTAAAGTATTTTGTTGTCTACAGCAATTACTGGTAAATTTTTAACACTCTCGTCAATATAAACGTCGTCATTATCCTCTTCACTTTCATTATGATCATCAGCAGCATTGCCATTACCATCACCATCTCTAACAGTTGCTCGTTTCTTCCTTCAAAGACACCTTTGGTGCAGTCTGTTTCAATAAGTCAGCCCGTTGCTAAGGTGAAAATACTTGGAGTCTGAAAGCAGGGTTACTTGGCGTCAAAGTGGCCACTTTCTTCATCGCTGAGAAGAGTGTCTTGCAGGTTTGCTTCAATTTTCCCGCTCTTGACTCTATTTTAGCCACAGCCAGCACTATACAGCTCTGAATGTTTCTATAGCTAAACATCATTGCTATATTTACATGGAGAATTGAAATGTTTAAAGTAAGCAAAGAAATATTAACCGCATAACATCTCCGCGAGTCACATTCCAGTCGTTTGCACAAAAAGTCCGGTAAAACTGCAGAATGCAGGGCCACTTATTTACATCTTGTTGAATCACAACACATGCTTTTGAATTCTGCCCTGTTCTTCACAGTATGCCGATAAGGTGAACTTCGTCATTGTGTAATATCAATGCTCTCATAGCCGCACTATCTGTTGAATAGTCCATCTTTTTTAATTGTGCACTACTTTTTGTATGGTCAGTTAATCCATAGGTTCAATGAATAATTCTTAGTCGTGCCATTATTCAAAGGATTGGCATCATTCCCAAAATCGAACTTATGTTCCATATTATGAAAAGATGCGCCACCATTTTTTTCTGTTATTCCAATGCCGTGATCAGATCCTCCACAAGTTCCTCCTCCTCCACCAACCATCATGACGGATCCACCGCTTTCCCAATCACACCAAAAGCCAATTTTGTCGGAACTCTGCAAGGGGCCGTCACATTTTGCTTGTTTGAATCCGTAGGTTGTCTCGTTAGGCCATCCATAGTTAACCTCACAGTCGTCTTGACAACGCCTACGGGCCCAGACTGCTCCATACCTAAAAAAACCATATTTCAGCATTTTATGTCTGAATGACTTTCCCTCAAGACAGTCGCCCGTGGTTTGTAACAGCGGCGTGTGTAGTGGGTCATCACTACGCGTGATCTTAAATTTTCTGCCGCTGATCAGCCAAAATGCTGGCGATATCATGTCAGCGTTATCAGATGGATCGATGCTGTTGCCTTGAGCTTCTGTGACGTCATACCACCAGGAGCCAGAAAACTTGACCCAGTTTTTCGCATCGCTGTTTGAGAAACGAGCAATAAGAATCCAACCGGTGCCGTCGGAGGTCTTGTCATAATAAATCTTTAAAAAACAAAACAAAAGAAAACAACAACAACAACATTTGAGAATCGGGTATAAAATACTCCACTAACAGAAGGGGTGTTTGATTGATTGGTGCGCCGGGGTCCCGTCTCTCAAAATCCACGGGCGTAATCTTTGGAATGGTAGAACGGGTTTCAGCGAAAAAGCCATTACGCTTTACTTCATTTCCTGATAAAATGTTTGTTAAAAATTTCTCGTCATCCTAATCGGTTGAGAGAGAAATGCAATTGTCTGGTAAGACAATGAGAGGGAGATAATTCAGTGCAGAGGTAATATAGAGCAAAAAGGTAACATACTGCTCAGCAGGGCTTTGTAATTTGATTTTTTTTTTTCGCATATAGAAAATTTTTGTTTTGATTAGGCGTGGAATTTTCAGTAACAGTTTTGCGCTTTGGTGTTACTCTGACCTAAAACTGTGCTAGAATTGGCGCGATAGTTGCAAGAAAGAGGCGCCAAGTGGCTAAAACACCATTTTCGGTGATTATAAATAAGAAAAAAGAGTCGAAATTTGGAACAACATTTTAGCATTTTAAGTGAAAAAGCACAAATTTAGAAACTCGGTTTTATTAATTTAGCTTCAAAGAGTTTTACAAAGTATACGAAACAAAAAAATAAATAAACAAGGTAAAACTGAGAAGAAAGGATCTAGAAACAGTGAAAAAAGAAGAAAGGACTTCTTGTTTGTGTTCAACTTACGTCAAATCTTGAATAATTTATGTGCACTGTAAATCTTCCATCGTGCATCGTCGAGTTATTACTGTTTACCACCCCACTCCGCTCGGTCAGAATCGAATTGTTACTGTGTACTTCCGCTGATGTCACTTCCGCTGAAAAAATAAATGGATAATTTATTTTCATGTTTTTCCTTCATTTTTTATTTAAAGATCTATCAATATGTGGTTTATGAAAGTAAGTTGATAATCACGTCGATACTTGAAAAAATAAATGAATTTCGATATACTCGGAGAAAAAACAATCCGAGTTCTATCGATAGCAGCCGAACCTACGACCTTCCCATTCGCGGTACCTCGGGTGCTCTACCTTTGAGTTATATAAAACCCAAGGTAAACCAGGCCGTTTAACTACGTCTACGGTAACAAACTTCATGCATGCTGCCAGGATAGGAATCTCGATTTGTAATGCTTCTGGATAATGATGATATAATTGAAGATGGGAATTTTTAAGCCTAGTGATGCATTTTCATTAGTATAATCATATAGAGACATATGTTTTTCGTCTTGTCACGAGCGTGAAACAAAGGAAATATTTAAGTCTTCATGAGGCGTCGAACCTCAGACCTTCAGATTCCGCGCCTCAATGCCATACCACTGAGCCACAAAGACTGTGGTTAGCAAGGCCAGAACAAGGTTCGTATCTAACACGCGTCCTGCATACTGCTATTTAGGATAAGAAACGATAGCGTCATGTTTGTAAATAGAATAAGAAAGAAAGTGAATTTTGAGCTCGGTAAAGAAAAGAGAAGACGTTTTTGTACATGAAGGTGTTTTTCACATTTTTTTCTTTTACCACGCTCGTGATAGGAAGAAATATATCTATCTCCATTTCTTCACCGAGCTCAAATTTACCATCTTTCTTATTTCATAATCGTCTGTAATCAAATTTCATTTTTCCTCAACATCAAGAAAGAAAGTTGTTCAATGGTAGAGGCACTCGGAAAGCTCTTTATTACGGCTTAAACTTAATTTTTTTGAGTCCATCTCTCACCTTGTTGACAAAGATGTCCTGTTAGTCCCGCAGGACAATCGCAAACAAAGGACATGAATCTCGTAGTCCTGCAAGAGGCTCCGCTATAACATCTGGGGTAAGAACAAGGGTCGAACACTGATACAGGAAAAACATGAAAAACATGTCATTAAATTTAGCCCTTCACTGCTCTTCTGTCATTCCCCCGTTCAGTCATCCTACCTTCTTGACACTGGTACCCAGAATAGCCGCTAATACATTCACATCTGAACGAGTGGTAAAGATCTACACATGTCCCTCCATTTTTGCAACGATTTGGCTCACACTTATCCCGTTCTGAGAGGTAAAAAAATACAAGTTTACAAGAAAATCCTGACCATCGACTTTTCCGAAAAATGTTACATGCGGCCTTAAACTTAATGGGAGGGGCGTAAAAGGTAAGTACATGCATGTGTTATTTACCTGGCGAGAGGTCCGTAAGGTAACAAACTGTCTTCGAAGTCTGGAGTACAACCGAGGGCAAAGACACATTTTTTTTCCATAAGAACCAACCTGCGCTGTTAGATCACTGCCTAATTTTTTATCTTACTGGTTTGCTTTTTTACTCTAGCTCGAGTACTCCATGAGATGTATTCCACTCACTGTTACTAAAAATAACTATGATGATGTTGCTTGCGCTAGTGAGGGCGAGGGCGAGGGCGAGGGCGAGGCAGAAAAAAGTGTTATAAATGATGTTAATGGTTAGAAAAGAACTTAAACATAGTGAAATCTAGCCATACCATTCGCATTCCATGACGCAATGAGAGTCTGATTGAAATGCAATCCTGCTGAACTGACTGAAAGAGCAATCACGGTGAGAAAAATTAATATAATCTTCCGCTGATTGTCAACTCAAACCTCTGTGCATAATATGTAATTTGTGATAATGCTAATTAGCATTAATTGCTATATTACCGGCACTTATCAGAGGACTGGTGACCATTCGGGGGATTTTGGTGGGATCAGCACAATCGTCGTCAACAACTGGGGACCATCGACTGCCGACCAAAATCTACCGAAGAGGAATCCCTTCAATCAGAGGTGAACCACCATATTGTTTTAACTCTGTTCTAAACACTTTTTTTTTAACAACTCACCGCCCCATTGGTTATTGCTTTTGTCCTTAATGATCAGATACTGGAAGGATCCAGAAGGGAGCTTTGCCCCGTCATGAAATGGTATGAACGGAATCTCTGTGGCAAGTATTGTCGAATTACAATCCCTAGCTTGTATCCACTCCTCTTCTGTTATTCCATACACGAGTCTATTTTGGAGAGGACGAACCTCATTCTCCAGATCCAGCGGACTTTTGACATAAGTTTTTCTGTTAGCCCCAACTCCATAAACTGTCTTTGTACTTGTGTCATAGCCCAGAATGCTTAGGATTTTTGCACCAAGACCTTAAGAGCAAAACACAGTTTAAATACGGTTGTGTTCGAGGTTATTTAAGGAAAATATTAAGAGAAATAAGATTGGAGGAAAAAGGAAAGGTTAATGGAAAATTGTTTTTTTGCAATTTTTTTAGTTTTATTCCACCCATGTTTAAACTTTTTTTTTTAGAAATTCCCAGGTATTATATGAAGTTGAAATTGTCGTGAACATTGTTAACCCTACCTCACTTAAAAAAACTGTATTTCAACTTTCTTTGGTTTTTGTTCATTTTTGTCTTGTTTGTTGATTTATTATTATTATTATTTATTTTTTGTGTGTGTGTGTTTGAAAATGCCTGAGAATATTTTCCCTCTTTAATAATTTATTGAGGATAGTTTTTCCTCTTTTCTCCTTTTACACATCACTCTTCATTCCCCCCCTTCCCTCCCTCATCATGTTACTGGTGGTCTATCCCATAACGAGCTTCTAAAGGCACAAGCTGAACGCGGACGAAGGCTCTCAACCTATGATCTTTCCAAAAATGTTACTAGCAAAATACCGCAGAAAGGTAGTAGTCGCCATGCTTTAGGAAAAAACTCGTTTCTGACCTATCCAGTCCATCAGCGACTCAGAGTCCCTTCGTGATAAATAGAAGCAATAATTGACATTCCGTTCTCGTGGTGAAGTAGACTTTCTGAAATAAATTTAAAGAAAAATTACCATCAGTACCTGATAAAAATATGACACAGGCAAGAAAGTGAGTTGAGTATTTCTTGTTTTAGAATAAGGTTACGTGTAAAAACTGAACAAACGTCCACCTTCTCTAGTTTCGACAGTGTTACGCTTTAGTGATCAGAGTGAAGAAAAATATCGATCAGGGGATTAATACCCCTTTCACCGAACTAATATAATAAGAATCGAACAGCAGACTTGAGGGAGAATTACTTATAGCATGTTAGAAAGGAACGGGTTAATTTTTACCAGAGGTCATGAAGATTGGTTAGCAAATCAAAATTCTCTAACTAATGAATTCTCAAGAAACGTCTGAACATTATATTGATTCTTACATGAAGTGACCACTCCAAAATTCAAGTGGGCGGCATACATCCTCTGAACTCCGATGTCTAGCATGCATGCTCGCGTCAAAAGTCTACTTCACCCCCAACTCTGGCAGTTAGCTGACATTCGATTTCCCATAGTTCCTCGCTATAGTCTATTAGAAACGACTGCTTATCCCTGAAAACCATGTGACTCCCCCAAAATCTTCCTTCGTCCCCCTCCTCACCCCCCACACAAAACACACCTCCCTTGTGATAAATAGTGTACCATCCATAGCTCCTAAAAAAATGCTTTCTCGTGTCAAAAAAAAAAATGTAACCTACGAGACAACATCGGCGTTGCAGAAAAACACCTTCCCAGTGTCAGGCACAACGAGAAAACTTCTCTTTATCACCGGAGGTGATTCTGTAAATGTCATAAAAAGATCAAACTGCTTATAATAATTACAAAATCAAGATTTATTTACTTTTTTAAATTATTTATTCGACATTCGTTTTATTCTTGAGTGGATAGTGGCACTGTGAGATAAGTGTCTTACCCAAGAAAAGCACGAATTGTAGAAAACCAATTGAAAACGGCTCTTATTTTAAAAGCTACTAGGCCAACCTCAAAAGGTCTTACCAAAGTTTAAATCATCTACTTTCTTGCCGTACAGCTCTATCCTCATACATATGCGAACGAGGAATTCTTTAGCTTCAAAACGCACATAGCGCGCTGTGATTGGTCGAATTAACCGGTGTTTCACTGCAACATTTGCTACTAGATTTCCAAGGAAAATCTACAAAACAAAAGAAAGCGTAATGAGACATAACAATGAGATTTCCTCGAATAAATATAGATTAGAATATCTTAAACCTAAGATAAAAGAAAGCAAGGTCACCTTAAATTAACTGGTCACACTTAAATTAACTGAGGACAATGTGCGGTCTTTGCCATAACATCTTCAAATTGTTAGACATTTTAGCATTCTCGAATAAGGACGATAAACCGTAGACCCCTTCTCCTGCATCTCCTCTCTACTGAATGGTAGGGGAAGTAAAAGAACCTACATCTGTCTCGCAAAGAGTAGGAAAAGTAACTCCCGGTGTTATGGTCAGGCCTTGTTTCCCAAATTGGAGACACCTACAAAGTTTCCTTTCAAAAATTGCAAACTGCTCAATGCAGTCTGTTAAAAGTCCTCTCCAGAGTGTTGTAAAGCCCACTAAAGCACAAAAGATTGTAGCGGAGCTCGCGTAACCCCGTAATTATACAAAATAGTAGTGACCTATCAAGCCGAAAAAAATTGGATGTACGACCCTACTACCGTACGACCGTACGACCGTACGACCGCACAAGGTGCTACTTTTAACATGCGTGGTCAACTGTATCGCGGGCACGCCGACGCCACGGCTTTGTCCAGTGGTCCAGTGGTCAGTGCACTGGGCTCCAAGTCGGACGACCCGGGTTCTAGTCCTGGCCGGGACAAGGCGTTGTGCCCTTGAGACGTGCGGGAAAAAAAAGGTTGCTAGCTCCGCTTTTAGGCTTGGCTAAATCTATATATTGTAAGCGTTGGCTGCTTTATATACCTTCTGAACACCGTTATGCCTGTAGTACTCAAATGGCTCGCTTCCATCCAAGCTGTACCGCAGATAATATAATTTAACACTCCACATGGGTTGGAAATGCTCGTTAATATATTTATCTTGCGTCGCGATCTGAAGATAAATTTAAGGTGAAGAAACTTAATAAGTGGGGACGCAATTAAAGAGAATTTACGCTGAGCATAAAGAAATATGGAAATGCCAAGCATGAAGTTTTTCTTTGTTCTTCGTTGACTTTTACCACTAAAATGCTGTACTAATTTTAACATACCTGCCCCATGGCAAGAGTAATGGTCACGAGATTGTTTTCCAAAATGACAAATATCAAAAGTGAAAGGCTGCTGAGGACATTTAAAACGGCACCCAAATTGGTAGGTATTTTATCTGCCAAGAGAATTTAATATAAAATTTGGTCAGTTTTTTCAGCGATGGTTTTTCCTAAGGACTGACGTGGTATGCGACGAATATGATTGGTCCGTTTCGATCCGCAGATAAAGTTTGCTCGTTCTCTTCAGTTGTTTTGTTCCTGGCAATTTAAAACGAGACACAAACCCTCTAAAGGTGAACAAACCTGTTGAATCACGTGTGGTGTGAGTAAATCAATCTGTAGGTACTCCGAATAGCTGTTCTCTTGCATGCACCATGCTGCACCTGAATTTAGTCTTGCCTTAAACGGCTCGAACCCGGGATACGAAGATGAGGAAGAAGAAAGCTGATCATCTTGTATCTTTCCTGACTCTAGTCCCAAAGGCTCTCCAAAGTCTTAAAATCAAATTAACAAAAAAAAAACGTAAAAAAAAAATCAGAGAGAAACTAATTCCTTTCTGGGCTTTTTCGGTCCTAGGCAAAAACACGATAGAATAATTTTGCACCAGGGCTTTTGGAGAAACATTTAAAATTTGAAGAAAATGTGATCCTAACTGGCGCACACGTCTGGTCTTCAAACTCAAAGCAATAGTTAAACGCTAGCTATTGTCAACCACGAGTTTCGTAAGGCTTGGTGGTTGAACGTCCGAAAACCTAATCGGGAGATCGTGGTTTGATTCTTCGTGATAACATTGGGAAATTTTTTTTGCGGGCACGCTTGTGTGAATAATATCACCTTTTACTACAAAACTGTTCCCTCTTTACATCTTCAGAACATGTCAGCTATCCTTTTTTTCTTTTGCGCAAAACATGCAGAGGTTTTAGGGGCAGTTACGGTTTTTTTTCTTTTTCAATGGTAAGCTAAAAGTAAAATAATCTGCGAGTAACTGCCAAAAACTCTGCCCGTCAGGTAAAAAAGCCAAGCGTGTTGTTTTGTTGGACGACTTTGCCATCGTTCATTTGAGCTTTAAACTAACAACCCATTTACACCAAAGCTAGGTGTGACACGCTTACAAGCTGTTTTGTGAAACACAATCTGAAATTGTTAGCCGAGTTCAAAATTAATTTGACAAAATGAAAATAAAAGTCAGTGATTACTTGAACCCTATGTAAAGTTTAATCTTCCAGTTCTTTTACGATGACTTGTATTCAATTAAAACTGATTTAGCTAATGTGAAAAACATGTTTAGCTAATGTGAAAACGACGTACGTCTCCAACATTAAGAAAGCAGTTATAACGCTCCTACCTAGAGGGCTTTTTGTGGTGACATTATCCAGTATGCAACCGTAGAGATCAAACTTCATTTTGTTTTGTTGTATCCAAGCATTCGGGTTTATCCGGAGAAAACGACTTTTGACAGGTGGATCAATAGCGAAGATGGAGATCTTGTCATAGTCGTAATGTGCTGGAATTGTCTGGTGAATAAAATTAATTCAATGTAATATTTTCTCATCATCATCATCATCGTCATCATCATCATATCATCATCATCATTATTGACATAAACGTCATCGTTTTTTATATTGCCATTATTGTTATTGTTGCACTGCAATTCTTATTATCATTATACTGTAATCAGTTAGCTTTGACATTACCACTATCATTACCATTATTATTATTATCGCTGTTATTATTATCATAATTATAAATATCACTATCATCATCTTTATCATATGGTTATCATTAATATTACTACAATAATTTTTTTACCGCACCTTAGGGTGTCGGTAAAATGTGAATGAAGTACCAGAATCTGAAAAACTAGACTGTTCCAGCGTTCAGTTAGTAAACGGCGCGATTACGGTGGCGGAGGAGCGAGGAAAAGAGTGAGGCTTGGGCCTCTCTCGTTCTGGCTCTGCCGCTGCTATCGCGCCCGTTATTATTTCACTCCGTTTTATTAGTTGTATGAACACCAGGAACATGCCACTGAACAAAAAAAGCTGATAAAAGACGGAATAGCCAGACCATTTTGTTCAGGTAGTGGGCACGAGTAACCGAAACACTTAATTAACAAACAGAACACACAAAAAAATTTCATCCTAAAACTTTCCTGGTGGAAACAATAGCTCTGCAATAACAAAATATTGAATTATTAAAAGAATCATTAGTTTTTCTTGGCAATAGGGGGATGCTTAGTCAACAGGTATCCAGTTATTTTGTTCTCAGTCGATTCGTACCCAAATCCAGATGACTCATTCTCAGCTTGAGTTGGTTCCTTCCCGAAGCGTTGGTCGATTCGTATCCGTTCCAATATTCATTTATTTAAAATACCTCACACTTGATAAGTATGGGTATAGAACGAAACGACCTGACCAACTGGGTACGAGTCGACTTGGTACGAAACGATCGTGGGTTCGAAACGACTGTTAACCAGTGAGCATGAAACACATATACTCTTAATCCTTACCAGGATAGTTCCTTTGTAAGGATGTATTTTCCAGTGAATTTCATCATCGCTGATATAGAGGCGAAAAGATTTAAGTCTGTCCTCGTCAAATCTTTTTACAGCCAGCTTTTGAAGAAGAAAAAAAAAATTACATGTTTTATTGAAACGTTCTCGATAAACAATGACGCATTAAAATCCGGGCGGTATTGGAATCTCTTTCTCTTAGGTTTGACGATTTCGGATGGTTTAAATTTTTATGCACATGCTCTTAATTAATCGATTTGATGATTGTTCAAGCGTTGTATTTAGTGATAGAAGGACAGTGCGGTGATAAATAGCCTGATAGAAAAAATTAAATAACTGTACACATAAAAAAAAGAAATTAACAAGAAGAAACCTGTATTTTTTTATGCTTATATGTAATCTTCATCAAACACAAAGTTTTGGTTCCAAATACATTCGGTTCGTTATCCAAATCAACAAAGGCCTGGTCATGGTTGCCTGTTAGGTGGATAACCCTATCCACTGAATGAATTGTTATCCAGCGGATAGCGTCAGAGTACGTTTATAAACACTTAACCGCTGGATGGTGATTTATTCGGTGGATAGCACTATCCAGCCTTTGAACAACCGAGACCTGGTTGTCCAAAGATGAGTAACTATTCACTAGATAAATCCCCATCCGGCGGATAACGTATTGCCGGTACCAGTTCCTTTTTTTTACACCTGGTCGCTAGATAGCAATTTATCCGTGGGAGTGCGCTATTCGCTCTTTGAACGACTGGGCCCGAAAATTTATTAAAAGAAGATTTAAGCGGCTCTCGCTCTCTTTAATTTGTTAAACATGTCTCAGCGGCTTGCGTCTGCAATTTGGATTAAGGATGGAGTCCACGCCCTCACTCACCATTTCAAAGCAAACTTTTTTGACAAATTCCACTGTAATAAACTCATCTTTACTTCTAGATCTATCGCCATCAGTCGTCCAAAAAGTTGGTTTATTGATCCTGGAATAAAAAGGTGAGCGTCCGCTCAACAGATCTTCACTCTTAAGCAGTGAAGAGGATGAATAATGACTCTCTTTTAGTAGACTGTGGAGTGACCCAAATCCACGGCAATCTGGGAGGCAATCATAATATATCAGACTGATTTATCTGATAAGATATGAACTGAATTATATATGCTTTTTGATTGGTTCTCTCCTATTACTTATCATCTTTTGGAGTACGGAGGCATAGATGACGTAATCATCAACAACATTTTGCTTCTATTATCGTATAAAACAAGTAGACTCCATGCCTCCGTGAGTCTGTTCAGTAATAGATCACAGATTAAGTCAAAATTTGGTACGAACAAAAAAGTTGCATACGAGGCGCAGCAGAGCGTATCACTGACGTTGTTACCACATTTTGCCTTCTTCTGTAGTGTATTATTTTACAGACATAAGGCATTATTATGATTATCAATATCATCTTAATTATTTTTGTTTTATTAAGAAGCAGCATTTTTGGCGTACACTAAACTCATTATGAATAGCTATTCTGAAGTTTTAAAAGTCTGTAGCGCCAGGTCGTCAGAGTAACCTCATATTTCATGATTTAAAGTAGCACTGAGCTTATATGTCAGATTATAAAAGAATTTGCACAATATCGATATGACTGTGTAGGAATATGCTTTAACATGATGTTGGAACGTTATGCGGAAAAAGCATGAGCAAACTCGCTAAGCGGATGATACTAAAAGTCTTGGATCACAAGGTTTCTTCTTTAATTTATCATACCGTGCCGCAACAAAGTCTAAAGTGTGTTGATCAACTCCAACTCTCACTATAAATCTAAGTTTAACGATTATCGACTGAAACCCCAACAACAGCTAATCACCATCAAAGAGGTTCTGCGCTTACATTCTCACTTAGCTATTTCCATAACCTTGAAATTTGACACCTCGACTGTGTTCTATGCAAAACAGTGGCATACATATATGACCGTGTAATAGACAATCTAAAGCAGTAAAGGCTTAAATTAGTGATAACTTCCATTGTTAGAATACACTTGCAGATGGGCTTAAGGTCTCTGATACATACAAAACACAAAGAATAACTGTAATTATAGAAATATTACTTTCGAGAACGGATGAACAAGATCCGCCAAAATATCATTCTTAATTTAAATTACACAACGATCATTGAAAGAGATCATGCAACGTAACGGGTGATTATACCTATAAGACACTTACTAGGAGTGTAGAAAATCTGAGGGCAGGGAAACCACTGCTCCAACTCCTCGCTGTGAACTTGATTCCTTATTAAGGTGTATCGAGTCCGGAACCATGTTGTAAGGTTGTGTTTTTGCCCTGGCTGTGAAATGTTTCTTGGGTCGAGAGCAGCATTGATTTTCACTCCAGCGTACGCATAAGTATTGTTGAAATTCTCAAACTAAAAGACAAAATAAAAATGGAATTTAAGGCAAGACAAGAGCTTGAGGACTCGATCCCTCATGTAGAACAAAGCTGTTCCTTACGGATTGGTCCACAATCAAGCTCACGTCTATATCATGCTTTTTCCCCTGTTCAGTAAAATTAAATAACGACAATTTTTACTGTATTCGTTCGCACTTTCCTCTGTTTTCTCCCTACTTCCTCGAACGATGAAGAAAAGAGAACCTGACGACGGGTTTCGTCATAATTCTGCAGAATTGTCTTCGTATTACCCGTTTAGATTCAAACATTTTCTTTCTTCTTTAAGAGAAAATCCCTCTTGTCTCTCTAATGGGCGTAACTAAAACAATCTATGAAGGAGGACAGTGAGATGTGCTAATCTGTGGCAAGCTGAGCACAATCATACCCTTCGTATTATCACTCTCAATTTTTTATAGGTATAGGGCATCGCTGCGTGTGCGCTGCGAGCTCCGCCATAGTGCATTTCATTGGCGTCTGATGAACCGCTGACGAACCTAGCTCACAAAAAAGAGCTGTTATGTCTTTGTTTTTTTAAGATACAGATTTTTACTTCACAAATTATCTAACCTTTATTGTCCTTTCATCGTTACGGTTCCAGACAGAAGGTAAAGAGTTTGATCTTAATTTTCTGATCCATTTGAACTCCAGAAGCGGTGGTCCATACCACGTGATTGTTAGTCCGGCTACTGTTTCATGTGCCTGATCTTTAACTACGAAACGCATCCCAAGCTGAACGTCGTCACTGTGGGGGGAAAAGCGAAAGTGAGTTGAGCCCAGTTACTCAAAGAGCGGATAACATTATCCAACGGATAAGTATCTATCCAAAGGATAGGAGTTAACAAAAAACTAAGACGAGTGAAATGCTAAGTGCAGCTCAGTAAAGCGGATCTGAAAGTAGAAGTTATCAGCGAACGCCATTCATCAGAGGAAGACGGAGGGGCTTCTCTTCATGCTGCGTCCTATAACTCATTGAACTGTGTCAAATAGCACCGAGTTCAAAATATCTTTGTCACGGTTAATAGCAAAATACGTTGTACACCTTCGCTTTCATCCAACTTACAATTAACATCTTTCAACTCAGTAGCGACTAGGATTTCTATAAATCCTCAAACTGTTTGAAATAAAGCCAGAATAAATTTTTATTACACTCTGTTTAGTCTTCTGGCCATATTTTGTAGTTAGATATTTGACTTGATTTCTTGATTTCACTTTAATCACACCTTCATTCACATTTGATTGTATAAACTAATAACTATGGTGTAGAATCTCAATAGCACATTAATTTAAAACATATCACATACCCCTGAAAGTGAGGGCCATCATCCAGGTCCTTTGCTATATTTCCCTAGAATAGGAGAAACCAGATGAAAATTAGTTTACAAAACAGCTATTCCCAGAATACTGCTCAAAGCTCTTTCGTATACAACGGAGCCACTTTTCTACCATACTTTAAACGACTCAACGTTCACAATGAAGAATTCTTCCTCTATACTTATTAAGACTCATTTCAATTTACGGTGGAGAGGCTTTCCCACAGGTACTCAACAAAATGTCTAATCTATTTATGAGGTCTTCATATTTTCATCAAATTGAGCGGTCTAAGTATTTGTTATACATACCAAACACCCCTCTTCGATTAATCTTAGCAAAGAGAATTAATAAGCGACATAATATTTAGTTTTATGGCATAGCTAGTTGGTGAAAGCATCAATATTCCGGTGTTTACCCTTAGTACTTGTCAGCAATAATAATGGAATATTTTAAAAATAAAGTCTGCACACAAAAAGTTTTCATTACCTTTAGAACTCCAGTGAATGCAATGGTTGGCAGAAGATGAACGAACAAATTCTATGGAAGAAATAGTTTATTTTAGTAACTTTGATCTTGAAGGAGCACGTCTGTGTCTTAAATTGCATTTTTTTTTTCGGGATTCAAATCTTCCGCAGCACTTGTGCATTTTTATTGCGCAATTGCTGGATTGTGATAAATAGGTGCATGGTCTATTTTGAAAAATAATCGGGACTCTATATAAACTTTCCATGTCAAGTTTAAGTTAAAAGAGAATGTGTAAGGTGGAATCTGTTCTTAATTCGTAGCCATATTCACCGATGCTAAGAAAAGGATTGAAATAAAATCTTTTAATGCGCTGATAACCCCGTCTCAGTTATGCTCATAATTCGTATAGGTTATCAAAGTTCCGTTACCACCTTGCTTACCAAAAGTAACGTGAGTGTTTGTTTACTGATTTGCATGGTAGTCTTCATGTCAGTGAGGGTCCTATTATGATAAAAACAAAAGTAAAAAATTTACAACAACACACTAAACAACAGTAACATCAGCAACAACAATAGAGATAAAATAAGACAAACGTAAACAAAACTGAATTCGAGGGGGCAAAAAATGCAGAATTTCAAGGTTAGGTAAGCAAGAGTGTAATGCATGGAACTAAATTCTTTCAGTCGATGTCCTAACAACATATTGTAATCCCATTGTTAAGCCTTGGTGATTAGAAGAAAACAATGAAAAATATATCCATACAAAAAAGGCACAAAACAAAAAAAAAAAGAACAGCGACACAAAAAAACACCGATAAAAACAGCTACAACAGATATAAGAGCAAGTAAATATATTTGAACAAAACTGACATCAATAAAACAAAAAGGGCAGAGTTTCGAAATTAAGTATTGGAAGAGTGTCATACAAGAAGTATTTTTTTCCTCAATCGCTGTCCTTTCAAGAAGAAAAGCAAATAGACAATCAAATATAAGCAAAAACAGATCAGTATTACACTCAATACTACATTTATCTGATGTATCAATAACACCTCTTTTTCTGCTTTCCATATAACGTTTTTTTTCAGGGGCTCATCTCATGCAAGAGATTGAGATCCTGTTCAATAAGATTTTGTTGTTAAAACCCCCTTTGAAGTAAATGGATGACAAGTAAATGAGACTGTTCTACTCCCATGGAAAACAATAGAATACTGAAAGTATCAGTGATAAAGAACATGTTCGCCGTAATTTTCAAAAGGCTAAGATACAATGGCAAAGTTATGGGCTTTAGAATTGACCAGGACGTTCCGCTGTAGTGTTTCCTAGCTCCAAATAGAATATGATGTAGATACATCCAGCTCATTGGTAAATATACGGTTGGTTATCTTTTAAGTAACAAGTTACAGTAATTTTCTTCCTATATATGCCAACTTTAATTTACCAGCTTTGATAGCAGGCAAGACTTTATGACCAAGGTTTGGATCTTAAGAGCTTGACTGAAGCTCGGTCCGTTCTGTATATAGTTTATTTCGTTATGAAAAAGGGGAAAAAATAGATGTTGTTCAAAGAATGTCGATTTGAAAATCATCGAATCATTTATCCCTGCTATGAGAACTTTTTATAGAGTCCTTCGGCTGGCTCATGTATTGTCACACATGAGATCCCACCAGCATCACATTGATGGTGGTAATCCTTTCCTAAAACACCTTAGAATTTTCGATCGCTTAAGGAACAAAACCGTTTAACAATTTAAAAAAGCATTTCTAGGAATTAAAAGGTCTGAGCCCAGTTGTACAAAGGGTGGATGACGCTATCCAACGGATAAATCGCCATCTAGCAAAAAACTTATACGTACTCCACTATCCATTGGATAGAGATTTATCTAGCAGATAGCGCCCACAACCTGTTCAACAACCGAGGCTTTTTTTCTCTTTTTTGTGTGTTAGTTTTTGTTTTTATTCGTCTTCATAGTTATCATTAAAAACGTTTATTATCTTTCTTTCTCATTACGGAAAATTTAATCTTTTTACGCCCAGAAAACGAATTTGCACTCTTCCAAGTTTTAAAATATTCTTTCATCCTGTAAGGTCTTTCGATGGACTAAAGGATTAACAGATGATTGGATTGAATTCCACTACGCGAATGGCTCACGGTTTTATTGTTTTTCTTTTAAATAACTGTAATTCCACTTGCTCATCCAAACTTATTCTCAGCTAGGAAAAGACCAATGTAACCTTTTATTGCATATAAGCAATAAAATTTCCCCATACGTTGATATCACGCAACGAAAAGCTTTAGTTTTGCAAATAATCTCAAAGGAGTCGCACCGCAAATGAAGAGAAAAGTACAAAATACAACAGTTTAGAATATCTGTAGGGCGAATTTATCAAACTGAGATCTGGCTTTGACCAGCAATCATTATGGAAAAAAGGTTTTAAGATTACATTGAACGACTAGAACAAAGAGAGCGAAAACTAAAACTCACAGCCTCTTCAATCTAGAAGTGTCTGTATTTGAATTGTTTATAAAGGAGCGCAAAAAGCATTGATTCCTTTGCTCATTAACAAACAAAATAATCAATTTCTTTAAGTGTTTTCACTTACCTAGTTTCTGATCCATAAATATCTCCTCAGCTCCTCAATTTATTTGATTCGACGACCATTATCCATAACTTCCATGATGTAGTCTCAATCCCGTCGTAGCCTCGACAAAAAATATCTGCAGTAGAATATTATTTACATTTTATTGACAAATATTAGGAAAATTGTCATTGGAGAATACTTTCACTGAGTTTTCTTAAAGCTTCGGTTGTAAGGAACGTTTCTACGACAATCATTAAAAGAAAAAAAAACCCTGCCTTTCAGCAGCGCCAGAGAAAATCACATTCTGTTACTAGGGGATTAGACCAAAAACCACATCTTGCATAATTTATGACAAACATTTTGGTCAGGAAATGTCATTTTATTGCAAAATCAAATAAATGAAATTGAGTTAGGTTTGTGGCATACGACAAAAATCATCTTTGCTTCCAGCCGACCGCTTTAAACAGGGCTTTTTTGTCCCTGATTTCCCACAAACTACAAATAAGGTTCATGAGAAATGTTTTGCGAAAGGTTTGCAAAACCGAAGTTGAACTTATATGTGTTGTTTAACCATCAGAGCCGTGGAAATTTCAATTAAGAGAAATGTAATATTTTATCAACATATTTCTCATGTAGGACTAACACCTATTGTCTATAACTTGGGGTTAGAAATAATTATTATTCTTGTAAGCAGTAAGACTGGCACGATTAATGACGGAACGCCAGAAACCTTAAAAACAATGGATTCGGTCCAAAAAGTCCCGCCAGAGCGATTATGAAGAAAATCTTGTTAATATCCAAAGATGGTACTTCATTGATGCTGAACTTTCTCCAGACTAAAAAAAAAATGATCACGGTTTTGAAAACAGACTAAGTAAGGAGTAAACTGTTTTAATGGCGGGAGTATTTCATTGACGCCACGTAGATAGAAGAGCTAGAATCGTAATTCATGTATTACTAATAATTAACGTTATGGTTAAAAATTATGTCAAGATTCGAGATTTTCTGCATAAAATAAAGAAGATAAGTTGAAAATGCCATCCCTTTCACATTGCGTTTTCACGTGCCAGTTCTTGAAGTCCTCATGCGATAAACTTGGACCCACCAATGCGCTTTAGAGCCAGAAAACGTTCGTTAGGAGTACCTAGGCTATGAGTTGGTCTTTTAAAGAGGTTACCACCTGCTTAACAGTTTAAACCCAGGGTGACCGCGAAAAACTCTAATCAGGAGGCACAAAACAGTGACAACTGACAACGAATCTTTAATCACAATTTTTGCTGCAGAAATGTCACATGCTCTTTGGCCAAGCTGCAAACACGTGTACGTTCATTAGACTTATTGACATTTAGTCATTATCATAATAATAACAATACTTTATTTATACAGCGTTATTTTTATCGCTATCCAATGGCATTTACAGTGACTGAATTCCACTGCCACTGCCACCGCCACCGCCACCGCCACCGCCACCGCCGCCGCCGCCGCCACCGCCACCGCCACCGCCGCCGCCGCCGCCGCCGCCACCGCCACCGCCACCGCCACCGCCACCGCCACCTGCCTAACCACCGCCCCAACCACTGCCACTGCCCCAACCGCCCCCGCCCCAACCACCGCCACTGCCCCAACCACCGCCCCAAGCACCGCCCCCGCCACCGCCCCAGCTACTGCTGCTAATGCCACCACCACCACCACCACCGCCACCACCATTGCCAAAGCCACTGCTATTATTACTGCTACTGCTTCTATTACTGCCACTGATACTGTTTTTGTCACTTTCACTGTCACTCCCACTGTCACTACCACTACCAGTGCTACTATCGCTGCCACTGCTTTTGCCACTGCCAGTGCTATTGCCACTGCCACTGCCACTGCCACTGCCACTGCCACTGCCACTGCCACTGCCATTGCCACTGCCACTGCTACTGCTACTGCTATTGTCTCTGCGGCTGTAACTTTCACTGCCATTACCAACCCTAATGACTGGAGAGAAAAATGTTTTTATGCGTTACAGGTTAGCTGGAACAAGAAATCTGTTATCACTTGTTAAAATTAACAACAATCCAAGATGAAAAGTGTATTTCTCCGGCATGATGTCTGATGAAAATGTTCCTGATTTTGAAAACCAGCCAGTAACTGATTTTCTCTTGAGCTGTGCCAGCCTCTAACATTCTGAAATACTCTGGCTTGAGGAGGTTAATTGAAAAATGTCGCCAAGCTATATTAATGAGCTTACCTGCTTCACATTTTATCGCCATATCACAATTTTCCTGAGGATTAAAACAACATATTTACCCATTAGTCATAGATCATAATTAATATGTTTGAATGCAAGTCACGGGTAAGTCGCAGGGATGTGAGAGCAACCTCCTAATAGGGCCAACAGAAAAAGCTTCATTCTAGACATTCCACCTGTACAGAAGCTCCATTCGCTCATACCTGAGAAACCGCGTTTTCAATGGCTGTATCATCTCTGACAAACGTTCATCACCTAACCGTGCATGAATTCATGTAAGACTCTGTGTCGACATGGTAGCACCAACGCTTTATGACCAAGGAAATATTCTTTAATTTTTAATGATGTAAATGTTTTTGTTAAGCAGAGAAAAAAGATGAATAAAGATGTGTTACGTTTTTTTCCTGAATGGCACGACACATTTAAGCTTTCTCAAGCATTTCAGAATAGTAAACAGAGGAGTTGTTATTGGGATCAATTTTGATCTTGTTCTAGGGAGACAGTCTAAGCAAATGCTTCTTTTTCACGTGGGAAAAATGTAATCCTGGACTTACCAGGAAAAAGGGAGAAATCATCTTTTCATTTCGAATTTTTCCCCCTGCAGGGCTGTTGAATCTTATAAGGGTATGTCGTGATACACCCTCATAACAATGTGTGAGCGTTTACATTCATCGTTGTCTAATTTCAGGCACACGTAGCTTGTAGTGACAAATGATTTATGCCCATCTATTATTTAACAATTACAAGTCTCAGTCTCAGTGAATTGCGTTGAATAATCCTCGAGTTGAAATCGAGGAGATTATTCAAAAATCTTCATCTTCATCATTTGTTGTCACGAGTCTGTAAATAAGTGAATCGTTATTTTATCTTTTTTCCCTTTCTTAGTTCAGAATAAGAGAAAATAAAATTAGCTGATAGATGTTTTACATAATTATATAACTTCCTTTGGGTAATGTTTTCCTGATTACTCTGGATAACGTGCTGGTTGGAATGGTTCAATATTTTATTATTTTATTCATTTGTTTTTTTGGTGTTTTTTCTTTTTCATTGTTTTCGTTGTATAGAGACATTACGAGTCTGTAAACAAGTCAATCTTTTTCTACGCAGTATTTTTTTCTTTTTCCCAGTTTTAGTTCAGGATTCAAAGAAATGGAACAAAATGAAATCTTTTCTTTTACATAATCATATAATGCCAAAAAGATCTTTTTTTTTAACAGTGCAGTATGCAGGTAGAATTTTGATTTGAATATATTTGCGGGTGTTTTGCTTTGTTTTGTTTTGTTCTTTCTATGAGTATTTTGATATAGTGTTTCTTATGGATATCAGTTCCGTGTTCACTCATTAATACATTCCATATTAACGAAGAGGACCAACCGGTAGTTTCAAAAGACCGTAGCAATCAAATAAGCCGCAATTCTTAAACGAAATAAACTGGTGCTAATAGCAGCAGTCTTTTTATTCTTCGAAGTACACCTCATGTTAACAACGTCTTGTGTCTCATACTTCTAAAAAACGGTTTCGGATATCAGAATTTTATTCTCCCGATAAAAAAGTTTTGACTTCGCTCCCTAGAGTTTGCTCATAAATGAAATTTGCTGAGGAAGACGTTGATTTGCTTTCATCCGTTGGGAATTGGGACCAAAAGTAGTTAATACAGATACTTGAGCCCTTGCAATGCTTTTGCCAATTACGCAATAATTAAGCATCGTTCACCAACCCATTTTTATTCATTCCCTAGGGTTGATCTTTCCTAGCTTTTTAACTACCAGTGTGCTAAGTTTCGGTCGCAATATTGTGAATCACTCGAAATATTTGGAGTTTAATGGTATTTTGGGGAAGTCTAAAATTCCTACTCTGTTCCTGGGAAACTATTTGTCTTTACGAGCAGCTGGTTCCCGTTAACCCACCCGGAGTCTATGCATGAGATCTCGTGTTTCCAGGATTCTTTTATTCTTTTCTTCATCTTGCATCATTGAAAAATCTCTATCAGAATTCGCAAAACTACAAAACTGTCATTTATGATTCTCAGAGGTAAGAAACATATCAGTTCAGATTTTCACCAACTGCAACAGCAGGTGGTATTGATAGAGTGCAAAGTTGAACTGCAACCCTTGACATCATTATCTTAACGAGAAGTAGTAATCATTAACAAAGATGATAAATGAGATACATCGCGCAATAAAATCAAAATATGGCGCGATAAATGGAAATTAAAAATGAAAAATTATCGCGCGATAAATGAGAAACTTGTAAGGCCGCATGTGATCGGCTGTCTTGTAAGATTTCGCAAAATCAAGGTTTACTGTATTGATTCTCGGCGTAGCCTTAATGAAATATATATTCAGTCGAATATTGCTTACGTTTTCGCGAAAAATTATAGGAAAAGTTTCAAAGGAGAATATTCTTAAGAATAAAAAAAAATCATGGGATACACAAAACCCCAGGGATCATACCTGTTCGAAAGGCGGGTGACACTGATCTAGGATTAAAAATTCTAATCTCCCCTGTTTGAAAGTATATATTATGTAGTATTATGTATTATGCAGTGCTGCTCAACGAAGAACAGTGAAAAGAGATGATGTTTTCCATCTGGCCCTCTTACTTTGCCAGTAAGTATACAGAAACTTCTAATACTTCGTGCGAACCATAATAATATAGACATGATAGAGAAAGCACCAATTAGGAGGCAGTCAAGGTTATGTCAGAGCAGAAGTTACGTATTTTCCGGCACTAGAACTGTGCAATGGGATGGTAGGTGTTTTAAGTAAAAAAATGAGGAGTGTGAAAGCAACCAATAAGGTTGTTCGTTTTGATTAGCGGAAAGTAAAGGGTAATGGTCTATAAATAAGATATACGTTCTTAGGTTCTTCCTTAAGGTTTCAGCCGAAAGGATCGTTTCTACGACGATCACTTAAGAAAACATTATCTTTAACGGCGCCAGAGCAAATCACATCCTATAACTAAGGGGATTTAACCAAAAAACCACTTCTTAAATAAGTTAAATTACAAACATCTTGATTAGCGAACGTCATTATCGTGCAGAATAAAAAAAAGTGAAATTAAGTAAGTTTTGTGGCATACGATTATAATCACCTTTTGCTTCTAGCGAGAGGCTTGAAGCAAAAGGTGACGGTCACCGCCATCACGACCGCCATCTCCACCCTCATCACCACCACCATCACCACCACCGGTGCCACCGCCAACGCTATCACCTCAAGCAGTGCCACCGCCATCGCCATCGCCATCACCACCACCATCACCACCGGCATCACCAACGCCACCGCCACCTCCATCGCCTCCGCCACGGCCATCACCACTAACATCACCACCACCATCACCACCGTCACCGCCAACGCCATCACCACCGCCACTGCCAATGCTACTGTTACTGCTACTGCTATTGCCACTGTGGCTGTAACTTTCACTGCTATGACCAACGTTAATGACTGGAGAGAAAAAATGTTTTCATGCGTTACAGGTTAGCTGGAACAAGAAATCTGTCATCACTTTTTAAAATTAACAATAGTCCAAGATGAAAAACTGTATTTCTCAGGCATTGTTATCGATTGAAATATTGCTGATTTGGAAAACCAGCCAGCAACTGATTTCCCTTAACCTGAACCAGCCTCTCACACTCTGAAATACACTGGCCTAAGGAGGTTTATTGAAAAATGTCGCCAAGCTATGTCATTGAGCTTACTTGCTTGGCATTTCATCGCCATATCACAATTTTCCTGAGGATTAAAACAACATATTTTCCTATTAGTCATATATTATAATTGATATGTTTGGATGCAAGCCACGGGTACTTGATATCGTTGTAGCTAAGCTAAATTTTTCCTTTTTAACTTTTTTTGCTTTTGCTATTTTGGTTTCCGTAAGAAAGATTATATAAGTTGTTAGATGGAACCTTGTATACTCATAGTTTTCATTCTACCTTTGAGTCTAAAGTTTTGTCAAAGTTTATCATTTTATACTTTTTTTTCACATTTGTCATCCAGCCAAGACTATGACCATATCAGAATTTTTTTGACATTTTAATCGAGTATAATGAATGGCTCCAATAGTACTGCTTCGTTTACCATCGAGACTTGTATTTCTATGTTGATCGATCGACACCTTTTTTCCATGATACATTGATTTTTGCAGTGGTTATTCATGTGTGCTCTAGTGATTAACGTAATATTCACAAAGACATGACCCACCAAAGCAAAGCCATTGCTTGGTTCTTCAAACTTGACACTTCTGCAGACGTATTTTATTCTCAAGTGGCCCACTGTTAAAGGTTTATACGAATATAGATTATTCATGTTAGCACACGACTGTTTTTATAACTTCTTCCCCGTTCCCATTATGAAGCTATTTCCGAAATATGAGTGCGAAATAGACGACCACATCAGCTCTGCTGTAATTTTTATCGTGTTTAAATAAATGTTGTTGTTGTTGTTAAGACGCTGATTGAAATTGCTTTAATCCGTTAGGAATTGGAACCAAAGTAGTTCCCTCGACTTCCCGTCGAAAAAAAGTTTTTTTTTTGCCCACGAAAAGGGGTTAGGACACGTGGTTCGCAACAAAAGAAAGTTAATACCTTCATAGTAAATTAAGGTCAGTTCAATAACAATCTGCTGGCAGCTTTTACGACAAATGGCGTTAAACACTCTGTCCCTCTTCACTGTTTTACATTTTCCCACGTTACTGGGTGTCAACAAGTACTTTCTCCGCATTTCCAATGTTTCCCAAAGAATAATGATTGTAGATATATGAAAATCATATATATGCGCTGCGGTGAAGAAACGAATATAAGAGATCCTCGCAGCTATGAACACTACGGAGCTAGTAGTTGAAATAAGACCAAAGAGTTCCGATGTTTAATTAGACCATAACGATTTCCGTTTCGAGGCTAGAATGATCGGAACGAAACTAGATTAACTCGTGCTTGAGGATTTCGCTGAATAGCTTCTTATAGTTCAAATGACTCCATACGTCACTCGGCAGTCCAGGAGAGAATTCAGGGCTGAAATACCCGCAGCGATTACAATCTTTGCTTTCCGTGAATCAAGTAAACATTATAAAAGATGATGACTTTTTATTCTAATTCGCTATATCAGCTAAATTTGGGTTCACTTAAAATAACCCGCGAAACAGATCATATGACATGAAAAAATTAGCATAATTACGTCACGCAATGCATCACGCTGGGTTTGATGGTCGCAGGGAAATGTCGAGTTTGTCGTTCAATAGAGTTTTGGTCCATGAAAGCGTAAAATCATTAACGATGGAAGCAAATTTGCAGAAAGGAAGGCTATTTCATCGCGTTCCGTGCGCTAAATCTCGGGAGAAACTTCAAGAATTCTTTCTGAGTGCTGCGCGTTGTTTCGTAAATAATACTGTGATGTATTTTAACTTGTTTGCGTGTCCTTTTTTAAGCCATGCAATACGTCTATAATAACCAGAGTGCCAAATTTTATTCTTTAATTTTGATCTTTTCCACACTGTGCGTTGTTCATGACGTTACATTTCAACGAAAATTATCGAGAAGGCGCTTTCCGACCCTTTCCTTACTTTGTAAGTCACGCAAGCGCGCAAGCGTTACGACCGAGCACGTTTACGTTTACAATTGTTTATGCCTATTGACACATTTTCATAGAGTTGTAATGAATTAGGTTTCTTTTTTTGAGAAATTTCTCTCTCCAACATTGAACAGAGGCTCTGACGTCCGCGGTGGAATGGTCAATTTTTAAAAAAATAATTGGTGATTTATTGCGACATTTAAACAGGCTGGTTCTGTTCTGCTTTAGAGCTAGTTTAAATGGGAGTGGGAGCTGACACTAAGAACTACGTTTCCTACTCTCTGCGAGAAGTGCACCCTTCAACAAGTACAAAGGGTTAAGGTTAAGGGAACGGGGTCAAAGGTTTATCGTCCTTAGGGACGGCTAAAGGTTCATCGTCCTCTCCGAGAAGGCTAGAGTGTCTTACCATTTCTAAATGGTTCTAACAAAGACTAAAAGTTCTCCTCAGTTATTTCAAGACCATGAATGTTAGTCCGGTCTGGGGCTTGAACCCTCAACCTTCCGCACGGGAGTCCAGCGCTCTACAACATGAGCTCACCAAGTGCGAATGAAAGACTGAGTCTAACGCTACGAAGCGCTTTATTAACCCAAGAATAGTCAAAACATTTTACATCAAAAGCATCGATCTAAATGTCATAAAGGTAACTCTTTTCAAGAAAGCTTTATTTCAATCGGATTGTCTTTGTGTTTAGAATTATATGATAAAATCTACCTATAGGCTGTCGTAAATTTATTGCATATGACACACCCTTTCGAAATTTGTCTTCAAAAGCACCAAAGTTCGACACCCCGAAGCCACCAATTTGAAAACAATTCAATTATTTGGTTGTAACTATCGGGACATGAACTACATTAGTAAATCAACTTATTCATTCATTGCTTGTTTGTTTGTTTGTTTTTTTAAAGTTCTTTCATAGAATGAAATAGAACGTAACACCCTGTTACAAGAAACTATTATTGGTAGGCGGTCATGTTGCTAAGCAAGGTTCAAAATGGCGGCGAACAATACTAAATTTTTTGCCACTTTTTAGAAAGCAAACCTTATCAAGGTAAAAATTTTTTGCGAAGCTTAAAAGACGTGCAGTGTCATAATTGTGCGAAAATGTTTTGACGAAGAAGGCGGCGCAATACCTTCTAAGGCGGCCTCAATGGGATTAAACGTGAGCCGTAAACTGGGAAAATTAAGCCGCTTGGCGTACAAGTACACAAATGTTAACCATTACTTGTAAGAAAAGAGAACCGTGTTAAGTGATCTATTTGCAGTAAAATGGCCGTTAGCAGAAAAAGCCACCACCCTATTGAGACCCTCCTTTTGGGAGCATGCTCCCCCCCTTCACAGTACATTTTGCCACCCTTCCCCCGTCTCGTTTTCTTTCTTTTGCTGCTAAAGCACAGCGAATGTTTATTCTCCGCAATATCGTCCACAACTCCTTGGTTTTACCAGTCCATATGCAAAAAAGTCGCCACAATTCTTGACCGATATAAATTTCTGATCACCACAGCAGTCGTTCTCAGAAGTAAAGCAAACCCTCATGTTTACTACACCTTGCGTCACATTAGGGTGATGTCCATCCAACCATCCGGGTCTTTTAGCATTGCAGTGAGATAGAGGAACACAGGCTGTTGGCATTTGAGTACCAGCTGGTTCGACAAAACGGAACCATTTTTTTACAGAAGGTAAAATTTCTCGGTCACATTGGCCGCCAGCACCCTCGAAGGTTTTCTTCCTTTTCGCCTGATTTAGCACATCATGATTATAGCAAGGGTCTATGGATTAAATAACAATTATTTCATGGACGTGCTTTATAGCAGGGTATATGCGTTAAGTAACAATTATTCCATAGGCGTGCGTTGGATATGAGATGGTAAATAGCCAACAAGACGTCAAATGCCGAATTGGCTTTAACCAATCTTATCTCCAACAGGCGCGGTCAGAATAATGTTTTCATTCAATTTCATTCAATCCTTAATGTTTGCCAATTTACCTTATTTATCAACCACTAAACGGAGAGGTGCCATAAACGGCCTCGCATCTGAGTGCAAAACTTTTCAAAATTTTAAATCGATAGAATACTTCTCTAAAACTTTCCAAGATTCTATAAACAAAAGGTTATTGCAACTATCTCCCCAACAGATTTGGCTATAGCTGTTCTGTTCTCTGAAATGTGTCACAAGTTGGGCGATAGAATCTCCAAATGAATTTAAGAGACTTTTGCAAAATTACTAGGTCAGTATTCAAATGCACAGCATTAATAGAAAACAATAAAGCAATCAGATTTTAAGGATTTTTATTGTGTATTGTTTACTTTTGTCTCAAACCTGACTGAAGTTGACGGTGGGTAAGATGAGAATACTACTATCACTACTACTGCTGCGTCTGATACAACTTATTTGAATTTTACCACTACAACTATTAATACTGCAACTACTAGCACACTACAATTACAACTACTACTACTACCACTATGACTACTATTAAAACTAGTACTTCTACGTCATTGAAAATGTCAAGAAGATGACATACTTACCATCAAATCCATAAACCTCCACTTTTAGACAATTCCAGACATGCTGCAAATTTGGAATAAAGCGAACATGCCTAGCAGACATTGTCTTTGGAAGCTTGTGTTGGTCAATTGTAACATTTTTGCCCGACCTGTCAAAATGCTTCGGAACAAAAGGAAAGATTAAATGAAAGTGATGAGTGATTATTCATTAATATTTTTATAAACGATCATTGTCTTTATTTGGTTAACACTTTCATTTCTTGAAGGTATTAGCTAATTTTTATTGCTATACTGTAAAATTTGAGAGGAAAGAGAGGTTATATATGTATGAGTCTATTCAGACAGTGAAGTTGAATTGACTGCAACACCAAGTACGTCATCATGGCAAATCGGTGTTCATCAGAATGGCTCTCATAGAAGGATTTGGTCATACCCTCTTAACCAAGTAACAGAAATGGAAACTCTTACGAGGATTCAGGTCATAGCGAGGTTCTTATATGCCATGAGTCCTACAGGCTGGTAGGATCATTTATTACTTTTTATAGTATCTTTTGTCATAAACTTTCTAGTGAAGTGACCAGTTATGCAGCCGCCAGCCAGAATAATCATACTCATGATAATTTTTTTCTTTTCTAGAGCTCTTTACAATCCACTCAGTCATTAAATCACAATACCATAATCGAGCCATCTTCTTGTTTGTAAGGTACCCACTGTCTTCCATTATTTGAGAATAACAGCCTGAATTTGGTCATCCAGCCGTTTGCACCTCCTTGTGTTGCAACAGCACAAACATCGATTGTTCGATTGAAATCAATCTGAAGCCAGTCCTGGGAGCTAGCATTTCCCGCACACCAACCTGTCCCGTTTAGCCGACCATGAGAGGCCTGATGAGATTCATCTAAGTGGGAAGACGCTCTCATCTGCTGATTAGAGATCACGTTGGGATTGGCAACACCAATAGGGTTGTCGAAGCAGTCGTTGATAGGATCTATGCAAGCATAAACGTACTTTCATCTCTTTACATTTTACCTGGTTTGCACAGATAATTTGGCCCTGGGTTAGTTTAACCATTTCATTTAGCCATGTTCATCTGTGGGCAGTTCTTACCTTCAGTTTTGCCTGAAAACACTACTTACGAGGTCTCCACCCTGGTACAAGACACAAACCCAGCTTAACCTCTAATTCTAGATTAATACTGGTCGGTTTTTTGTTGTAACCAATTTTGCGCTTTAAGGTGGCACGAGACAATTTTTCAGAAATTGAAAAGAGGTTAAGTAGTCACATGAAGTCCATCGTAGTCGTTCAGCATAAACCCCATCACCATTCCTCTTTACCGTTATTTAATCAAATGACAGCAAGGCATTATGAGGGGCTTCAGAATGGTCTAACAAATATCACTCTGTATTTTTTATCTCACTTCAAACAGTGTCACTTTCCGTCAAGCCGTCAATTCAGGATAGGTCCTCCCATTTTCATACATACATACATACATACATACATACATACATACATACATACATATATATATATATATATATATATATATATATATATATATATAATATAGGAGTCTGCAAGTCGATTTTCGCGTGGAACAGTGCTCAATACGTTGAAGCAGAGCGGAATAAATATTTTAAGAGGAAAAAAGGACGCAACTACATTTTCCCTTTTGCGTCCTTTTTCCTCTTAAAATATATATATATATATATATTCGCTCGTTGATACCGTGGAGATTGAGAGTGTTGATGTGAAGGATAAATTTTTCTTCTAGAGTTTTGCGGCTCTCCGAACTGCCAAGATGTAGGGAAAGGTCGCAAATTGCCATAAGCTTCTTAGAATGATTAGGGAGATGAAAGTATTTAATGACTGGTTTGGACGCGTTATTGATATATATTTATGTTATTAACTCAGTCGATGGTACTATATTATCCTGGAGTATGTCTTACGTCTACATCTGCCTCCCGTTTGGTCAAAGGGACAGACACAGCTGTAATGTCCAATCAGATCTTGACACGTCCCTTTTATGCATGGGTTGCTGGAGCATTCGTCCACTACATCTGAATTAGGGAACGGTAGGAGAAAATAAATTATCTCCTGCGACCATTATTTATCGCCATTAGTCAGCCAGAAGAGGGGTGGGGTGGGAGAATTTTGGTTCCCTCACGACAAAACTTACCTGATCCCTCCATAATTGATTCGCAGTATTACTATGACACCCCCCCCGCCATATACTCTGTTGGCGACGACTGATATCCCTTGAAAACCATGTATCTTCCCCCCCAAAGATTCCTTAACCCCCCTTCCCCCCACCTCCGGGCGATAAAAATTGACTGTTCTCAAAGATAATTCGATGATTATATTATCAAGATTTCATGTGGAGGGATAATTTTAGATATATTTATTTAAAAAATCTAAGGGTTGCGGGTTGCTCAACAAAAATCTCGATAACTGTCATTATGGATCAATCTGGATAGGGAAGAACCATTTCATGTTTCCTTGGGGTGGTTGGGAAGTTGTGGTGGATATCATTACAATTCCAGGTTATTTATATTATTTAGATTATAACTTAGATTGTGGGGTGTTTGGAAAGTTGAATAAATTATTACAATTGGTGCTTGTATCATTCTTATCATTCTTTGAAATCTTCTATGAAGACGTGTTCGATATGATATGATAACTTTATTTATATTCGTCATTTCCTCTGTCAATTAACTACAATAAAAATAATGAAAATATTTCAAAAATAAAAACTTCTTTTCGTGATTTTCGCTATGTGGTAAACTTCATACATCATACACTATGCAACACATGTGTTCTAGCTATCACTGACCAGTTTCACAGTACATTCCAGAGCTCCCCTTGACGCACTGACAGGTGTAATTATTTTTTTCCATTTTGGCAAGTGGCTCCGTTTAAACATTTATGCCCGTGGCAGTAGTTTCTTGCTGCAACAAATCAAATCAATGCACAAATGGCTTAGTGGAGCAGTTGAAAGACAAGTTTCCTTCCGCAGTCACATACATACAATTTCCTTTCTATGCCCATCTAAATGTCCTTTTTCCAATTTCTAAGAGTAAGTTCAACATTCGACAGTTGTCTTCAAATGTACGTCAAAAATCATATGACGGACGTCACCGTATCGAATCTCGCTCAGAAGGCTGTATTTTATATGAGACATGGCTGATAAGCTATAAAAGTAAAAACAAAAAGACTTAAAACCGAAGCAGAAACTTTAAGTGACCCACGCTTCTCTACTGTTCCTATTCGAGTTGCCGAGATAGCCAGAAGTTTGTAACTGAGTAGGTAAAATAACTGACTCTACAGGGCATTTGAAAATGATTTAAGAAAAGTATAGTTTACTTTTTTGCATTTCAATCCGCTTTAGGCAGGGAATATTTGCACTCTTCTTTTCAATATTTTTTTTCAAAAAAAGAATGTAGACTGACTACAGTAAGACATCGATGGAATCCTTCGCAGAAAGGTTTTTTTTTGCGAGCGTGAGGTACGCATAAACTATGCCGCATTTCTAATGAATGCTATTGTATCATACTCGTAGCAAAGGTATGCTGTCGTCCAAAATCAGATTGCATTAATGCAATTAACAGAAAGCTTGTCAATAGACGGGACAAATTCAATCATTACAGCGCTTTCAAAAACATTGAAGTCTACCTGAGCTTGCAAAGACAAATTACAATGCATTAGGTTGCGCATTGGTATCCATGAAAAATTTATCATGTGGCTTACTCTGACAATCTTCACCTTCCCATTCTGGAGGACAAGTGCATTTGTAGCTCCCAGGGCTGTTTTTGCATGTTCCTAAATGGCAAGGATTGTTGATGCATTCGTCTATGTCTAAATACAGGTACAGAAAAGTGAAAGAGTTAATGGAAGACAGAGTTGACAGAAGAATTTATCTAAAGGGGTAGTGGGGTGGATGATTTTCAGGTGATCACATGGTTTTCAAGGGGAACCACCAATTGGTAGCTCTGGCTTTGAATCATGGATACATGAATGAATGAAAACTCCTACCACTTTAAGATATACCTCCGATCTCAAACCTGAGACAGCGGATTTCTCAATCATCAAAATTAGATATCTTTCGAAACTGCTTCCAGAATGAAAACATTCGTAAATGGAAAAATATAGATAAGACTGCTACTTTTTTTTCTTTTAGAAAGCATTCATTTTATATAACCGAGTAATAATTGGTCTTTGAACTGTGTAAGGTCGATGCAATGTCTTTCTTCTGTTTCCGTTTTTGTCTTTTTTTGTTTTTCTTTTCTCTTTTGGCATTTTTGTTGTCGTTTTCGCCTTTACTCTTCTTAGTTTTTGTAAGTTAAGTGTTACGTTCCTTTGTTCTTTGTTTAATCTGGATTTACGCGAATGAATAAATAACCACTTAGAGTAAAAACATCTTGTCTGTCATGGTTCGAGGCAAAATATTGTGTTTCAAACTTGGAAATAAGGTTTGATAGAGGAAAAACCGTCTCTTTAAGGCATTAATATCTTATTACAACGTTGCTGATTTGGAAAAACCGCCAGGAGCTGATTTTCTCTTGAGCTGTGCCAGCCTCTAATATTTTGAAATACTCTGGCTGAACGAGGCTAGTTGAAAATTTTCACCAGCTATGTTAGTCAGCTTAGGATTTCTTAGATCATTGTTTCAAACCATATCACAAACGTTGAACTCTCTGGATTAAAACAACATGTTTAACTATTAGTAATAGATCATTACTGATATGTATGGATACAAACCAAGGATACTTTACGTTAGGCCCGGTTCAAACGTCGAACTCTTCTGTACCGAACCCACCTTGTTTCTCGAAAAGACAAATTTTACATGTGTGATTCCTTCGTTTATTATTGATTTCCAATCAAGGCAACAACATCACTACCAATAAAAACTAAGTTTTTCGTTTGTCTTACGATGTAATCACGTGTGATGTATATCGCGACGTTTCGACTGCATACTGCTAGTCTTCATCAGGCGATGAGGTCGACTGGTCATGCATGATATTAAAGTATAATACTCTGCTGTGCTTAGTTTTTTTTCAACAGCTCTGATTGGTGAATTTCGATCCTTGCTGTTTAACTCAGCGATTTCCTCCCTCGGCGGTCCGCTGTCGCATTGCTCTCCTGTTGTTATGTTTTTTGATCGGAGACATCCAAGCTCCTGGAATTTCTATTCCACTATCCCTGTTGATGTTGTCAGGGTGAAGTCTTATATGAATTGCCTCTTTGACTTTGAAAGGTACATGGAGGGTACTTCTACGCAAGAGTGAGAGCGATCGAGACCAAGTCTTTATTACAACCTGTCATGCATGGTCCTTCACAATATTTGTATCATGCAAGGTGATGTAATTTCCAAGCAATTGGACCTGGGCAATTCTGAGAATAGAGATCGGGAAGAAATCAAGAAGTTATTGGAAATGTGTGATTGGCCAAGTGTAAGGGATGCACTTTAAAAGATTAAACTGATAATTTTTCTAATATACTGATCGGACCAGAACGAATTTCAATGCAAATTGAAACTATAAATAATCTAAATCTTTGTCTTTATCTCCACTTCTATTTCATTTAAATTTTTCAAAACAATTTCTCATATTTTCTTGAAATTATTATCAAAATTTCAATGTGTCAATATTTAGAAATATAATCAAGTATGAAACCAGTATGAAATGTTGTCTGATGGACCATGATGATAATAATCTACCAGTAGAAATCCATATGTATATTACTATTGTACTTCAAAAGCTTACACTAATAACTTTTTTAACATACTGATCGGACCAGAACGAATTTAAATGGAAACTGAAACTATAACTAATCTTAATTTTTGTCTTTATCTGCCCTTCTCTTTCATTTTAAGTTTCAAAACTAATACTTATATTTTATTTAAATCATTGAAATCTAACATTCATTAACTCAAATCAATATTTGATATCAATAGCTGGTAAAGCTGTCCCATAAGACCCATCTGGCATTCTAAGTTGACATGGTGGGCCTGTTCCAAAGCCCCTATTCCAGTTTGGGTAATACCCTGTCTCCCTGAATGGTATGCGCCAAGATGATGGTGTGGCTTGATTGGTATCATAGCGGCCATTTTCTCTTTGAGATAACATTAATTGAAATGACTTTAATTCGTGTATACTAAGGCAAAGCTTTGTATTTAATGAAAACTATTTTCACAGAGGAAGAGGAGAGTACAGAGTCAACACATGTTTAAAGCCCAGGGCCAGGTATTTCAAAAGCCGATTAACAATAATGTATCAGTCAATTCAAAGAACGCCCCTCTCCCTTTCCCAACCCTTTTGCAACACTTTTGTCTTTTAAATCTGAAAATGATGGTGAAATTTAACTTTCTGTGAAGCCCTCAGCAATGAAGCATTGGACTATGTAAACTACCCACATCTTCGGAATTCGACTAAAATTATTCTCAAGTCGAACGCCCCGAGAGGTTCATGGATGCTTGCAACATAAAGTCGATTACAGGTCAAATAAATTTTGTATAAAAGTGTTTTTCTTATTCATGTTTCGTGGAGTTTGAGATTGGGTGCTTGAAACATAATTGACTGAAACATAAACTGGTGATTTTAAGTCGATTACAGGTTAAATATATTTTTTAATAATATTTCGTGGAGTCTGAAATCAGTCAAAATCAAAACTGGCCGAGCAGAAAATATGAACTAATCGTGCTTCAAACAACGCGGCCCTTTTTTGTGTAAAAGACACAATCTGAACAACAGTGTTGGCAAACTCAACAGTGAAAGATATGATAATCTACGGTATAGTGAAGGCCAGGGATTCACACAATTTACCCTCAATTGATAGCATTTAAAAATATTATACACATGAAACAATCATTCCCCACACTTTCTTTTCTGTTGGTCGAATGGATTCGCTTCCGTAATCTTTCAATCGAGCTTGTGCTGCACGGTCGTAACAGTTCTTACTAAAGCTTACCTTTTGGGTTTTACCTCCGTGGTTGATGTATTTCGACGTTTGCTGTTTGATTGATCATTAGTTTGATCGCCTGAAATCATCTCTTTCTCCAGTTTCTGACCAGGCTACTGACCTTTCCTGCTTCCAGCCCACAACATTTTCGTCGTTTTCAAAGACACAGCATATAGTGCAAAAGTACTCCTTACACGTTAGACATGTATACTTTGTTGTTTTAAAACAAGATGAGCACAAACTTTTCTCCCTTTCCCGCCATATTGTTCGAACGCTTTTGCGCATGGCATGTATACGAAACGTTCTGAATTGTGGGTAAAATATAATTTATTTAATATATATATATATAATGTATGCATTAGATTCAGATTAGATTAATATATATATATATATAATGTATGCATTAGATTCAGTACGATCTTTTACCGTTTTATCCGACAAGCCTGGTCGGATAGAACGGTACTGTCGACCCGAATACAAATCTGCCGATCCTAATTGATTCGTACGTCGTACTTTTCATTTACTTAATAGCAACTTTAGGTTCGGTACATGAAAAGTTCGACGTTTGAACAGGGTCTTAGCTACACTTGCATCGTATGTTTTCCTTTTTTTCAATTTTTTTTCTTTGTTAATTTCCATGAGAAATATGACGTAAGTTGTGAGACGGAACTTTGTATAGTTATAGCGTTTATTCTATCGAGATAAATACCAGAAAAGAAATTCCATATCTATGTGCGCCCATGTGTTATTCTATATATATATTTATTGAATATAACAAATGCCTCTAAACTAACTGTTTGGATCGTTTCCAATCGAGACTTGTATTTCTATCACGTGCACAGGAGGCGTCTATTAATTATCCATCAAAAGATTGAAATAATTTCCGAAGGAATATTCAACTAACGTTAATCCTCAGGAAAAACATCTACGCGGGGGAGTAATGTATGTTAGGTATTTAGTCTTTCAGCTTTATTTTGTTTTGGTTTGCCTCTCCAATTTCTAAACATCACGTCGTTTTTTTAAAAATACGAATTTGATATTGAATCCATTTCTATCACGTGCACAGGAGGCGTCTATTAAGTAAACAACAAAAGATTCAAATAATTTCCGAAGGAATATTCAACTAACGTTAATCCTCAGGAAAAACATCTACGCGGGGGAGTAATGTATGTTAGGTGTTTAGTCTTTCAGCTTTATTTTGTTTTGGTTTGCCTCTCCAATTTCTAAACATCATCTCTTTGCACGTTTTGACATATGTTTCACGTCGTTTTTTTAAAAATACGAATTTGATGTTAAATCCTACAATATTCTGAAGTCGACATTTGTTTTAGATTTGTGAGCGACTGGGTAAGACTTCTTACCTCAATACCCAAGTATAAAAAGTCATCCATAGGTTTTATATCGTTCGGATGTTTTAATTGGTCCGAGTCACTCAGCTGACACAGGACTTTGTCTTTCCTTACTTGACCTATGTTGATTGATCGACATTTCTGCTCCATGATACATCGATTTCTGCAGTGGTTATTTATGTGTGGTCCAATAAATAACGTAATATTGGCAAAGACATGACCCACCAAAGCAAAGCCACGGCTTGGTTCTGAAAATCGTTGTCTAGTTTCAGTCTGCAGATTTCTGAAAATTTTAAAACAGGTCCTTTCAATAAGCTTTACAACCTCGACATAACCCAGCTTTAGCAAGTGAAGCGTAGATGAAAGCTCGAAGAGAACCTGTCCCAGGCTTCCTGTTGGAAACACCAAGAGGACACGAATATTTCCAAATTAAGTTTTTTAAGTAAACGTTTTCATCTATTATACGCCTGAAGTTTTTTATTTGCCTTAAAAGATAAAGGTTTCAAAAAAATCAAAATATTGAGAGTGAAAAGAGTTAAAAAAAAAAATTAAATATATACTCCTTACAGAGTCTCCTTCTTTTACCTTTTGTGCACGTCTGTATTGGAATAGAATACAACTCAGAGGCTAGACTTTGTTTAACAAAAATGTTAAAAATTTTTTTTTTTAACCATCGTGTGAGGTTTGGTTATCACGATCCTGCCAGCTAGGCTTTTCACATGAAAGATTTTTTTGTTAATGATGATGAAATCAAGCCTCTCAGGGAAAAAAAAAACAAAAAAATAAACGAAAGACAGCAAGAAACTGTGTGATTTGTATTTTGAGAGTAACACAGGAATATAGCTTGTGAAGTTTTATGACTGAGACATCGGAAAAACTGAGGTCGACTACTATTACCTTACAGTAATTTTTGAAACCTCAAATGTAAAAACAATCAAACAATGTATTTTATTATAATTATTATTTACCTTTCAGAAATAACGAACTGTACCTACCTTGGTTTGCAGTCGCAAGGATGTGAGAGCAACCTCCTAATAGAGCAAACAGATACAGGAAAAGCTTCATTCTAGACATTTCGCCTGTACAGAAGCTCCATTCGCTCATACCTGAGAAACCGCGTCTTTAATGGCTGTATCATCTCTGACAAAGGTTAATCACCCAACCGTGCATGAATACATGTAAGACTCTGTGTCGACATGGTAGCACCAACGCTTTATGACCAAGGAAATATTCTTTAATTTTTAATGACGTAAATGTTTTTGTTAAGCAGAAAAAAAAGATGAATAAAGATGTGTTATGTTTTTTCCTGAATGGCACGACACATTTAAGCTTTCTCACGCATTTCAGAATAGTAAACAGAGGATTTGTTATTGGGGTCAATTTTGATCTTGTTCTAGGGAGACAGTCTAAGCAAATACTTCTTTTTCACGTGGGAAAAAATATAATCCTGGACTTACCAGGAATATGGGAGAAATCATCTTTTCATTTCGAATTTTTCCCCCTGTAGGGCTATTCAATCTTATAAAGGTATGTCGTGATACACCCTCATAACAATGTGTGAGCGTTTCCATTTATCGTTGTCTAGTTTCAGGCACACGTCAAAATAGCTTGTAGTGCCAAATGATTTATGCCCATCTATTATTTAACAATTACAATTCGCAGTCTCAGTGAATTGCGTTGAATAATCCTCGAGTTGAAATCGAGGAGATTATTCAAAAATCTTCATCTTCATCATTTGTTGTCACGAGTCTGTAAATAAGTAAATCGTTATTTTATCTTTTTTCCCTTTTTTAGTTCAGAATTAAAGAAAATAAAATTAGCTGATCGATGTTTTATGGAATTATATAACTTTCTTTGGGTAATGTTTTCCTGATTACTCTGGATAACGTGCTGGTTGGAATGGTTCAATATTTTATTATTTTATTCATTCGTTTTTTTGCTTTTTGTTTTGTTTTTTTGGTGTTTTTTTTTTCATTGTTTTCGTTGTATAGAGACATTACGAGTCTGTAAACAAGTCAATCTTTCTACGCAGTATTTTTTCTTTTTTCCCAGTTTTAGTTCAGGATTCAAGGAAATGGAACAAAATGAAATTTTTTTTTTTTTTAAATAATCATATAATGCCAAAAAGATCTTTTTTTAAGCAGTGCAGTATGCAGGTAGAATTTTGATTTTAATATATTGGCGGGTGTTTTGCTTTGTTTTGTTTTGTTTTGTTCTTTCTATGAGTATTTTGATATAGTGTTTCTAATGGATATCAGTTCTGTGTTCACTCATGTCCCCATGGTAATTTAATACATTCCATAATAACGAAGAGGACCAACCAGTAGTTTCAAAAGACCGTAGCAATCAAATAAGCCGCAATTCCTAAACGAAATAGCAGCAGTCTTTTTATTTTTCGAAGCACACCTCATGTTAACAACGTCTTGTGTCTCATACTTCTAAAAAATGGTTTCTGAAATCAGAATTTTATTCTCCCGATAAAAAAGTTTTGACTTCGCTCCCTAGAGTTTGCTCATAAATGAAATTTGTTGAGGACGACATTGATTTGCTTTCATCCGTTGGGAATTGGGACCAAAAGTAGTTAATACAGATACTTGAGCCCTTGCAACGCTTTTGCCAAATTACGCAATAATTAAGCATCGTTCACCAACCCATTTTTATTTATTCCCTAGAGTTGACCTTTCCTAGCCTTTTAACTACCTGTGTGCCAAGTTTCTGTCGCAATATTGTGAATCACTCGAAATATTGGGGGTTTAATGGTATTTTGGGGAAGTCTGAAATTCCTACTCTGTTCCTGAGAAACTATTTGTCTTTACGAGCAGCTGGTTCCCGTTAACCCACCCGGAGTCCATGCATGAGATCTCGTGTTTCCAGGATTCTTTTATTATTTTCTTCATCTTACATCATTGAAAAATCTCTATCAGAATTCGCAAAACTACAAAACTGTCATTCATGATTCTCAGAGGTAAGAAACATACCAGTTCAAATTTTCACCAACTGCAACAGCAGGTGGTATTGATAGAGTGCAAAGTTTACCTGCAACCCTTGACATCATTATCTTAACGAGAAGTAGTAATCATTGACAAAGATGATAAATGAGATACATCGCGCGATAAAATCAAAATATGGCGCGATAAATGGAAATTTTAAATGAAAAATTATCGCGCGATAAATGGGAAACTTGTAAGGTCGCATGTGATCGGCTGTCACGCACCTTGTTTCCAAAAGAGACAACAATGGCTGCAACAGTTGGAAAAGTACTTTCTTAACGGGGTTGGATATACAGAAGTGACATCTAGAAATTTACAAACCTGCAATGGTAGTCAGAAGGATTAGATAATCCACACTTGCTCTCAGACAACGACAGCCATCTCTGAAAGTGTCTTGTAAGATTTCGCAAAATCAAGGTTTACTGTATTGATTCACAGAGCTGTGTGTCATAGAAGTATTGCAAAGGAATACTCAGTGATGTTTTCACGAAATAAAAGAAACTATTGTCTTCAAAACATACCTCTTTAACTGTTGCAGCCATTGTCGTCCATTGAAACAACGGGCGTGACAGCCGATCACGTACAACCTAACAAGTTTCCCATTTATCGCGCGATAAAACTGAATTTTATCGGAATCCAATTACCCTTCCCACTGAAAATTTAACTTTTATTGACGCCTACAAAACGAATTTGCGACGTTCCAAGTTTTAAAATCTTCTTTCATATTGTAAGGTCTTTCGATGGATTAAAGGATTATCAGATGCATTGGAATTCCACCGCGCGAATGGCTCAAGGTTTTATTGTTCTAAGTTTAAATAGCAATAATTCCACTTTCTCAACCAAACTTATTCCTCACCTAGGAAAAGGAAAGTGCAACCTTTTATTTAATAAAAGCAATAAGAATTTTCCCATACGTTGATATTACGCAACATAAAGGTTTAAGTTTGCAAAAATCTCAAAGGGGTCGAACCGCAAATGAAGTGATAAGTAGAACGCTTGAGGTAACCGTTTGGAATATCTGTAGAGCGGCCTTATCAAACTAAAATCTTGCTTTGACCAAGAGTCATTATGGAAAAAATGTAAGATTACACTAAACGAATAGAACAGAAAGAAGGAAAATTAAGAAACACAACCAACAGTGGCGACTTAATTTTCATTTAGAAGTGTGAGTGACCAAAGGAGCGCTAGAAGCATCGAATCTTTCGCTTATTAACAAACAAAAAAATTTTTCAATTTTCTCGGCGTAGCCTTAATGAAATATATATTCAGTCGAATATTGCTTACGTTTTCACGACAAATTATAGGAAAAGTTTCAAAGGAGAATATTCTTAAGAATAAAAAAAAATCATGGGATACACAAAACAATTTAACCAAAAAACCACTTCTTAAATAAGTTAAATTACAAACATCTTGGTTAGCGAACGTCATTATCGTGCAGAATAAAAAAAAAAGTGAATTTAAGTAAGTTTTGTGGCATACGATTACAATCACCTTTTGCTTCTAGCCTCTCGCTAGAAGCAAAAGGTGACGGTCACCACCATCACGACCGCCACCTCCACCCCCATCACCACCACCATCACCACCGCCATCACCACCACCATCACCACCGCCATCACCACCGCCACCGCCACCGCCATCACCACCACCATCACCACCGCCATCACCACCGTCACCGCCAACGCCATCACCACCGCCATCGCCACCGCCATCGCTACTACCACCGCCACTGCCACTGCCACTGCCACTGCTACTGCTACTGCTACTGCTACTGCTACTGCTACTGCTACTGCTACTGCTACTGCTACTGCTACTGCTACTGCTACTGCTACTGCTACTGCTACTGCTACTGCTACTGCTACTGCTACTGCTACTGCTACTGCTACTGCTACTGCTACTGCTACTGCTACTGCTACTGCTACTGCTACTGCTACTGCTACTGCTACTGCTACTGCTACTGCTACTGCTACTGCTACTGCTACTGCTACTGCTATTGCCACCGTGGCTGTAACTTTCACTGCTATGACCAACGTTAATGACTGGAGAGAAAAAATGTTTTCATGCGTTACAGGTTAGCTGGAACAAGAAATCTGTCATCACTTTTTAAAATTAACAATAGTCCAAGATGAAAAACTGTATTTCTCAGGCATTGTTATCGATTGAAATATTGCTGATATGGAAAACCAGCCAGCAACTGATATCTCTTAACCTGAACCAGCCTCTCACACTCTGAAATACACTGACCTAAGGAGGTTTATTGAAAAATGTCGCCAAGCTATGTTATTGAGCTTACTTGCTTCGCATTTCATCGCCATATCACAATTTTCCTGAGGATTAAAACAACATATTTTACTATTAGTCATATATTATAATTGATATGTTTGGATGCAAGCCACGGGTACTTGATATCGTTGTAGTTAAGCTAAATTTTTCCTTTTTAACTTTTTTTTGATTTTGCTATTTTGGTTTCTGTAAGAAAGATGATATAAGTTGTTAGATGGAACCTTGTATACTCATAGTTTTCATTCTACCTTTGAGTCTAAAGTTTTGTCAAAGTTTATCATTTTATGTTTTTTTTTTCACATTTGTCATCCAGCCAAGACTATGACCATATCAGCATTTTTTTGACATTTTAATCGAGTATAATGAATGGCTCCAATAGTACTGCTTCGTTTACCATCGAGACTTGTATTTCTATGTTGATCGATCGACACCTTTTTTCCATGATACATTGATTTTTGTGGTGGAAAAAGAAAGTTAATACCTTCATAGTAAATTAAGGTCAGTTCAATAATTTCCAGTAGAGTTCAAGTGTTAATTATCATTGAATATGGAGGTGTTTTTACGACAAATGGCGTTAAACTATTTCTATTTCTATATTCAATGCGCTTTACAATTCATTTATAACAATTAACATTTTATATGATCAAAGGCACTTTACAATTAGTGTCTCTTCCACCCATCCCACCCCCAGGGAGGACATCCACCCACAGTAATCTCGTGCGTGGGAGCGTCTTGCTTAAGGACACAACGTCATGCCCCAGCCAGGACTTGAACCCGGGCCGTCGGACCCAGAGTCCAGCACACTGACCACTGGACTACTCACGCCTCACGCCTCATAACAATCTGCTGGCAGCTTTTACGACAAATGGCGTTAAACACTCTGTCCCTCTTCACTGTTTTACATTTTCCCACGTTACTGGGTGTCAACAAGTACTTTCTCCGCATTTCCAATGTTTCCCAAAGAATAATGATTATAGATATATGAAAATCATATATATGCGCTGCGGTGAAGAAACGAATATAAGAGATCCTCGCAGCTATGAACACTACGGAGCTAGTAGTTGAAATAAGACCAAAGAGTTCCGATGTTTAATTAGACCATACCAATTTCCGTTTCGAGGCTAGAATGATCGGAACGAAACTAGATTAACTCGTGCTTGAGGATTTCGCTGAATAGCTTCTTATAGTTCAAATGACTCCATACGTCACTCGGCAGTCCAGGAGAGAATTCAGGGCTGAAATACCCGCAGCGATTACAATCTTTGCTTTCCGTGACTCAAGTAAACATTATAAAAGATGATGACTTTTTATTCTAATTCGTTATATCAGCTAAATTTGGGTTCACTTAAAATAACCCGCGAAACAGATCATATGACATGAAAAAATTAGCATAATTACGTCACGCAATGCATCACGCTGGGTTTGATGGTCGCAGGGAAATGTCGAGTTTGTCGTTCAATAGAGTTTTGGTCCATGAAAGCGTAAAATCATTAACGATGGAAGCAAATTTGTAGAAAGGAAGGCTATTTCATCGCGTTCCGTGCGCTAAATCTCGGGAGAAACTTCAAGAATTCTTTCTGAGTGCTGCGCGTTGTTTCGTAAATAATACTGTGATGTATTTTAACTTGTTTGCGTGTCCTTTTTTAAGCCATGCAATACGTCTATAATAACCAGAGTGCCAAATTTTATTCTTTAATTTTGATCTTTTCCACACTGTGCGTTGTTCATGACGTTACATTTCAACGAAAATTATCGAGAAGGCGCTTTCCGACCCTTTCCTTACTTTGTAAGTCACGCAAGCGCGCAAGCGTTACGACCGAGCACGTTTACGTTTACAATTGTTTATGCCTATTGACACATTTTCATAGAATTGTAATGAATTAGGTTTCTTTTTTTGAGAACTTTCTCTCTCCAACATTGAACAGAGGCTCTGACGTCCGCGGTGGAATGGTCAATTTTTAAAAAAATAATTGGTGATTTATTGCGACATTTAAACAGGCTGGTTCTGTTCTGCTTTAGAGCTAGTTTAAATGGGAGTGGGAGCTGACACTAAGAACTACGTTTCCTACTCTCTGCGAGAAGTGCACCCTTCAACAAGTACAAAGGGTTAAGGTTAAGGGAACGGGGGTCAAAGGTTTATTAAGGTTTTAGAGTGTCTTACCATTTCTAAATGGTTCTAACAAAGACTAAAAGTTCTCCTCAGTTATTTCAAGACCATGAATGTTAGTCCGGTCTGGGGCTTGAACCCTCAACCTTCCGCACGGGAGTCCAGCGCTCTACAACATGAGCTCACCAAGTGCGAATGAAAGACTGAGTCTAACGCTACGAAGCGCTTTATTAACCCAAGAATAGTCAAAACATTTTACATCAAAAGCATCGATCTAAATGTCATAAAGGTAACTCTTTTCAAGAAAGCTTTATTTCAATCGGATTGTCTTTGTGTTTAGAATTATATGATAAAATCTACCTATAGGCTGTCGTAAATTTATTGCATATGACACACCCTTTCGAAATTTGTCTTCAAAAGCACCAAAGTTCGACACCCCGAAGCCACCAATTTGAAAACAATTCAATTATTTGGTTGTAACTATCGGGACATGAACTACATTAGTAAATCAACTTATTCATTCATTGCTTGTTTGTTTGTTTGTTTGTTTAAAGTTCTTTCATAGAATGAAATAGAACGTAACACCCTGTTACAAGAAACTATTATTGGTAGGCGGTCATGTTGCTAAGCAAGGTTCAAAATGGCGGCGAACAATACTAAATTTTTTGCCACTTTTTAGAAAGCAAACTTTATCAAGGTAAAAATTTTTTGCGAAGCTTAAAAGACGTGCAGTGTCATAATTGTGCGAAAATGTTTTGACGAAGAAGGCGGCGCAATACCTTCTAAGGCGGCCTCAATGGGATTAAACGTGAGCCGTAAACTGGGAAAATTAAGCCGCTTGGCGTACAAGTACACAAATGTTAACCATTACTTGTAAGAAAAGAGAACCGTGTTAAGTGATCTATTTGCAGTAAAATGGCCGTTAGCAGAAAAAGCCACCACCCTATTGAGACCCTCCTTTTGGGAGCATGCTTCCCCTTCACAGTACATTTTTGCCACCCTTCCCCCCGTCTCGTTTTCTTTCTTTTGCTGCTAAAGCACAGCGAATGTTTATTCTCCGCAATATCGTCCACAACTCCTTGGTTTTACCAGTCCATATGCAAAAAAGTCGCCACAATTCTTGACCGATATAAATTTCTGATCACCACAGCAGTCGTTCTCAGAAGTAAAGCAAACCCTCATGTTTACTACACCTTGCGTCACATTAGGGTGATGTCCATCCAACCATCCGGGTCTTTTAGCATTGCAGTGAGATAGAGGAACACAGGCTGTTGGCATTTGAGTACCAGCTGGTTCGACAAAACGGAACCATTTTTTTACAGAAGGTAAAATTTCTCGGTCACATTGGCCGCCAGCACCCTCGAAGGTTTTCTTCCTTTTCGCCTGATTTAGCACATCATGATTATAGCAAGGGTCTATGGATTAAATAACAATTATTTCATGGACGTGCTTTATAGCAGGGTATATGCGTTAAGTAACAATTATTCCATAGGCGTGCGTTGGATATGAGATGGTAAATAGCCAACAAGACGTCAAATGCCGAATTGGCTTTAACCAATCTTATCTCCAACAGGCGCGGTCAGAATAATGTTTTCATTCAATTTCATTCAATCCTTAATGTTTGCCAATTTACCTTATTTATCAACCACTAAACGGAGAGGTGCCATAAACGGCCTCGCATCTGAGTGCAAAACTTTTCAAAATTTTAAATCGATAGAATACTTCTCTAAAACTTTCCAAGATTCTATAAACAAAAGGTTATTGCAACTATCTCCCCAACAGATTTGGCTATAGCTGTTCTGTTCTCTGAAATGTGTCACAAGTTGGGCGATAGAATCTCCAAATGAATTTAAGAGACTTTTGCAAAATTACTAGGTCAGTATTCAAATGCACAGCATTAATAGAAAACAATAAAGCAATCAGATTTTAAGGATTTTTATTGTGTATTGTTTACTTTTGTCTCAAACCTGACTGAATTTGACGGTGGGTAAGATGAGAATACTACTATCACTACTACTGCTGCGTCTGATACAACTTATTTGAATTTTACCACTACAACTATTAATACTGCAACTACTAGCACACTACAATTACAACTACTACTACTACCACTATCACTACTATTAAAACTAGTACTTCTACGTCATTGAAAATGTCAAGAAGATGACATACTTACCATC